CCAGAAGAGGTCACCAGATCTCATTACAGATGGTTGTGAGACACCATATGGGTGCTGGGAATTGAACTCAGGACCTCTGGAAGAGCAGCCAGTACTCTTAACCTCTGAGTCATCTCTCCAGCCCCCGACCATGGTAACTCTTATAAAGGAAAATATTTACTTGGGGCTGGTTTACAGTTTCAGAGGTTTAGTCTGTTATCATCATAGTGGGACATGACAGTGTGCAGGAGAAGGAGCTGAGAGTTCTATGTCTGGATCCAAAGACAGCAGGAAGAGACAGTGTGCCATACTAGGTCTAGCTTGAGTTTCTGAGACCTCAAAGCCTGCCCCCAGGGTCGCACTTCCTCCTACAAGGCTACACCTCCTAATAGTGCCACTCTCTTTGGGCCTATGAAGGCCACTTTTATTCAAACCACCACATAGGATTATGGCTTGTAACTCTGGCTGTCCTGGAACTCAAAGAAGTTTGCCTGCCTCTCCCTCTAGAGTGGTAGGATCAAAGGTGTGCACCACCACACTTAGCTTCAAAATTTGTAACGTAGAGTCCAAGATTCACATTGATCATGCCTATACAGATATTAAATATAATTGAACACAGAACCAAAGTAGTATGGCACCTCTGTATATGTCAAAGACTGCACACTGTTTTGTTTTTTTTAAAAGGTGACTCTCCACTCTCTCAAGGTTATATGTCTTAGCTGTTTTTTATTTTTGCCATAGTAGTGGCCAAACAGTGAATTTGCCTGGTTTTTGAGGATCAGGTTAGTAGCTTCATTTCCATAGACTGCTTGCATTCCACTCTTGTTGCTATGGAAACAGGTTGTGACTACATTTATCATAAACGTAGAGAAATGCTCCATGTAACAGTTCACATGAAGAAACATCTTGATTCCTTGTTTTTCCTGGTAAAATAAAGGATCTGTTGTGGACATTATAGAGACTGTTATGGTCAGCTGCTTTTCTCTAGTTGTTAAAATGTGATTATTTCAAATAGACTCGGCCTTTTAGTGTATAGTGGATTCTATTTACTGGAGGAGCTTTGGATGTTCATGCTATTCCATTGACTGACTATGTAGAAACTGTGTTTTTAGTTTCAGATATGCAGGACTATAACAGGGTTTTAAGTAGATGTGTTTATGTAATGATTTTAAAGATATATTTGGTTATATTAACATGTCCCCTGGAAGTTTTTTATTTATGCCATTTCTGGGACTTAAAATCTAGGGAAGTTTGGTTGGAACTAAAAGGAATCTCGATGGTGGCAAGGTAAGCAGTTAGTTGTCAATCAAATGTTGCCAAGGATATTCCCCGAGATTATGTTCTCTTGGAGTCTTCATGGGAAGACCTCAACAACTCTTTTTTTATTTCTTTTTAGGTTTATTTATTTTACTCTATGTGTATGAATGTTTTGCCTTCATATATGTATGTGCACATTGTCTGTGCACTGGCTGCTCTTCTAAAGGATCTGGGTTCAATTCCCAGCACCCACATGGCAGCACACATCTGTCTGTAACTCTGTTCCAGGGGATCCAACACCCTCACACAGACATACATGCAGGTTAAATGCTAATGAACATAAAATAAATTATAAAAAAAATAGCGTTCATCAAGTTTATCTTTAGTGCGAGTGTGTGTGTGTGTGTTTAGTGTATATGCATGTGGAAGCCAAAGGTCAACATCAGTGTCATCCTCAATTGCTCTAAAAAAAAACAAACAAAAAAACCTGAGACAAGTCTTAGTGAACTTGGAGCTTATCAGTTTGCTAGGTCTGCAGGCCAGCAAGCCCTTGGGGCCCAGCCGTCTCCTCCCGAGTACACCACTGTGTTCTGCTTTTAAAGGGTCTTGGGACGCAAACTCAGGTCCTCCTGTTTGCTCAGCAAGCCCTTGGGGCCCAGCCGTCTCCTCCCGAGTACACCACTGTGTTCTGCTTTTTAAAGGGTCTTGGGACGCAAACTCAGGTCCTCCTGTTTGCTCAGCAAGCCCTCTCCTGACTGAGCTGCTTTACTAGCACTCCGCCTTCAAAAGAACGTTGTGTTTATTTATTTAGCACGTGTATGGGCATGAGTGTGTCATGATGTACGTGTGCAGTCTGGGGCCAAAGGACAACTTGGAGCTATCAGGTTTCTTCATCCACTCTGTTCCAGGGATCGAAACTGGTGTCATCGAGCTTGGTAGAAAGGCCTTTACCATTTTACCAGCTCCCTCCCCCACCTTTTTTAAAACTTTGATAAAAGCAAGAGTTTATCAGAAGTTATGTAGCAATTTTATTTACTTAAAAGTACAGTAAAAGTACAGATTACAGGGCTGGAGAGATGGCTCAGCAGTTAAGAGTTCTGGCTGCTCTTCCAGAGGTCCTGAGTTCATTTCCCAGCAACCACATGGTGGCTCACAACCGTCTGTAATGAGATCTGGTGCCCTCTTCTGGCCTGCAGGGATACATGCAGGCAGAATGCTGTATATTTAAAAAAAAAGTACAGATTACAGGGTTAGGGTTATAGATCACTTAGTAGAGTACTTGCTTAGCATACACAGAGCACGAGGTTTGATCCCCAGCTCAGTATAAAATCAGATATGGTGGCCCATGTGTAATACTGCCACCGAGGAGGTGGAGGCAGGAGGATTGGAAGTGTAAGGTCCCTGTCTCCAAAGGAAGTATAGATTACAATGGCTGGAAGAGCGGTGCGGTTGTTTAGTCTGCCACCAAAGGGTCAGCTCTGGGAAGGAGAGTGGGAAATGTGCAGTAGGGAATATCGCTTTTGTCTTACTTCACATATTGAAGAACTGGGGGAAATTACTCTTTAAGAGCTGATGTTACTGACCAAAGTGTGTATTTGAAACCTATTTTCACTCTATGTGGGACTATGGTCTTGGCTTTTCATTTGAATAGTGTGGATAATAATAGTATTTTTACAGAGAAGTATTTGGGGAGTACTTAAGTCATGTAACAAATATAAAACATTTAGGGTCCAGGCAGTGGTGGCACACACCTTTAATTTCAGTACTCGGGAGGCAGAGGCAGGCAGATCTCTCTGAGTTCGAGGCCAGCCTGGTCTACAGAGCAAGTTCCAGGACAGCCAGGGCTACATAGAGAAACCCTGTCTCAAAAAACCAAGAAACAAACAAACAAACAACAACAACAACAACCCAAGAACATTTAGGAGAGTGTTGATACATAGTAAACTGCTAAGGGTTAATTATTGGTGATATTTACAACAATGTAAGAACATTTGCTTTCTGTGTATGAATGTTTTGTTTACGTGTATGCATGCAGAATATCTGTGTATCTGGTGAGAAGAGAGCATCAGATCTGATAGAACTAGAGTTGCAGATGGTCGAAAGTCACCACATGGGTCCTGGAGCCAAAGTGGGGTCCTCTGCAGGAGCAGCAAGTGCTCTGAACCACCGACCCATCTCTCTAGCCCTGCTCTTATTTCTATTTATACTAGTACATTATCCCTATTATGTTTACTGTAAGAAGTAGGATCCGTTGTGTGTTTATATATTATTTATTTATAGTGCTGGGACCAAACCCATGGCTTTATACGCACCAGGCAGGCACTCTGCCACCAGGGTTCACCCCCACCTGAGGTCTGCTGTCCTTGCCGGGTTCATGTAGGACACAAAGATGTCAGAACGTTCAATTATTTGTACAGAGTGGTTTTAATGCAGTGGGTGAAAAACTCCCTAAGTTCCCCAGCCTGCCGTTGGTGGCCTCAGTGCTTCCTTGCTTCACATTCGTTTTCTTCCTCAGATGTCTTTTTAACAACAGTGGCAATGCAGTTTGATTCCTGGGCACCGCTGGTTTCACACTGCTTACTGCTAGTTTATGAGCCTTACACATGGAATCTTACTAAAGACAGTGTATGGGCTCTCTTGTTCCCAGCACCCATGTGGGGGCTCCCAGCAGTTTGTAACCCTAGTTCTCAGGGATCTGACACCCTCTTTTGACCTCCATGGTCATCAGGCATGCATATGATGCACATACATACCTGCAGGCAAATACTCATGCACATACAGTTAAAAATAAAAACACATTGTAGATGCTTTAGGTCAGCTCTCTTTTTTTCTTTTGACTAGTTCTTTTATATCCAATATTGTGTCAAATAATAGGGAAGAGGCACTGAGGGCGAACCACAACAGGCACTGTCCTAAGTGGGTTTTGTGGACTAACTGTTCATTCTCCCAACAGCCCTGTACAAGGGAGACACGGGCTCTAGAAAAGGATCTAAGGAAGGTGGAGGGATCCAGAAAACGCTGCCTGAAATCATAGGTCCACATGTCTTAGAGCTGGGCATTGAGCCAACAGTGTGTCCGTAGGCACAGAATGGTCCTCTTGTGAGGTTCTAATCCTGGCGTCAGTCCATGTGTCTGCTGTTTGCAGGTTGTTGCCTGGCTCTCCTGTGTATAAAAGCCACTATAGAATAATGACACGTGTATTTCCAAAGTATCTTGAAAAGAATCATTATCAAAAAACTGACTTTTTGCTGGGTGTAGGTGACATGTGCTTTTATTCCCAACACTAGGGAGGCAGAGGCAGGTGGATTTTGTGAGGTTTAGGCCAGCCAGAGCTAGTGATACCCTGTCTAAACAAAACAGAACAAAAAGTGGACTAGCCAGAGGGCTCATCAGGTGAAGGCACTTGTTACCAAACATAAGTGGAAGGAAGGAGGGAGCCAACTCCTGAGAGGTATCCTCTGACACATGCCCACATGTGCATACGAGCACACAAAATAACAATGTGACAATCAAACTGTTTTCTCAACTTCTACTTTAGAAAGGAGTGCTGTGTATAATGGCATCAGCCTTTAATCCCAGCACTGGAGTCAGAAGCAAGTGGATCTCTGAATCTACCTGATCTACACTGTGAGTTACAGGCCAGCCAGGAGTACATAATGGGATCCTGCCCCAAATTAAGAAGAAAGAGAAGAAGGGAGGGAGGGAGGAAAGGAAGGAAGGAAGGCAGGAGGGAGGGAGGGAAGGAAGGAAGGAGTCTACAGAATCTACAGCCAGTTAAGCTGACCAGGTCCCTTTCTAGATGGAGGCCTGGTATGCAGGGGCTGCGAACAGCAGCGTCCTTGGTGGTACATGCTGCCTGTTGCCTGTACAGGCTGCCCTAAGGGACCTTGGAGACAGTTTCCTGGTAGTTTCATGTGCATCTGATCTCAGTGCTGTCCTTAAACTTAGCTCCAGACAGGTATGTGCGGTGCCTTTGGAGAGCCCAAGGCCACAGTGGCCAGGTCGTCATGTCCATCCATACCAAACTGCAGAATAAGGAACATGTGATTGAGGCCCTGGGTAGAGCCAAGTGCAAGTTAGTTCCCTGGTTGAGGGGTCAAGTATAAACCCACTCACGGTGCCCTTGACAAGTGACAGACCTACATTCCTCAGGCTTCTACTGTGCTGTCCTGTACCCCACCAAATCATGTTTAGTAATAAATCTCACATTTAGTCTGCCTGAAAAGAAAAAGAAAAAGAAAGACATGGGTTTTCTAAGAATAAGGAGTTCTCTTATAAGTCAGATTAGCATTATTATACTCCTGAAAATTATTAGCTACAGCTGTGGATGTAGACAGAGTAGTCGTATAGCACGTGTGAGGAGGCCCTGTGTTCAACCCCAGCACCACAAACGAGATTATAAACAAAAAGGATTGTGTCTCCTAGAGATGACAAGGAAGCGGCTCCCACGACAACACAACAATATGGCAGCAGCCTGACCGGTGACAATGCTAATAGACATGCTAATAAGGGAGGGTCCTGTTCTTAGACACTGTCCACGGCAAGTAATGACTGCTATGAGAGGGGGGATTGTTCTCTCCAGAGATGAGCCCCAGTTCGGTTATCAATACAAAACAACCTTAACATTATGTACATGCGAACAACACAGTGGACTCGCAGATTATATCTCTACCTACTTCTATCTGTCTGTCTGTCTGTCTATGTTTGTCTGTATATATATCTATAGATGTTACACATATGTACACATACATGCACAAGTATGTGTGTGTGTGTGTGTGTGTGTGTGTGTTTACAGGTTTAGAGAGAGAAGAAAACTTGGTGGAGTGAGTTTCCTCCCTCACCTTATGTGGCTCTGGGAATCAGACTCGGCTGTCAAGCTTACACAGCCAGCACCTTTAAGCTGAGCCGTCTTGCAGGTCCCAGGTTTTATTTCTTCGATTTGTCTTAACCTTGGAAAGACTACTTCCAGGACCATGCTGTGCTGGCATGTCACAGTCAGAGCCATGTAATCATAATGTCTCACTGCGGTGAATATTTGCTAGTAACTTGTTAAAGTGGCAGCTGTTATATGTCGCTGTGGCGGTTTGATTAAGACATAAGTCTTGGGCGTTTAGATGCTTGGTCCTTAGTTGGTGGAACTGTTTAGGAATGATAAGGTGTGGTCTTGCTGAAGGAGGCTTGTCTCTCTGCCTCCTGCTGTGGATCTCTGTGTTAGCTCTCAATTGCTCTCATCTCCATGCCTTTGCTCCACCATCATGGACTCCAACCCTGTGAAACCAGAAGCCCAATTGAATGCTTTTGTTGTTAAATAAGCTTTTCTGGTTGTCATGCTTTGTCAAATAATAGAAAAGTACAACAATTTCCATATATATATATATATTCTGTTTTTAATTAATAAGTAATCTAGGGTGGCATATCTAAACTGTTGTTTCAGTTAGTCTTTTTTGTTGAAAAACTTTTAGTGAGCCCTCATGTCCTGGGGTAATATGAGTTGTTCATAGTCATGGAGGCACAGGCGCTCGGGAGGCTGAGGGTTGCATGCACCTACCAATTGGAGACAGACCTGTGAGCAGTGGGGAGTTCACGTCTCTCAAACTTATAGTCTCCCCCAAAACTTAAAACTCGTCTCTGAGATAAAGCCCGTTGTCAGCCATGCTTTGAAAATACACTCTTCTTGCCTGTCATTTACCTCTTCTTAATGGTTTTGAAGTTCATTTTATCTGTCTTTTTCTTTCCTGGGCCACGATGCTTCTGTCTTTTGCCCAACATTTTCTCATGTATTTTTTTGGGAAGTTTTACAGTTTTAACTTTGGTGTTTTGGCTTGTATAATTTTAGTTACTTCTGTTTATCATAAACCCCAAAGACTGAGGTTCCCAACTCACCAGGGCATCGAGTCAGCCCTGCCTGTTGGAGTTGGTGTCCTTCCTCATTGAATCACCTGGTACTTGGTGCGAGAGCAGGTGTGCCATCATGCCCACAGGTGTCAGGTGTTGTGATGGTTTTCCTCTTACAGTGAGCAGGCACATCACATTCTATCACACAGTTAGCTTCCGGGTGAGGGAAGGCTAGTCTGCTCAGGAAAGTGGCAATGGAGGGATAACAGTTAAGGCTTTTGAGACGGGGTTCTTTCAATCACTGATTTTTTTTTTTTAAAGATTTATTTGTTTATTATGTATACAGTGTTCTGTCTGCACATATCCCTGCAGGCCAGAAGAGGGCACCAGATCTCATTACAGATGGTTGTGAGCCACTATGTGGTTGCTGGGAATTGAACTCAGGACCTCTGGAAAAATAGCCAGTGCTCTTAACCACAGAGCCATCTCTCCAGCCCCAATCACTGATTTTTTTAAACCTTTTTTTTAAAATTTATTACTCTATTGTCTGTGCATGAGTGTTTTGTCTGCATGTATGTCTGTGTACCACATGTGTTTCTGGTGTGCTCGAAGGACAGACAAAGGTGTTAGACCCCTGAAACTGGAGTTATGGGTGGTTGCAAACCACTCTGTGGGTGCTGGGAACCAAACCTGGGTCCTCTGCAAGACTCTCCACCCCTGAGCCATTTCTCCAGCCCTTTTCATTCATTTATTTATTCAACATTCAGAACAATGTCGAATGTCCCTTCTAGAGTATACAGCTCAGTAAGTGGGGGCGATAATTATTAGAAGACTTCTTAGAGAACATCCTCATCCTTGTATAATATATATCATGGTAAGGGCCAAAAAGGAGAAAAAGTAGGCTTCTTGAGGAGAATGTTTGGTGGACCTTAGAAAGTCCCACTGAGGGGATGATGAGTGGTCCAGACGGGCAAAGCAGCACACTTAAAACAGTTGTCGTTACAGGTTGGGGAGATGGTCCAGCCAGTAAAGTGCTTGTGGCATACACATGATAGCCTCAGTTTAGATCTCCAGCACCCACGTGAAAAGCCAGGCACAGCAGCACATGTCTGTAATCCTGGTGCTGAGGTGGCAGAGACGAGGATTCTGTCGCTTACTGTCTCACTAGTCATGAGCTCTGTGGTGAATGAGAAACTGTCTCAGAAAATAAGGTGGCAAGTAATTGAGGAACACACATCAGATGTTGACTGTTCATCTCCACATGTATGCTTGCACACGTGCGCTCACACAGGTACCTGCATACAAACAAACATGTTCACACAAATAAAAACTTTTAAGAATCTGATCATAAGTCTGGTATAGCACTGTCTTCCTATATCTCAGCTCCCAGGAGGCCGAGCCAGGAGGACCAGTTTCAAGCCCACTCTGGTGTGTATAGTGAGTCATGGTGCTGAAGAGGTAGCTGAGAGTTCTACATCCAGATCTGAAGGCAGCAGGAAGACAGTGAGACACTGAGCCTGGTTAGAGCATTTGAAAACTCAATGCTCACCCCCCAGTGAGACACTTCCTCCAGCAAGGCCACACCTTTAATGATGCCACCCCCCCCCCCCCCATGGCCTTATAGGGGCCATTTTCCTCGAGACCACCACACTAGGCAAATGCTGTACTAACTAATGGAGCAACACCCACAGCCTTCAGAATGACATTTGTGAGAGTCATCATTGTTGAGTGTAGTAATGGTTGGTTTTCTTTGTTGTGTTAAAGGATTTTGAGGGAATAAGTTGTGTGATTGGATTTGCTTTTAAGAGGTGAGTGGAGTCGGGCGGTGGTGGCGCACGCCTTTAGTCCCAGCACTCGGGAGGCAGAGCCAGGCGGATCTCTGTGAGTTCGAGGCCAGCCTGGGCTACCAAGTGAGTTCCAGGAAAGGCGCAAAGCTACACAGAGAAACCCTGTCTCGAAAAACCAAAAAAAAAAGAGGTGAGTGGATGTTATAAGGGAAAATAGACTACGAAGAAGCAGAAGTAGGAGGCTGGGAAGGTATCTCTGTTAAGTTACTTTTCTTGTTGCTATGACCAAATGCCTGACATGCAGCAGTTTAAGGGAAGGAAGGTTAATTTTAGCTCATGGTTTGAAAGGGTGCATTCATCATGGTGGAGAAGGCATTGGTGTTGCAGCCCCTCTTCATGGCGGGGAGAACATGTAGCAGCTAGCTCTTCACTACATGCTGTGTGTGCATTAGGGAGTGGAAGGAGACGGAAGTTGGAGGATGGGGGAGGGAAGGGCTAGTTCAAGGAGGAAGAGAGAGACTCATCCTCCCTGGAATGACTTTCTCCATTAGACTGCACCCTCTAAAAATCACACACCTTACCAAAACAAGGCCGCCTGGAGAGAAGCAAGGATTTAAAGACATGAGCATTTTGGGGGCAGTTTCACATTGAACCAACCGGTAATGCGAGCTGTGGAGTCAGAAAGCTGAGAGTTCATCAAGAGATGAGAGGGCATAGACGGTGGGAGTTACACACGTAGAGAATAAGGCTCAGTGATGTCCTGTGACTCCGAGGCTTCCTGCTTGGACAGCTGACAGATGCAGCTTCTTTGGGAAGGAAGATTGGAAGGACACATTTAGATCGAGCGAGAAGTGAGAGTTGAGATATGGAGTGCCTTCCCGCAGGCATTTGGATTACAAGTGGAGTGTGGGGGGAAGTGAGAAATTTCCATAGGAGGAACATTGGAGGCACTTGCAGAGAGCGTACCGTGTGAGATCTCAGCTCCACCATTTCAGCCAGCTTCTGTTGGCTGCGCTGACTGAGAGCAAATCCTTTGATTCCTTTTTAAATCTTTCCTCATGTGAAATGGAAATATTATTTGCTTTATAGAGTTAAGTAAGTGTAATGTGACAGTGAGTCCACACTGTAAAGATATTTGGCTCCGTGGATGCTCAGAAAAGTTGGTTCGTGCACCTGCTGTTTGGATTGATGGGGGAAAGGTTACAGAAACCTTGAAAAGCACAGAGGAGATTTGCTAAATTATGAAGCTAGAGTGTTTTTAAGTTTGGAATTAGACTTATAGAAGTCTGATTTCAAGAACTGTTTTCTAACTGCTGTGAAGAAAAGTTAGAGGCAAGACATATCTAGGTAGCCAGGTGTGGTGACTGTTGCCTTTAACCTCAGCATTTGGGAGGCTGGACTTGCCTAGAGTTCAGTCCAGGTCATCCTGGGCTACATTAAAAATAAGACAAGAAATATCTAGAAGTGTCAATGATTATAGTCTAGGATAAGGTGCTGAGGGCTGGTTGTGTTTTGAAATTAGAAGTCAAAGAATAAATCAGATTTTAAAAGAAGAAACTGCCAGGTGTGATGATGCATACCTTTAATTTTAGCACTCAGGAGGCAGAGGTAGGTATATATCTGAGTTCAAGGCCAGCCTGAGCTACATAGCAAGTTCCAGGCTATCCAGGGCAACATAGGGAGATACTGTCTCAGAAAACAAAACATAAAGAAGAAACTATAGGATTTGTTCAAATTAGTTTTGTGATTTAACAGGGAAGGAAGACAAAGTCACTTATGATCCTACAATTTGTAGTATAGGAGGCTAATAAAAAGGGCAGAAGCCGTGACTAATTGGTCGGGAAGGCAAGTTGAGTAGGGAAAGGCCTGCTTTCAGTCCTGAGTGTGGGACTCCTGAGGTTTAAGTTTGTTCCTATGTCATCAGTTTCTCTCCGCAGAGATACTGTGAAAAAGAACACAAGATTAGAAAGCAGGAGATTTAGTCTTCAAGCCAAATCACTAATTAGCTTAGTGGCCCTGGGAAAATCTACATCTCTGGTACTTCGTGTAGTTGTCTAGCAAGTGAGGCGAAAGCACATCTGCCTTGGCAGCCTTCCAGAGGTATTTGCAGATGAAATAAGAATGCACATTGGGGGCTGGAGAGATGGCTGCTCTTGAGGAGGATCCAAGTTTGGTTCCCAGCACCCATCATGGGCAGCTCACAGCCCCCTATAATTTCAACTCCAGGGAATCTGGAAGCCTCTATGGGCACTTGAATCACATGTATGCACACGAGGTGCGCGTGCACACACACAATTTAAAACTATTTCCTTTAGTACTAGGAATGTAGCTCAGTAGTAGAGCGAATGCTAGGGTACACAAGGCCTCAGGTACAATCCCTAGCACCCTCAGTACTTATAAAAAAATACTCTTGTCATTGTAGTTAGGACCAGAGAAGGGAAAATAAGAAAAATGTCACAATTCGTGGTAGCTTTTGTTTGGTATTAATGAAAAGTAGAGAAGCTTGAGTCTGAATACGTGTATCTGAAAACGTAGACTGATTTGGGAGACTCGTTTGGAAGCTTATGTCATCTACAACAGTGATCACAACTAAAAATACAGGTTGCATCTTATTGGGTGTGAATATTTAACATGCCTTTAAGTTGAGTATCAATCGAAAGTTTTTATTTCCATCTGTGTGGTGCTCTGTGTGGTAGAATTAGAATTAGAAGTCACCCTTTCTGCTGTGGGATGGTCTTTCTGTAAGCTGTGAATATGTGTTGCTACTGTTGGTTAATAAAGAAGCTGTTTTGCCCTATGGTAAGGCAGGATAAGAGCCAGGCGGGAAATCCAAGAGAGATACAGGAAGAAGAGGGTGGAATCAGAGCAGACGTCAGCCCGCCACCCAAGGAGCAACATGTCAGCAGAACCTGGTAATGCCACGGCTATGTGGCAAAACATAGATGAACAGAAATGGGTTAATTGAAGATGAAAGAGCTAGCTAGCAAGAAGCCTGAGCCATAGACCAAACAGTTTGTAATTAATATTAAGCCTCTGACTGGTTATTTGGGTACCTGCTGGTGGGAAAGATTTATCCTACACCTTTCTACATTGCTCTTCTATTACTGTGATAAAAACCATGACCAAAAGCAACTTGGATCTGGATGGGGAGGGTTTGTTTCGTCTTATACTTCCAGGTCACCATCCATCTTTGAGGGGAGTTGGGCAGGAACCATGAAGCCCACAGACATGTCCATAGGCTAGTCTAATGGAGGCAGTCCCCCAATGAGACTCTCAGATAACTCCGGGCTGTGTCCAAGTTGACAGCTGCAGCCAGCTAGGAGAATCTTCTTATGTCTGTTGCTGTGAACTCTATGTTTTTGTCAAGGATCTAATTGCAGAAATGTCTCTATCACTGCTCTGTATCCTAAGACATTATTCCTAACACTTCTCAGCACTGTCAGTGAATGGAGTGTATTAGCTGGAGCACAGATCTGGAGCCAGCTGAGTTGACGCTGAACTGTCAGTTGACGGAGTTGTGTGTACTTGTCTCAATTCTCTCTGCCTCTATTTCCCCATCTGTCATAAGATAATATCTGGGGAAAGGTTACTGGGAGGGTTTCATGTTGAACTCCCTATGAGGCACTGTTTAAACATCAGAAATAGTCATTAGAATAGTTGCTATTTTGACAGTTGTCCAAGAATAAAGCACATGATCAAAAAGAACGAATTCTCTAGAAGCTGATAGCTTGGAGGAGGAAATGGTATAGTGCTGAAGACCATGGGCTTTAGAGGCACATGAGCCTGTATGCAGTCCAGTGCTACCCTTTGCTTTGTGGTTCAGGCAGGCCACTTAACCCCTCACTCACATTCTTTTATGGGAATCACACCACCTCGCTACCCAGCAGGTTGTTGAGAAGGGTAAATGAAGTACTGTATGAAATACCTGCCCAGAGGAGCTGCTGAGAAAGTGAGAATGCTGCCGCTTGCTCTCTGCCGTCTGTTGCCTCAGTGGAGAGCGGTTCTAGGAGTTGGGTTCAGTAGTCCTACCCATTTCTTTGTTTTTTTGTTGTTCTGCTCCCCACCTCCCAACACACAGAGAGACTTCATTAAGCTGGACTCTTCAAGAGTAGGGCACTAGCATGTGCATTTTATAATGAATGTCCTGTATACCTCACTTTTAAAAACAACTAGATCATGGCCAAGAGTATAAAGAATTAGACATCTTTACACACTGTTAATATAATTATAAATTGACATAGTATGGTCAATAGAACAATTTTGCAGTTAGATATAAAGTTTTTAAATCTGTTCTGTATGAATAGATACATACACAGATTTATAATTTGAAGTTTTCTGTTTTCTTTTCCCTTCTGTGAGACATGGTCTCCTTATATATAACTCAGTTTGGCCTCCAACTCAAGATCCTTCTATCTCCACCTCCTCAGTCTTGGGATGACAGACATATGATAGATAGTGTACCCTGCTGAAGGAAACATTCAAGAGCTGTTTGTGGTAGTGCATGCCTATAATCCCAGTCCTCAGAGGCAGAAGTAGGAGGACCAGGAGTTTGAGGACACTTTAGGCCACATAGTGAGACTTTGCCTTCAAACCTTTTCTGTAGACGTGTTTATATACTAAAAACTTGTAAGCAGCTAGTTGATTTGTAGTGCATACATAGTTGAATCTATTAAAGTGATGCTACAGTTTACTATGCAACCATTTAAAGAGTGAAGTATAATGCTGGGTGGTGTTGGCAAAGCCTTTCATCCCAGCACTAGGGAGGCTGAGATCTCTGAGGTCAAGGCCAGCCTGGCCTACAGAGCAAGTTCCAGGACAGCCAGGGATACACAGAGAAACCCTGTCTCAAACAAACAAACAAAAGGTATGAAGTATGTATGTATGACAATTTCTTTTTTTTTTTTTTTTTTTTTTTTTGGTTTTTCGAGACAGGGTTTCTCTGTGTAGCTTTGCGCCTTTCCTGGAACTCGCTTTGGAGACCAGGCTGGCCTCGAACTCACAGAGATCCGCCTGCCTCTGCCTCCCGAGTGCTGGGATTAAAGGCGTGCGCCACTACCGCCCGGCGACAATTTCTTATACACGCTAAAGTTGTGAACGTGAGCAGGATTTTTGCTGGGTGTGTCCTGTAATCCTAGTACTGGGAGGGATGAGTGAAGAGGCTCCCCAGTGTTTAAGGACAGCCTGGGCTCCTTAGTAGATCTGATTTGTCTTATGTCAGAATTAATGTAGGTTTAATATCTGCATATCTGAATGTCAAAATTAGGGTTAAAACACTTGTGCAATTCTTATCAATTGATTGGCTTCTTGCCTATTAGAATTTTAATACTTTTTAATCTTCCTCTTCTAATTTTAGGCTCGATGAGAGAAAGGGAAAGTTAAGGATGCTGGAGCAGAACAATGGATTTCTCTTTCTCTTTCATGCAAGGGATCATGGGAAACACAATTCAGCAACCACCTCAACTCATTGACTCCGCCAACATCCGCCAGGAGGATGCCTTTGATAACAGCAGTGACATTGCTGAAGATGGTGGCCAGACACCCTTCGAAGCTACTTTGCAACAAGGTTTTCAGTATCCACCCACAACAGAAGACCTTCCTCCACTCACAAATGGCTACCCACCATCGATCGGCTTGTATGAAACTCAGACCAAATACCCGCCATATAACCAGTATCCCAATGGGTCAGCCAACGGTTTTGGTGCAGTTAGAAACTTTAGCCCCACTGACTATTACCATTCAGAAATTCCAAACACAAGACCACATGAAATTCTGGAAAAACCTTCTCCTCCACAGCCACCACCTCCTCCTCCTTCGGTACCACAAACTGTAATTCCAAAGAAGACGGGCTCACCTGAGATTAAACTAAAAATAACCAAAACTATCCAGAATGGCAGGGAGTTGTTCGAGTCCTCCCTTTGTGGGGACCTTTTAAATGAAGTCCAGGCGAGTGAGCACACGAAGTCAAAGCACGGGAGCAGGAAGGAGAAGAGGAAAAAGAGCAGCAGGCACGAGGCGTCCGGACCCGAAGAGCGCCGGCCACACAAGACCCCCAAGTTAGAGCCAGAGGCACAGAGTGTGAGTGAGGCACCTTTCCTGTTTACTGGGGATTGGATATCTTTTTCTTTGTCTGTCTCTTCAAGTATATTTCTGGTGAGTTCTTTCCTGTGATCCTTAGCAAGGTGCTTCTGGCTGACCTGGAACCCTCTCTGTAGACCAGGCTAGCCTCGGACTCAGACCCGTCTACTCGGCCTCCGGCTTGTTTATTTTCTTATCTTGAGGGGCTCAAATATCTTTACTTGCTTCTATCGAACTCTTGGTTTTGGGAGATGGAAAAAAGGCAGAGAGAGCTGGGATTTTGTTTATCTGGGGCCAGATTTGCAGGTAGTTCAACACTTGTTTCCACATTTGCTGCTGACTAAGCAGAAGTGGGAGAGCTCTTTACAAGCAGGGCCTTCCCCCGGGGTTGTGGCTGGAAAGTGCAGACAGACGCAGAACAGGTGCATCTCTGAATTTGAGGCTAGCCTGGTCTACATAGCCAGTTCCCGGCCAGCCAGGACGACATAGTGAGACCCTGTCTCAAAAATAAAAAAGTAAAGTCAGATTATCTAAACACACTGATTAGGACTTTAGGTGGAGTTTTTATAAAAGCCCATGTGTACTGGTGGATTGTTGTTGTTGTTGTTGTTGATTTGTTTATTTATTTATTTGGTTTTTAATCCAAAGGCATGAGACACCATGCCCAGCTCTGGTAGATTATTTTACTGTCTGAGATTTGATTGTGAAGTTTCATGGCAATAAGGTAATAGTAAGTGTGTAATAGATCAGTTCTAACTTGAATGAAGAGTCTGTGGTGTAAACTACAGATGTTTTCTAGATATGCATTTAGGAAGAAACTAATAAATGCTTATTTTGTGACAGTTATTTGCTTTCATATTTTATATATCTGAATAAGTTAATTTATTCTTTGGTTTAAAGAAAGATTACTTCTTGTTAATTGAACATTTCTTGGGCAGCTGGATCCTATTATTTCATATGATTCAAATGTGATTGATATCCCCATCCCCCCCCCCCCCTATAAAGTAGGTATTTCACATCTTTTCCTATTTTTCTGTCATTTTCTTACTCATTTAACACATGTTGATTGAATATCATGTTTCTGGCACTGTTCTAAGAATTGAAGGTGTGAATGAGTGCAGAGCAAAGGATGTCTGCTCACAGTGCTTATCTTCCAGTTCATTTGTGTGCACATATATATGTATATATATGTATATTTGTACACACCCCACACACAAAGGTTTGAAGGATGTCACATGCTATGAAAGAAATAGAATTGAGTCTGGTGTCATAGTCTACATCTGTAAGAATGAAGGTTTTAGGATTAAATGCTTTCTTTAAAAAATTTTTTTAAGTGTCTGGGTGTTTTGCCTGCATGTATGTCTGTGTACCACATGAATGCAGTACCTGTGGAGACAGACAGGACATTGGATTCCCTGGACCCGAAGTTACAGTAATGAGCCACCATGTGGGTGCTGGGAATCAAGCCCAGGCCCCCTGGAAGAGCAGCCAGTGCTTTTAACTGCTTTACTCTCTCCACCCACTGCCCCTCTTTCTTCCTCTTTGATTGTTTTTGAAGATTAGCATGCACTGCAGTGCTCTCTAAAATGCTGTTTGTAAGGCATCTGTTGTGTGTGTGTGTGCATGCACATGTACACATGCATGCCACAGTGCATGTGTGGAGGTCAGGGTAACTTGGGAGAGTAGGTTTCACCATGTTGCTCCTCCCAAGAGTTGAACTCGGCTTGTCAGGTGTGGCAGCGAGTGCCTTTGTCTTCTGAGCTGTCTCCCCAGTCATCATGTGTTCTTGTGTGTATGCATGTGCAGACAGGAACCCATGGAGGCTGGAAGAGGCCTGGGGGCTCCTGGAGTTAAGGGTTGCAGGCTGGTGGGAGCCACTTGCTCTGGTTGTTGGGAATCGAGCTTGGGTTCTCTGGAAGAGCAGCAAATGTTCTTAACATTTTTAAAGATTTATTTATTTATTATGTATACAGCATGTATGTCTGCAGGCCAGAAGAGGGCACCAGATCTCATTACCAATGGTTGTGAGCTACCATATGGGTGCTGGGAATTGAACTCAGGACCTCTGGAAGAGCAGTACAGTCAGTGCTCTTAACCTCTGAGCCATCTCTCCAGCCCCGCAGCAAATGTTCTTAACCACTGAGCCATCCCTCCACCCCCCTCATGAGTTGTTGATGTCGTTTAACAAATACCCTCCACAGAACTACCTTCCATATGTCTCATTTTGACTTTGTGTTGAGTAGATGAATAAATGGGGGACCCCAGACAGGCTCACTGTAGCATTTCTTTTCAGTCTAGCTTTGCACAGGGTAGGCACGTGCCGTATCACTGAGCAGCATTCCCACCCCCATTGTAGCATGTCTTGTCTAGACCTATAGTGAAGAGAGATGGCTACACATTGGCTTGGGAGAATCACAAAAACTGAGGAAATCTGGATTGGGATTTTAGCTTATTAGTTTCTGAGAACTGCTGTGCTGGCCTGTCTTACTTTGGCTGTAAAGAATCTGGCGCTGGGCAGTGGTGGCGCATGCCTTTAGTCCCAGCACTCGGGAGACAGAACCAGGCAGATCTCGGTGAGTTCAAGGCCAGCCTGGGCTACAGAGCAAGATCCAGGACAAGCAGCAAAACTACACAGAGAAACCCTGTCTCGAAAAAACAAAAAAAATAAGAATCTGGCAAGTAGGGTAATATTAATTGTATTTATTAGGCTACACTTTTTGATAAAGTTTGTTAAAAACATATCCTAATGGTGCGAGCTTATAATCCCAGCACTTAGGAAGTAGAAGCAGGAGGATCACAAATTCAGAGTTATCCTTGGCTATATAGTGAGTTTGAGGTTAACCTGGGCTACATGAAACCCTGTCTTAAAAAACTAACAGAACAACAAAAACCCAACACAAACAAAAAGTAAATGAAAACCCCTCCCATATAAAGAAGCCAGGTTAAACAGTCCGTTTAGTTCCTGGGCTTGCATTCTGCTCTATTAGTCTAGGAGCTTTGTATGGTGGAGCTGGTCTAAGATCACAGCACTTACCTTCAGGCAGGAACATTTACAGAGTTCCAGACAGGCTGGGGAATCCCCGTGATGACGGAAGAAGAGTGGGGTGTGAGTCATTAGTACATGCCCTTTTGCTCTTGAAAAATGTTCACATGCAAAATGTTCTTCTTTTACACACTTAAAAAACAATAAACTTGGTTACTCAGACAGTAAAAGAAAAAGGCACACTTTATCCCCTGTAAATTTTTTCCTTTGTTCGTGTGTGTGTGTGTGTGTGTGTGTGTGTGTGTGTGTGTGTGTGTATGTAGTATATGTACATGTGTATGTGCAAATGCATGTGCCTGTTTGATGCATGTAGGGGCAGTAGGAGGCTCAAGGAGAATGCTGGGTCTCCCTCTCTATCACGTTCTACCTCACCCTTGGGGTAGGGTCTCTTTGTGCCTGGAACTGTGCTGGCAGCAAGCCCCAGCAATTCCCCTGTCTCCACTTCTCACAGTGTTGAGGTTGCAGGTATAAATGCTGGGATCTGAACTGAGGTTCTTACATTTGCATAGCAAGTTATCTTGTCCACTCAGCCATCTATCTATCCAGCTTCCTTTTTTCTCATCATCACTGTGAACAGTAGTTTTTTTTTGTTCTTTGGGGGAATATGGTTTTGCTCATATCTTTGAAATTTATTTAGCTAATGTTATTAGAGCTTAAATTCTACCAGAATTTACATATTTTGTGTGTGTCAAACCCGTGTCTTAGCTGTTTGGAGTGGCACTGATACCAGCGCAGCTGCAGACACAGCTCTCCGAGACTCTGCTTGCTATCTGAGGACACAACTAGAAGTGGAGTCATTAGATCAGGGAGGAATTCTGGGGGTTTTCTTTTTGTTTGTTCGAGACAGGGTTTCTCTGTGTAACAGCCCTGGCTGTCCTACAACTTGCTTTGTAGACCAGGCTGGCCTTGAACTCACAGAGATCCATGGCGTCTGCCTGCCGAGTGCTGGGATTAAAGGTGTGTGCCCCATCCTCTTTTTACTCCTCGTGTGTGCTCAGGAGCACCGCAGAAGCGTCTAACAGAGCTTGTGCCTGTCCGAGGTCACCACCGCCTTGTCCTGGATGACTGCACGGTCCTAGTCAAGCATTCTGCTCCCCTCCTGCTTCCTTTCGAAACACTGTCTACATGGCAGCCAATGGCATCTTTTAAACAAAAATGACTTAGTACATGTCTGCCTAAGCCTCTTCAGTGGCTTTTCCTTGCACTTAAGATGAAATGTAAACACGTCGTCCTGGTTCACAAGGCTCTTGCAATCTAGCCTACTCTTCCATTCTCATCTTTTAGCTTCTCTCTTCCTTGGTCAGTGGGTCAGTAGGTGTGCCTTTAATTAATTATGTTACTGTGCATAGGTGTTTTGCCTACATGTATGTCTGCACTGTGTATGTGTCTGGTGCCTGCAGAGATCAGAAAATGGTGTCGGATCCCCTGGAATTGGAGTTACAGACATTTATGAACTGCCATGTTGGTGCTACACATCAAATCCTAGAAGAGCATTCAGTGCTCTTACTGCTGAGCCATCTCTCCAGCCCTAATAAGGCATATTAAAACAGGTGCCTTTCAGAGCCAGGAAAGTGGCACACGCCATTAATCCCAGTGCTCAGGAGGCAGAGGCAGGCAGATCTCTGAGTCTGAGGTCAGCCTGGTCTACAAAGCAAGTTCCAGGACAACCAGGGCTGTTAACACAGAGAAAAACCCTGTCTCGTTACCACTCCCCCTGCCCCATCGCCATCGAAAAGAAAATCTGCCTTTTAACCTTGGGTACCTTATACATGCCGTCTTAGTTACTGTTCTATTGCTGTGAAGAGACACCAGGACCAAGGAACTCATAAAAGAAAGCATTTAATTTGGGGCTTGCTTATGGTTTTAGAGGGTTAGTCCATGATTATCGTGGTGGGAACCAGACAGGATGGTGCTGGGAAGTAGCTGAGAGCTTTGCATCCTGATCAGCAGGTAGAGAGAGAGACACTGGGCTCAGTGTGGGCTTTGGGAACCTCAAAGCCCACCTCTAGTGACTCACTTCCTCCAACAAGGCCACTTCCCCTAATCCTTCTCAAAAAGTTCACCAACTGGAAATCAAGTGTTCATCATGAGCCTTTGGGAGCTGCTCCTGTTCTAACCACTGTACTCACTTGCTTCTTCCTGGTGTTTTTTTTTCTCCACTTCCTCCTAAGCCAGCTCCTCTTCCTTTGAGTCTCAGATTATAACCTTCTTTCTCAGAGAAGCCTTGAGGTCAGAGCCACATCTGTTTATAAGCATATGACCTTATTTAAGCCATCTGAATTGTATCCTCTGAAAAGAAATTAAACAAAAAGAAAGAAAGAAAGAAAGAAAGAAAGAAAGAAAGAAAGAAAGAAAGAAAGAAAGAAAGAAAGAAAGAAAGAAAGAAAGAAAAAGAAAATCTTTACCAGGCATGGTAGTGCACACCTTTAATTCTCTCTAGCACTTGGGACCTGGCAGTTGGTTCTCTGTGAGTTTGAGGCTAGCCTGATCTACATTAGTGAGTGAGTCCCAGGACAGCCAGGACTACATAGAGAGACAAAAAACAGACGAACAAATAAAAACAAACCTTTTACTTCATAGAATTATCTATCATCTATCTATCTATCTATCTATCTATCTATCTATCTATCTATCTATCTATCTATCTATCTATCATCTATCTATCTATTTATTTATTTATTTTTAAGGCATAGTCTCATTAGCCCTGGGTGGTCTGCCTCTGTCTCCTGAGAAAATTTGCTTTTTACAGAAAATGCAAACAATACAAAAGTAGACTTTCTTTTAGTATTTCCCTAATCTCATTGTCAGAACAGATAATTACTGTTAATACATTTGTCTTTATGTTGTGTCAGATCTTTTTCAGGTACACATTGATTATTTTTTTTTTTTAGTAAAATGTTTGAAGATAGTGATAGATGTGTGGATTAATGCCATGAATTAATACTATAATTATCATCCCTCTGGTTAAATTTTTTCTTTTTTGTGTTTCTGTAGGATTCACTCCTGAAATGTAACTTCTGAATTGAAGAGTAAATATATTTTAGACTTTGGTAGCTAGTTCCAAATTGCCTTCTAGAAACTCTTTGTTTTCTTATAGCCTGTAGGAAATGAACCCAGTGCCTCATATATGTTCTGGCAAGCACTCCACTATAGGACTCCATCATCTAACCTGCCTGTAGAATTTTTTATTTATCAGTATTAATATGTGTGTATATGTAGGGGGTAAGAGTCCAGCTTAGGGTAGTCAGTTCTATACTACCTCCCCGCCCCTTTTTTAAAGACAAAAGTTCTGTCACTCTGCTGTCCTCAGCTCCAGCTGTCCTCCTGCCTCAGCTCCCAAGTATCTGGTGTTACAAGTGCACAACACTAGACCCAACTTAGACACTTACTTTGAAGTTACCCGTCTGTGGTGTTGGGTGTATGGATCTGCCATGGTGTACAAATGGAGCTCGGTGAACAGTCGGAAGGAATCAAGGCTGTCCTCACCTTATGGGTTCCAGCTATTGAACTCAGCTTACCAGGTGTGGTGGCAAGTGCCGTTACCATCCTGCTAGCCAAAAGTTCACTATTTCAAAAACTTTCGATTGTTTATGTTGACCAGTGTTTTGCCTGCATGTAGGTCTGTGTACCATGTGTATGCTTTGGTGCTTCTAGAGGTCAGAAAAAGGCATTGGATTCCCTGGACCTGGAGTTGTGGATGCCATGAGCCTCCACGTGGGTTCTGGGAACCGAGCCCAGGTCCTCTACAAGAGCAGCCAGTGCTTTTAACCAAAGAGCCATGTCTCCAGTTTTCCAAAGTTCACTTTAAAAAGAATGATATTTCTGGGACTCATGATTTAAAAAGTAATATAATAGTTTATACATTGAACTTTTAGATTCCTTTACTGTAAATTAATATTTTAGTTACTGTACAAAATAGTAGGTTGCATCATGACGTTTTCCTACGTCATTCCTCATTCATGCTTGCATAAGTACCCCGCCCTTCCCTGATACCTCACCCCTGTCTTGATGGTCCCCTTTCTTCCAACAAATACCCATCTCCTGCTTTCACATCACATGCATATTTGTGCATATATATGTATATAATATATATATATATATATATAGGTAGGTAGATAATGTAGATGTTGCCTTTATACCATAATTTAACCAATTTTATTTTATTTTATTTGTTTGGTTTTTTGAGACAGGGTTTCTCTGTGTAACAGCCCTGGCTGTCGCAGAACTCACTCTGTAGACCAGGCTGTCCTCGAACTCACAGAAATCCACCAGCCTCTGCCTCCCAAGTGCTGGAATTAAAGGTGTGCACCATCATTACCCGGCTTCCAATTTTATTTTTATATAAGTACATTTTAAAAACAACTTATTCATGTATTGAATTATGCTTGTGTGTGTGTCTATACAGGCATGTGCACATGAGTGCCTTCAGAGGTCAGAGGCCTTGGCTTCCCTGGAGCTGGAGTTCCAGGCAGTTGTGAGCCTCCAGATGTGGGTGCTGGGAACTGCAGGTGCTCCTAACTGCTGAACTGTCTCCAGCCCCATCTACATTGTCTCACCATGTTGTTTTTATAAGCAGGATGCTTTGCAGATCTTCACACTTAACAGTTTTTCTCCTCAGTGCCTTTTCAGCAACAATTCTAGAAAATATACTGGACAGGAGCCTGAAAATGTGAGGCTCTCCATATACATTACCAACGCAGGTTCCAGAAAGATTCCAGGGTACACCTTATGAGCAGTTTCAGTGCCCCGTTTTTCCTTTAGTCTGTTAAATTTAAAAACGAAAACTGGTCGGGCTGGTGAGCTCTCATTGGGTAAAGATGCTTTCTGAGTAAGCCTGGTGACCTGTGTCCAGATCCTGGCACCCTATAAAGGTGGAAGGAGAGAGTGGATGCCCAGGTTGTCTTCTGACCTCCCCACACATCAGACAGAGTACCCAGGGTGGGAGCGGGTGGGAGAAGGAATTTTAAAGAGGAAAAAGTCAGTTTGCTTAGAACAGTGCTGTTAGGTGATGAAGTCAGAGGGGAGTCCTGACTGCTTTAGAGTGGAAAGTGTTAGCACCAGCGTCCGTCCGTCCGTCCGTCATGGACTGCACAAATAACCTCACTCCTCACGTCAGTGGTGTTTCCCTCGTGCTCCATACCGTTCAGTTTTCTCTGATTCTGTTCATACACCACAGTTGCTAGTTTCCTGCCGCTTTATTCTGTCCCTACATTTTTCTGCCTAGAGACCAAATGAGAGGGTGGACACCGCACCAGAAAAACCAAGAGAAGAGCCAGTGCTCAAAGAAGCCGTCCCGGTGAGTGGCTTGTTGAATACAGTGAGCAGGTACGATGTCAGGAAGAGATGGCGGGGCTGGAGAGATGGCTTAGCAGTTAGGAGCTCTGGTTGCTCTTCCCCAGGACCCAGGTTCAATTCCCAGCACCCACATGGTGGCTCCAGTTCCAGAGGATCTAACACTCTCTTCTGACCTCCAGAGGCATTAAGCATACATGTTACATATATGCATATGTTGCTCATATGCAGGCAAAATACTCATCCACATGAAGTAAAATAAATAAATCTTAAAACAGCAACAAACGAGGTAACAGCTCAGTGAAGGTTCTTTGCAGTACACCATCACAGCGCCATGGCTGTCTCTATGTCAGAAATCTCACTGGAATAGATATTTTCCAAATTTCTATGAATTATTCTCCTTATAAAAACCATGATCATTTTGTTTTCATTGAACTCTCAAAATGCTTCATCATTAATTTGGCAACAGAAACCAGTAGTCTTGTTTTCAGTATTTGGGACGGGCTTATTACTTTTTCTTTCTTTCTTTTTTTTTTTTTTGCTAGTTATAGATAGCAGAGAAGAATATGATGGAAGATAATTTTTACATTGGAGGCACCGTGTGTGTGCTCATGTGTGTGAGTATGGTTGTGTGCGTGCCACAGTTTCCAGCTCGGAGGTCAGAGGACAGTGTCCTTCCACCTTGTTGCAGATGGGGTTTCTGTGTTGTTTGCCCTGTGTTTGCCAGGCAGCTGGCCCGTGAACTTGTGGAGAGTGTTCTTTCTCCACCGTTCATCTCCTTAGGAACACTGGGACTCTGCATACACACTAGCACACCTCCTTTATATGGGTCCTGGGGATTCTGACTCAGCTCCGCATGCTGGAGGGACAAGCACTGTACCCATGGAGCCATCTCCCCAGCCCCTGTAAGCTGTGGGTGTGCTTTACTCAGAGTTTGCACCCTCCTCCCTCCTTCCCTCCCTCCCTCCCTCCCTCCCTCCCTCCCTCCCTCCCTCCCTCCCTCCCTCCCTCCCTTTCCTCTCCTTTTCATTCCCCTCCCCCTCTTTCTTTCTCTTCTGATGGAGATTTGTGACCTTTTCCTGTAGGTTCAGCCAATACTGTCTTCTGTTCCAACAACAGAAGCGTCCACTGGTGTTAAGTTCCAGGTTGGTGATCTTGTTTGGTCCAAGGTGGGAACCTATCCTTGGTGGCCTTGTATGGTTTCAAGTGATCCCCAGCTTGAGGTCCATACCAAAATTAACACAAGAGGTAAGAAAAGTAATAAATAGATACTAAGTAACAAGTTTGCAATAAAAAAAAGTGAACATTCAGCGTTGTATGTGAATGTGAGAATATGCATATATATTATCTGACATAAAAATATGAATCTTTTTCAAATTTTTGTTTATTATTGTTATGTGTTTTTGATACAGGGTCTTATGTCTCCAACCATCCAACAATCTTCTTGCCTCTCTGCTCCTCAGGGGTTTCTCATTTTTTAATGATAAATGAAATAATTATGGTTGTTTTATACTGGCAGAGAACTTCTGTAACTAATGTCTTTATTTTCTTGCTATGTAGCCCTGGCTAGTCTGGAACTGGCTGTGTAGTTCAGGCTGGCCTGGAACTCAGAGAGAGATGCCTACCTCTACCTTCTAAGTGCCAGGAAAGGTGTGTGTCATCACACCCAGCCCTTATAATAACTTTAACAAATTTTTTTTACGTGTGTGTGTGTGTGTGTGTGTGTGTGTGTGTGTGTGTGTGTGTGTGTGTGTTGGTGCCACAGAGGCCAGAGGAGGCATCAGATCCCAGGACTAGGAATTGAAATGGGGGCTTTGCACACGCTAGGTGAGCACTGTACTACCGAGTTTTAGTAGCCCCCCCCCCTGTTTTTTCTTGGTGGTTTTAGATTTCCTTTTATTTTCAGTTATGTGTGTGTGTTGGGATATGTGCACCATGTTACCCCCAGAGGCCAGAAGAGGATATTAGACCCCTCAGAGCTGGAGTTACAGCAGTTGAGAGCTGCCTGATGGAGGTGCAGGGAACCAAACCTGGGTCCTCTATAAGAGCATCATGTACTCTTAACCACTGAGCCATCTCTCCAGCCTCCTCATCCACAGACCTTTTAATTAATTTATTTAAAAGGTTTTTTTGGTCAACAGAGAGGTGAACCTCTGAAAATATCTGAGGAATTATCTTAATTACATTAGCTGATGTGAGAAGAGATGTGTGTAGTGTCAGTCCCTGGGCATGGTATCCATGATTATATGAAAAAAAAAACGAAAAAACAAAACGTCGAAAGCCAGCCAGTGATGTGCCTCAGTGGGCAAGAGTGTTAACTTACCAAGTTAAGTTACTGCCAAGCCTGCTGACCTGAGTTAGATCCTCAGAACTTATACAATAGAAGGAGAGAACCAACTCTTTGGAAAGATGTCCTCTGACCTCTGTGCAACCACTACCCCAGTGAATGAATAAATGAGTGGATGTTTTGTTTAGTTTCTTAAAAAAAAAAGTCAAAGTGGGCCGTGGTGTGGTAACACTGTGGAAGTAGATGTAGGCAGATCTTTCTAGTAAATTCCAGGCTACAGAGCTACATAGCAAGACTCTGCCTCCAAAATAAATTAAGTAAATAAATAAACAAACCCAAAACAGAACTGGAGAATGTGACCCCGGCACCACATGCAGTAATTAGTTCACTGTTTTCTGTTCTCGACTGTGGTTGTGATGGGACAGTTCTCCAAAGCTGCTGCTCTGACTTCCCTGCTGTGGTGGACCATACCCTGGAATGTGAACCCCAATAGGGCCTCACTAAATGGCCCGGACCAGCCTGGGACTCGCTGTGTAGTCCAGGCAGGCTTGTGAGCTTGCGGGCTTTTCACTCGGCCTTCTGAGTAGCCAGGATCACAGGTCTGAGGCCCCGTACTGTCTCCGGGTTTGCTTGGCATTTCTTTCGTGCTTCCTTGTTTTGAAGACTAATCGTACTGGCTTTCAGATTGCATTTAAAAATAAAAGCGTATTAGTAAGTGATTGGATATTTTATGTGAGTTTAATGTATAAGCTAAGCCTCTTTTGGAACTATGCTGTGTTTTGTTTTAATACAGGGACTCATTCTGTATAGTCCAGGCTGTTCCCAAGCTCCTTCTAATCTTCATAATTCTGAGTTCAGGGATTACAGTCTTATCTCACCATGTCTAACTGGATTGGTCATTAGTTTACTATGGGTTCCCCTGGGAATCACTATCACCCAAACAAGTACTTTTCATCATATTAAATTTCACTCGGTGCTTCATCCTCTTCTGTTTCATTCATGACTCTAACTATACTGGGAAAGCCTTGTGGATTTGATAGAACATGGAAGGATAGCTTGGATCTAGTTATAATAGGTAATCTTAGCTTAGGAATGTTCAAATCAAGAAAAGTTACATTCTGTGTGTACTTTGTCCAAACATGATGTTTGGTTTTGACCAAAACATGTGTAGTGGCTTCCTAAGATTCTCCCACCTGGAAGTGACTTCCTTAGTTCAAAGACATTTGGGCTGTAACTTAATTTCAGGGTACTTGCTCTGTGAACTCACCTTTGTCATATGTTGAGTTCTTTGTTATCTGTGACAATTTTGCATCTTATTCTTTTACATCAGACTTCCTTCTTGAAGAAAAACGTATCTGTTTAAATCTAGCAAATAAGATTTGGGGGTTTCACCCTATTGGTGACACTTAGCAAGAGCCTGCCTATGTGTAGTAGGTGGTGTGGCGTCCCATCTTCCATTTTGACAGTGTGTGCCCATCCAAAGCTGGGAGAATAGAATTGGGCAGGAATGAAAAAAATGAACACTGCTGTTTGCCTGGTTTTGTGCAAGGTACTATATTAGGTGATTCTGCTATGTATTTTCTTCAGGTTTTTTATTTCTTTGTTTCTTTTGGAGGCATGGTCTCGTGTGGCCTAGGCTGGCCTCAGACTTGCTATGTAGCTTGAGGATGACATAAAACTTTCGATTCTCCTGCCTCTGCTTTCTGCTGGGATTACAGTCATTTGCCCCCACACCTGCTTTAATGGGTACTGGGAAGGGACCCAGGGCCTTTGCGTGCTAGGCAAACACTTGACTAACTGAGCTACATCTGTTACTTACCGACTGAGCATTTTCTTCTGTGATGCTCACAGCAGATACAATGAGGTGTATCCTATGTCTCAGAGAAGTCATCTCAAAACCATCTTATTATAACCCTTGCTCTACAACTCTCAGCAGTTGAATCCAGGCAGTCTTAACTCAGAGGCGGTTATAGGGAAAAGTGTTAGGTCAGAGTATGTGAAGTACCTTGGAACTCTTATAACTCTGAATGGAGAAGAACAGGGCAGGATTACTCAAGAGACTAAATCTTCTGAAATAAAACAATCCCTGTCCATATCTAGACCCTGAGAGCTTTCAAAATGGGACCCTGAGAGTCACGGCTCTTCAGTTCTCTCCTTTCAAGAAAGCAACCTTGAGATCATAGAAGGAGCTTTTACATTTTTCTTTTTAAGATTTATTTTTTTCAATTTTGAATTCTTGTGTGTGTGAGTGGGGGCGGGGTATGTGCACATGCATGCCGTTGCCCTCGAGTGCTCGTATCCCCTGGAGCTAAAGCTCCAGGCAGTTGTGAGCATCCTGAAGAGTCTTGGGAACTGAACTTGGGCCTTCTGGGAAAGCAGTGCATTCTTCACTAGAGCCATGTCTGCAGCCTCAGGAGTGGTCACATTTAATTCATTAATTCATCTGCTAGTCAGATGCTCCTAGGCAGTTTTCTACTTTAGTGCCAGAAACTGTGTTTATATTACTCTTAGTGATTTGAGAATCTGGAATTTAAAAATCATTCATGTTTTCATTAAAACCATAAATGTTCTTTTGTCCTTAATCTTTTAAAACGTAATCGCAGCTGGGCGGTGGTGGCGCACGCCTTTAATCCCAGCACTCGGGAGGCAGAGCCAGGCAGATCTAAGTGAGTTCGAGGCCAGCCTGGGCTACCAAGTGAGTTCCAGGAAAGGCGCAAAGCTACACAGAGAAACCCTGTCTCGAAAAACCAAAAAAAAAAAAAAAAAACGTAATCGCTTTATTGAAATATTCTTGTAGTATAAAACTTAATCATTTATTTACTTATTTTTGTTTATTTATTTGAGGCAGGATCTCACTATGTAGCTCTGTCTGGCCTGGAACTCCCTGTATAAACCAGGCTGGCTTAGAACTGCCTGCCTGTGTCTCCCAAGTGCTGGGATTAAAGGTGTGTACCACCAAGCCTGACTCAATTTTACCCTTTTATTTAACTGTCAGAATTTAGTGATTTGTTTTGTTTGTTTTCGTTTTGCAGACAGGGTTTCTCTGTGTAGCCCTGGCTGTCCTGGAACTCACTCTGTAGACCAGGCTGGCCTCGAACTCACAGAGATCCACCTGCCTCTGCTTCCCAATTGCTGGGCTTAAAGGCTTATGCCACCACCACCCTCCAGTCTAGAATTTAGTAATTTTAAAAGTCCATTTTGAGTTGTGCTACTATCACCACAATCTAATTTAAGAATTTTATCACTCCATCCCCCAAAAAGAGAAATCTTACATCCAATAGCTATCACTAGAATTCCCTCCTGCCCCCTGGAGGCTAAGCTGTCAGCAAGAATCTTCTGCCTCTGTCCGTGCCAGTCTAGTGGCTTCTTTCACTTAGCATGGTTTAGGAGTTTATCCATGTTCTGGCATGTTTCAGTACTTTATCACTGTTTATTGCCAAATAGTATCCTGTTCCAGCCATGCAGTTCAGTTTTAAATAAAGTAGATTTCTCACAGTTTCTCTGAAAACCAAGACTAATTTTGTTGTGTACATTGTTCCTGTGAGCACTCTGTGCTGCTCTGTATCTAAGCTCCTTTGTACAGTTATTCTTGATTGTAGTAGCCACTGGTCTACAGTTGTTATTATTCACATTGTTAGCACTGGGCAACGTGTTTTTACACTTTAGTAATAATAACTCCTTGCACAGTGGTGGCGCACGCCTTTAATCCCAGCACTCGTGAAGCAGAGACAGGTGGATCTCTGTGAATTCGAGGCCAGCCTGGGCTACAAAACAAGTTTAAGACAGCCAGGACTGTTTCACAGAGAAATCCTGTCTCGAAAAACTAATAACAAACAAACAAATAAATAAATAGATGATAACTCCTTGTGAGGGTGTGTTGAAAGAATTTTAGGCCACATTTCTATTTTAAATTGTATCTTCATTTAGTTCTCATTTTAAGTTGAAATTAAATGCTTTTAATATTTTTAAAATACTGTATATTAATTGGGGAAGAGCAAAACTCTGAGTATGATGTCAGAAACCAACAGGTGTCCATAATCTCTTCTTACATCTGTGTAAATACTATTAAAATTTGAGGGAGGCTGGAGAGAAGGTTCAGCAGTTAAGAGCACTGGCTGCTCTTCTGAAGGACCCAGGTCAATTCCGAGCACCCACATACCATCTTTAATCCAGTTCCAAGGTTCTCATGTCCTCTTCAGGCCTCCTTGAACACCAGGCACTCGTGTACAGACATACATGCAGGCCAAACACCCACACACACTGTATTTGTAAAATAAAAGGAAATTTTGAAAAATTTGAGGTAATTCTTTTTCTCTGCACATATTTATAATTAACAAACATGTAAATGAAGGTCTTTGATAGAAGGTTTTTCCTGGGGAGGAAGTTGATTTTGTTTTTGAAGTACCTCACTGTGTCACCTAGGCTGACCTGGAACCTGAGGTCCTCATGCTTCCGGAGTACTGCCTCATAGAACACCTGCACTTGTCCTCTGTGTGAGTGCGTGTAGGTGTGTTTACCTGCGCACACACTAAGCTGGAGGAGGACGTGGGGTGCCCTACTGTCAGTCACTCTCCACCTTATTCCTTTTGAGTCAGGATCTCTCCCTGAAGCTGGAGCTGATCTGATGGCCACAGAGCCCCATCAATCCTGTCTCCATTTCCTCCAGCCCTGAGCTCCAGGCACAGGAGGCCTTGCCTGGATTTCTTCCAGGGGCTGAGGATGTGACTCAGCTCCTCATGCTTGTGCAGCAAGCGTGTTTGTCTGCCGAGCTGTGTTCTCTTTTCTCAGCCTCTTTCCTCATGCATGCTTTCTCTTCCCTTCCATCCTGCATCCTCTTCCTCCCCTCCCTCCCTCCCTCTCTTCTTGTGACAGGCTCTCATTATACAGCCTTTACTGGCCTGGAATTTGTTATGTAGACCAGGCTAGCCTGGAACTCACAGAGACTTGTCAGCCTCTGCTTCCTGAGTGCTGGGATTAAAGGCACGCACCTCTTAGCAGCCTTCCCATGCTTACTTTAACACCAGCAATATTTTTATTATCTGTTTATTTATTACTAGTTTTTAAATTTGTCTGTTTTGTAGACAGGGTTTCTCTGTGTAGGCTGGCTATCCTGGAACTCACTATGTAGACCAGGCTGGCCTCGAACTCACAGAGATCCACCTGCCTGAGCCTCCTGAGTGCTGGAATCAAAGGTGTGCACCAAAGGTGTGTACCTGGCTTAGCAATATTTTTAAAGTTATAAAAGTACATAGTTTTAACTTTACATCATTTTGCTTAAAAATATTTATGTGTATGAGTGTTTTGCCTGCATGTATGTATATGCACCATATGTGTGCCTGGTGCTTGAGGGTGCCAGAAAAAGAGTATTGCATCTATGGAGTTACATACAGATGGTTGTGAGCTGCCACGTGGTGCTGAAAACAGAGCCCTAATCCTCTGCTAGAGCAACATACTCTTAACTGCTTTGCCGTCTTTCCAACCTCTACTTTGAAATAGATTTTTTAAAATTATTTCAAAATTTGGGGTGTGGGTGTGCACACCTAAGTACAGGTGGCCACCCTGGTTAGAGGTACAAGATTCCCCTTGGAGCTGGAGTTACAGGTAGTTATGAGCCAACTGATGTGGGTGCTGGGGACAGACTCCAGAGCATGGTGTACTCTTCATGTGGCCATCTCTCAGCCTTGTGTTATTTCTCATATATAAAAACATTCCTTCTATGATGCACCTTTGACAGGAAGTGTAGAAAATTTAGTCAGTTGTTCAGAGACACGGCTTTGCTTCTTGAGTTTTCATGTCTTCAGGATTTATTTTATTTTTGCTCTTGCTTTTTAGATTTGTGGGTGAGAAAAGCTGGGGATTGATCCCAAGGTCCCCTATACGTGCTCTGACATTGAGCTACATCCCTAGTCTTTTTGTTTGGTTGGTTGGTTTATTTTTGTTTTTGTTTTTTGAGACAGGGTTTCTCTGTGTGGTTTTGGAGCCTGTCCTGGATCTCACTCTGTAGACCAGACTGCCCTCAAACTCACAGATCCACCTGCCTCTTCCTCCCGAGTACTGGGATTAAAGGTATGTGCCACCACCACCTGGCAAAGAATCATTTTTAAAAAACAAATAAACATTAAAAAAAAAAAAAAAGATGCCGGGCGGTGGTGGCTCACGCCTTTAATCCCAGTACTCGGGAGGCAGAGGCAGGTGGATCTCTGTGAGTTGGAGGCCAGCCTGGTCTACAGAGTGAGTTCCAGGACAACCAGAGCTACACAGAGAAACCTTGCCTCAATAAATGAATTAATGAATGAATGAACAAATAAATGAATAAATAAATAAATTTCTTGTTTTAGTGAGTCATGTAGATCTCTCATAAGTTGACATATTAGTTTGTAACTTTCCTTCTCCTCTTCCTTCTTCCTTCCTTTCTCCTTTCTCCTTTCTTACTCCTTCTCCTCCTCCTCCTTTCTTTTTGAGACAGGCTCTCTCTATGTAACCTTGGCTGTCCTGGAACTCTATGTAGACCATGCTGGCCTTAGAGTAAAAGAGATCCACCTGTTGCCTAGCTAGATATTCTTCTAAATCACCACTTACTTTTTCAGGAGTTCATTGATTTGGGGAAGTAAGCGAACTCAAAGAGGCAAAGGCAGTTTTCCTAGAATTCTAATAATGATCTGAAAGGTCAAACTATATTATTGATAACAAATAATGCTGTTTTCCTCGAAGTAGAGGTTCATTCTTGAGAGACACCTGCCACCTGCTCATGTCTGAATAGCAGCAGAAAGGCACATTTTCTAGTGACTGTGATATTCCATCTTGCCACCAAATGACCATAATTAATGCTCCCCTCAAGGCAGCAGCCTTCACTGTCCAGGATGCAGAAGTGTCTCATTCATTTCTCTTGTTTTCTTATCGCACGGAGTATTAAGAGGCATGGATTCAAGGCTGAAATGTAGGAAAATTAATCGTTTTTGCTGATTTATTAAGGATATCACATGAAACTATCCTTTTAAAAAAGTGCCAGTGTATGTATCCTTTTAAAAAAGTATGGTGGTAAAGCACCCAGCAGCTGGGTGGAGTTCCATGCAGTATTTGTGTCGTGATGCCAGACATTTTATCTGCTGTTGCTTTTGTGTCTGAAGCATAAAGGAGAAATCAGCAATATTATTATGACAGTACTATAGAGGTCACAGTTCCCCTAAAACAATCTTATGTTTATATAGCTAGAAAAATGATCTGGTCAGTACTTGGCTCTTAAAAGTCCAAGGAAACATGTACAGTTTGGGAAGGAAACATTGTGTACTTATATTCCAGTTTGTAAAAATATTAGAGACAAGTAAAAAATAAATTATGTAATCAAAGTAATAAATGGGGTGATTAACAGAATTTCACATTTCTTTCTCTTAAAACTTGCTACCCTGATTTTAATCATGTGGAATGATTTTATAGTAGCCATTAAAGTTATGAGGTTACTGAGTGTTTGGGCTATTTTAAATGTCCAAGTTTTAATGGAAAAAAATGCTGAGAAAACTGTATTTCAAGATCCCTTTGGCAAATTATATGTGGATTTTTATGTCCTAACATAATTAATATGAATTTTTACTTACAGGTGCCCGGGAATATCATGTCCAATTTTTTAGCAACCAGCCAGAGAGGGCATGGGTTCATGAGAAACGGGTACGGGAGTATAAAGGTCACGAACAGTATGAAGAGTTACTAGCCGAGGCAACCAAACAAGCCAGCAATCACTCTGAAAAACAAAAGGTAACTGACAGCCCATATGTGGGCTTTGTTTTGTTTGTTCCGTTGGAGATGGAAGCCAGGGTCTTTCCCATGACAGACAAGCAGTCTGCTGCTCAACTCTACCGCCACTGTGCATTAACACATTAACACATTTACAACTGGTCAGAGTGGTGTGTGCCCATCATCCAAGCACTCATTAGTGAGGCAGCACTTCAAAGTTTGAGGCCAGCCTGGTCTATATAGCAAGTTCCAAGCCATTCAGAGCTTCATAGTGAGGCCCTGTCTCAAAAAAAAAAAAAAATAAATAAATAGTTGTATGTCATGTAACATTATAGTACTATTAAAAGCTGTCAGAACTGAGGCTGTAACTCATTTGGTAGAGTTCTGCCAGCATGCATAAAGCCCTGGGTTAGGTCACTGGTACCACAGAAACTGGGCGTGGCTGCATATCCAGTAGAGGGAGGAGGATCAGAACTTCAAGTTTTGCTACATAGAGTTTAGGGCTAGCCTGGGATACATGGGATCCTGTCTCAGAAAACAAGACCAACTTTATAATCTGTTGTGAAGTGACCTGCACAAATCCAGTAGGCATTAGTGATGTTTATTTTGCTAAGACTTTAAAGTAATTTTTCTGTATTACCGTCTTCCCTTAATTCTTCCTTATTCTGTTAACAAAGTTATTTTATTGAAGATTTAAAAATACTTGACTAGAGTCAGGAGCATGTGGATCTGTAATGGCAGCATTTGAGAGGCTAACGAAGGAGGGTCCAGATTAAATAAAGTCAGCTTCGTCTACACAATGAAACTATCTCAAAAACCAAAACCAAACCAGATGACAAGTTTATCTCGTACGTTCTGTGAAGGAAGTCGTGTTGAAAGTGTTGATGTACTTATTTAATCTTCATAAAACTCCCAGTAAGGTCTCTTTTTCTTTTCTTCAGATCAGGAAACTGAAGCACAGAATGCTTCAGTTACTGGTCGGTCTGTCTCAGGCCGCAAGAGTTAGAGACCCAGGGACCAGAGCAGGAGTTAGGAGTTAGGGAACTTCAGTACATTTGAAGTGGTGGCGAATATTAGACTTTGAAAATGAATTCTCAGTATGTCTTGTTGGTTCTTTTATTTATCTTTTTAACTTGGTTATGTTTTAATTACGTTATTTTCATGTATTCATTGGATCTAGTGCTGGGTTTCATACAGATGATTTTTTTCAAGTATATCATGAAATTAAAGTAGGCCTCTTATAATTCAGAAATTTCTAATTTTTGTACTTTTTTTTTTTTTTAGTTTTTTTTTGAGACAGGGTTTCTCTGTGTAGCTTTGCGCCTTTCCTGGGACTCACTTGGTAGCCCAGACTGGCCTTGAACTCACAGAGATCCTCCTGGCTCTGCCTCCCGAGTGCTGGGATTAAAGGTGTGCGCCAACGCTGCCCGGCCTAATTTTTTTTTTTTTTTTTTTTTTTTTTTTTTTTTTTTTTTTTTTTTTTTTGGTTTTTCGAGACAGGGTTTCTCTGTGTAGCTTTGCGCCTTTCCTGGATCTCGCTTTGGAGACCAGGCTGGCCTCGAACTCACAGAGATCCGCCTGGCTCTGCCTCCCGAGTGCTGGGATTAAAGGCGTGCGCCACCACCGCCCGGCAATTTTTATACTTTTAAAAGCTACATTTTGGCTAGGAGTGATGCCACGTGCCTTTAATCCCAGCATTTAGGAGGCAAGAACAGGCAAGTTTCTGGGTTCAAATCCAGAGTTTTAACCACCACCAACAAAACCACCAACTTTTATCACAGACTTTTAAAAAATTCTTCTCATTTTCTTCCTTCTCCTCTTCCTTCTCCTCCTCCTTCTCCTTCTTCTTTATATTAAAACAAAAAACAGAGTCCAGAAGCATCGGATCCTTTGGACTTGGACTAGTGGGCAGTTGTACGCTGCCTGCCTGCTGTGGGAATTGGGAATCAAACTCTGGTCTTCTGGTCTTTGGGGGGAGGGAGTGGCTTTTCCAGGCAGGGTCTCCCTTTGTATCCTTGGCTGTCCTGAAACTCATTATGTCCTGAAACTACCAGGCTGGCCTCACACTCACGGAAATCTGCCTCTGCCTCTGCCTCCCAAGTACTGGGCCTAAGCAAATTTCAATGCATAAAGAGGATTTTAATTGATTTTTATCAGGCTTGTATTTTAAAGATTTAGTCATCGACATTTAGTGTATATTATAGCGTCTTATAGTCTGACTCCTAAAAAAATTTTTTTATTATTACTGAATTTATTGTTGTTGTTTGAGATAGGGTCTCACTAATTAACTCTGCCTGGCCTAGAATTTGCTTCGTAGACCAGGCTGGCCTTAAACTCCCACAGACCTGCGTTTCTGTGTTTCCTGAGTCCTGGGATTGACAGTGTGTGCCACCGTGCCCGGCCCTATTGTTACATTTCTTTTGGGTACACATGTATAGTTGACATGATGTGTCTGTGGAGGTCAGAGGGGAACTTGGGGAAGTTGTTTCCCTCCACCTGCCTTGTGGTCCCAGGGATGTTAGTGAGGCCGGGAGACAAGTGCCTCTACCTGCCGAGCCACCTCAGGCCGGTCTCAACAGCTCTTAGATGCTTTGCTCATCACTTTCCATTAACTTCCCGGGTCACCTCACACACTTTTGTTCAAAGCTTTCTTCCCCTCCTGCCCACCCGACTCTTCTGTTCAACCACTGTGGAAAGGGATTCAGGGTTTGATCATCACCGCCCCATCCCCCAACACACGCTTTTCTTGGTTTTGTTGCTTCCTTGGGTTTTCTCCTTTCTCTCAGTCCATCCATGTTTGCTTATTGGCATAGACTGGCCACATCTCCAAACGTGGGCCGGCCACATCTCCAAACATGGGCCGGCCACATCTCCAAACGTGCCTGACTTCCTTGCCTACCTATGGAGGAAATAGCAACTTGGGAGTGGCATGTTTAATGTTAGTGTTTATAGTCACTTCTATAGTCTTTCTTCTTTTCCATCATTACTATTAAGTAAATATGATGTGGAAGGACAACTCCTCTTTGGGGTGTTCTTCAGCAGAGTGATCAACAAAAGAAATGTAGATAAAAGAACACACCTTCATGACATTTAATAGAGTGATACTAGCTTGAATGCTTATTTATTTGTTTGTTTGTTTGTTTGTTTTGGTGTTTTTTTTTTTCCACTTTTTAAGACAGGGTTTCTCTGTGTAGCCTTGGCTGTCCTGGAACTCACTCTGTAGACTAGGCTGGCCTCGAACTCACAGAGATCCACCTGTCTCTGCCTCCTGAGTGCTGGATTAAAGGAGTGCGCCGCCGCCGCCGCCGCCGCCGCCGCCGCCGCCGCCACCACCACCACCACCACCACCACCCAGCAGTAATAATAGTTTATTAATGGTGAGGGATCAGCACATTCCATTTATTTATCTGGAGAATCTAAAAGTATTTATGTATACTTGAAAAAAATGGCAGAGTGCCTGGAAAATACATGTCGGTTTTAATGTGCCTGTTGGACTAAAAAAGATCTCTAAAATTTCATCTAATACCTGTATCTTTTTTATAAAGATTCGGAAACCCCGGCCTCAGAGAGAACGTGCCCAGTGGGACATTGGCATTGCGCATGCGGAGAAGGCTTTGAAGATGACTCGGGAAGAGAGAGTGGAACAGTACACTTTCATCTACATTGACAAGCAGCCAGAAGAGGCTTCATCCCAAGCAAAGAAGAACGTTACCTCCAAGACCGAAGTTAAGAAACCTCGAAGACCAAGATCTGTACTCAATAGTCAGCCAGAACAGACCAATGCTGGGGGGGTGGCCTCCTCACAGTCAAGTACTGACCTTCGGAGACAGAGCCAGAGGCGGCACACAAGTGTGGAAGAGGAAGAGCCCCCTCCTGTTAAAATAGCCTGGAAAACAGCGGCCGCGAGGAAATCCTTACCAGCCTCCATCACAATGCACAAAGGGAGCCTAGATTTGCAGAAGTGTAATATGTCTCCAGTTGTGAAAATTGAACAAGTGTTTGCTCTTCAGAACGCGACAGGAGATGGGAAGTTCATTGATCAGTTTGTTTATTCAACGAAGGTACCTCTTGTTCTCTAGGGGCTTGGGGAAATGGTACTAAAACCACTTAAGAATGTGATTTAAGTGCCCTTGGATCCACTGCATTTGAAGCACACAGTCTCGTTTACTCTGGGCAAAAAGCTGTGTTCTCCCGTTTCCCTGTTGTAAGACTCCCATCTGTAGTTGATTAGTCTTGAGCAATGCAGCCAGGATGGAGCTTAGCTCCTGAAAGTCATGGAAAACCGGGCAGCTTGCCTGTTTCTCATTCGTAGAGTTAGTTTTTCTTTGTTGTAAAGTATGATTTTTATTAAAATTTTTCTTTTATCTGAATTGTTTTATATATATATATGTATATATAAAATCTACTGGAACAATTGTGCCTGCTGATCTGTTTGGTTGTACCGGCAGTGGCTCTTTTGTTTTGTTTTGTTTACATTTTAACTACACAGTTCATTTAACTCAATGTACCTAAACATTATTTCAATATGTGTCAGTACAAGGTGGTTGATGAGCTGTTTCCTACTTTTTTTCTCTCATCTAAGTCTTTGGAATTCAATGTCTATCCTCCTCCACCCACCTCTCTAGTGTCTTATATAGCCCAGGCTAGCCTTAAACTATGTAGTTGAGTATGACCCTGCACCTCTTATTCTCTTCCCTCTGCCTCCCAAGTGCTGGGATTGTAGACATGCCACATGCAGCTGGTTCTAGGAATCCTGCACATTAGACAAGCTCTGGACCAACCAAGCTGTATCCACCAGCCATGGCTTACATATTAACTGAGACTCACCACGTTTCAGGTCAGCCACATGTGGCTACTGTGTTGGACTGTGCAGATTTAGTGAGGATTTCTTGCATGTCCTTAACTCTTCAGATTGTGGGTTCTTATTAGATAATGTACTCCTCTGACTGGGCTTGGTAGTATGTGCCTATTGTTCTAGCACTCAGAAGGCAGAGGCTCAAGGCCAGCCTGGGCTACATAGCAAAACCTTGTCTCAAAAAATAAAAATATGGGCTGATTGTGCCTCCTGGCCAGGACTTCTCCTAACAGTTGTGCCTATACCTTGCTCAGTCCTTCTCCTAATCTAGCTTGAAGCTGCTTGAGTCAAGGCCACACTCAGTTTGGCATTGCTGAGCCAGAAGTTTTGTTGGCTTCCTCTTAGCTTAGGTTATCTCAATGAGTTTTAGAGACATTTCATTGCTATGTTGATCCTATAATGACCTGTGGTGAGGAAAAGGTGATTCATTGATATAGATCAGCTACTAAAAACCTCTACCAGTCTGCCCTGGATTTCCACTGAAGGCAGTTAGTCTTTGGCTTGAAGGTGTCAGAGTTTTTTGTAACACCGGAATATGTGCATACCTCACAACCTGCTCCTTAGTCTGGGGTTTGTGATTTTGATTTAGTTGCATCTTATGCATGTGTATATTAAGGAATTCTGTGCTTTTTTTTCCCTCCATTACTGTATGCACATTAAAATAGTTGATTAAATGTAGGGGATGCTTCATACTTAGAACGTTCTTAGAAATGTTAAGGGCCCTCCACTCATCTGTTTCTGCTGGTTGGCTTAATTGATTTCAGTAGGGCTCAGCTCCCCAGAAATGCTTGAAGTATACTTTCCACTTGACTTCTCCGTTTTCCTTTTCCTTTACTTTCTCCTCTCCCCTCCTTCCTCCCTTTCCCCTTTCTCATTTCCTTTCCTTGCCAGAGAGAGTTTCAGATCCCTTGGGGCTGGAGCTACAGGCAATTGTGAGCCCCAAAACATTGGTGTTGGGACCGGAACTCAGTTCCCTGGGAGAGCAGCAAGTACTGCTAACCACTGAGCCATCTCTCCAGCCCTATTGTGACTCTTTTGATAGCAACATTTGCATATTGTTTGAATGCAAATTGCCTTTATTCTTAGAGATAGTTTTATTTGCTTCTGTATGAAAAAATACCCCCTTACCCTAAAACTATTAAAGGAAATTCAAGATAAAACTGATCTTTGGGGGCTGGAGAGATGACTCAGCCCTTAGGAGCATTCACTGCTTTTGTAGATCTGGGTTTGGTTCCCAGCACCCACATGGTGACTCACAGCCATCGTTCCAGTTCCAGAGATCCAAGGCCACATTCTGGTCTCGGCAGGCATGCATGTGGTTGGTGCACATACATGCGAGCAAAGTACTCATACACATAAAATGAAAATAAATCTTTAAAAACAAATAGATCTTTTGAAAAATAAATAGAACACTTAAAATGGCTCTTATTTCAATACATTAAAATTACCTAAATTAGGGGCTGGAGAGATGGCTCAGAGGTTAAGAGCACTGGCTGCTCTTCCTGAGGTCCTGAGTTTGTTTAATTCCCAGCAACCATATGGTGTCTCACAACCATCTGTAATGAGATCTGGTGCCCTCTTCTGGCCTGCAGACAGAACACTGTATGCATAATAAATAAATCTTAAAAAAATACTTAAATTATTATCTAAGTTAACTGAACCTGCCTTCTGCTCCATGTGACCTATTTGATCACATTTTATAAACATAAATGGCATATATCTTTATTTAAAGATATTCTCATCTCAAGGCACATTGGCCTTTCTACCTTTGTGACAGATGACTAGGGACTGTTTTGTTTTTGACAGAAAATGGGGTGGTGCAGGTTCATTTATTAAGGGTATTTATCACCTGGACTTAAGGCAAATAGTTTTCATTTTTCCTTCAAGTGATCTCATTGTATATTTTAAAATACATCCTGGTGACTTAATAAAATTTTTCTGATAATGACTAGTCCTAATTGACAAGTTTGAGCATATTATGATGATGTTAAACCATCTTTATAAGCTCACGATACTATGTGCCTGCTAATCACTTGTTTTTTATTCTGCCTCATTTTAAAGGGAATTGGTAACAAAACAGAAATAAGTGTCAGGGGGCAAGACAGGCTTATAATCTCCTCGCCGAGTCAGAGAAATGAGAAACCAACTCAGAACACGTCATCTCCCGAGGCAACATCTGGCTCTGCAGGTGGGTATGACCGACGGGGTGCCTGGGTCCATCCCGAGAGGTTCCAAAGCGGCTTTCATTGTTGAAGGGAAACTGTCATGAATGAAAACAGATCGCAGTGGCACACATACATAAGTGTTTCATAGTGAGAAGCCTTCCTTTGTCTGCTACCTCTGTAACTCCAGTCCCAGGGGATCTAACTCCCTCTCCCGGCCTCTACAGGCATCGGGTACACACATGGTGCACAGACAGACAGACATGTAGGCACAATACTCATTCACATAAAATTAAATTTAAAGATTTTTATTTTAAAAGCAATTATTTTAATAGGAAAAGAATGAAGCAGAACTAGAGAACTTTATTCGCCGTTCTTTTCCCTGCAGGAATTGAAATACTAGGATGGTTCCATAACTAGGAATATAGCTATAAGTTCTATGCTGAGTATGGTAGTATGCATGTAATCCCAGCCAAAAGAAACCGGCAACTCCCCAGCTCTAAATAAATAAACAAACAAACGAGATGGGGGCGAGTGTAGCTATGAACTGTAAACGTGTCTTAAGTCCTTTCTCTTTGCATAGGACAGCAGCTTACTCTTCCAGCAGCAGTAGACATCTTCCTCCTCCTCACCATTTGCTCCTTTGTCCTCGATTGGAAACACAGTTGTTGGTAGATGTTGCAGTGTCTGTAGCTCTGGACCCAGGACCTAGGTACTCTAATGTGATTGTTCTCTGATTAAGAGACACCCTGAACTGAAAACTAAGCACTGTTACTCTTCCTTAAAAGAGAAATGCCTGAAGCAGGGAGTGGGAGGCAGAGGCAGGTGGATCTCTGTGAGTTTGAGGCCAGTCTGGTCTACACAGCAAGTTCCCCAGGCCTGCCAGGGCCACATAAAACAAAATGAAAGGGAACAACAAAACGCAGGAAGAAAAATCCCTGTATTTAGTAAGGGTGTGCCTTTGGAAGGTTGAAGGCTCTGTTTTGATTTAAAATTTTAATTACGTTATTTATTTGTGTGTGAGTGTGTGTGCACGTGCACACATGCCATGGCATGCATGTGGATCTCGGAGGACTACCTGTGAGAGTCAGTCTCTTAGTGTGGGTCCTGGGGATCGAGCTCAGATTAGACTTGGCAGCAAGTGCCTGTATCCACTGAGCTGTCTTATCAATCTAGAGCTATTTTTCAAAGAAACGTACAATGGATCTTAGTGTAAACTGGTTGTCTGGTAGTTTTGTGTCATAGCAACAGAACTGCATGAGTGCAGTTATAATAGTAATAGTGACTATTATTTCTGTAGTAGTGCTTAGCATGACCAATAAAAATGGAACCTTAATCTCAGGTGAAGAGGCTGCTGTGAGCCTCACAACTCCAAGGCCAGTGTGGGTAACTTAGACCTTGTGCCCAAATCAAACACTGCAGTGGGGTGGGAGCCAGGTGGTGGTTCCACCTGTTACCCAACGCTCAGAAGGCTTAGGCAAGAGCACCACTGTGGGCCAAGGTTAGCTTGAGCTATATACTAAGTTCCAGGACAGCCTGGGCTACAGAGCGAGAACCTGTCTCAACAGCTCTTCCCCACCCTATAGGCTTTTTATATGTAGGTCAGTGCTTGCCTGGTATGCAAGTTGGCGTAAGTGAGAAGAAAATGTTAATTAGCTTGGGTATTTAGAATCTTTATTGTGTTTTTTGAATTCTAAGAAATGATTTTGTAATATAGGAAAATAAATGTTTCTGTTCTGCGATACATTGGCCATTTTGCACTCTCCTGTAACCCAGATGAGTGGATTATTTTTTCCCACACTGACCAGTTCTTAAACACCTGCTGAGCGACCTTTTTGTTTGTGAGACAAGGTCTTATTGTGTGTCTGGAACTCACTTTGTAGACTAGGCTGGCCCTGAGCTCAGATGTCTCCTGCCTCTACCTCCTTAGTATGAGATTAAAGCATGTGTCAGCTCATCTTTGGTTCAGTCCTCACACTGTCAGACCCTTCAGGATTAAACTTACCTGCTTCTGGGTTCTTGGAGGTAGAGTATTGCTGTGAAGCCCAGCACTCACCACCTGGCCCTGAACTCACCACCCCTTGCTCCCACCTCCCAATTGCTGTCCTGACCAGCATCAGCTCCCACACCTTTGGGCTCAGTGTAGACTCCAGAAGGCTCCAGGACTTGGGTTTTTTTTTTTTTTTTAAAGATTTCTTTTTTTTTTTTTTAAGATTTATTTATTTATTATGTATACAGTATTCTGCCTACATGCATGCTTGCAGGCCAGAAGAGGGCGCCAAATCTCATTTCAGATGGTTGTGAGCCACCATGTGGTTGCTGGGAATTGAACTCAGGACCTCTGGAAGAACAGCCAGTGCTCTTAACCTCTGAGCCATCTCTCCAGCCCCGGACTTGGGTTTTTTAAGGACAGGATTCTCCCTATGTAGCCCAGGCTGGCATTGGATTCCAGATCTGGCCTCACCCACCATGCCTGACCCTATCTCCAGAGTTTCTGGTTACAGCCTGTACATTGGGGGTGATCTGGTTGAGGGAGTCATTTGCTAGAGCGGCTCACAGAAGTCAGGCAAACACTTCATTGAAGCGTACCAATTTGTTATTAAAGATGCCACAGAGGGTACAGACATGCAGGCAGCTGAAGAGACTCCCTGACAGCAGATACAGAGAGCTGTACCTCTCGTGTCCTCATCGGAAAGTTCTAAGGCCATAGTTCAGAGGATTTCAGGAGGCTTCATCACGCAGGTACAACCTGTTGTTAATTTGGCTGCAGCCTGTCTTCCCCTCTCGGGCAGGAATTCGGGCTTGGAACTAAAAACTTAGTGTGGCTCTGTCCTTCTAGTGACTAGCCTCTGCTCAGCAGCCCATCAGGAGTTGTCTCACTTCAGTAAAAGACAGATCCTCTGTCATCTACTTAGAACCAGAGCAAAGACTAAACAGGACAGATATGCGTTCGTACCACTCAGAGAATTAGAAAGAATTTGGGAATGAAGAGCAGAGACCAAATACATACTTCTCCTTTTTAAAAAATGACATACTGTTTATTTGTATGTGTGCCACTGTGGATATACACAGAGGTCAGGAAGAGCCTGCAGAACTGGGGTCTGTTCTTCCACAGTGGGGTCCCAGGATGGAGCTCAGTCGTGGTGGCACGTGCCTTTACCCACCCAGCCATCTCACTGACCCAGTGTCCTTCTTAATGTACTGTAATAATGTACTGAGCATATTATCTTCTGGAAGAATCGGGGTCTGGAAAAGCAGACATAGAGCTCTTGAATCAGTAGTAATCCAGGCAAATCTGTGATGGAGGATACAGAGTTTGAATTATTACAATAACTGTATAATAACCACCATTCAGAAAAAGACTGTGGGAGGGATGCAGGGCAGAGCAAGATCATTCAGGAGGGCACTGGGCACAGTTAAGGAGGCACAGTAAGCAGAGTCTTTATCCAGTGTCAAGTCGGGAAAGGAAGCCGAGCTAAAGAACCAAGGGGTAGCAGGTGCAGCGGGTCTGCTGCTTGCATCATGTCAGATGCCATCAGTAAAGTGAAGCTGAAGATGAGCAAGTGACTGAGGCCAGGATGTGATATGTGCTTGCTGTGACCATTCAAAACAAAACCCTTCGGCCTCGGCTGCTCAAGTAGGCATGTTAGTTTTTATAGCAGCTTTGTTAATTTGTCTTACTTTAAGTGAGATGTCTAGATCTTTATTTACACACCTCTAGTCTCCCAAGAAGGGGGAAAATAAATTCTTAATTTCATGCTGGACACTTACGTTTTTTCTGTTTTTCGAGACAGAGTTTCTCTGTGTAGCCCTGGCTGTCCCGGGACTCACTATGTAGACCAGGCTGTCCTCGAACTCAGAGATCCACCTGCCTCTGCCTCCTGAGTGCTGGGATTAAAGGCGTGCATCACCAGCGCCCGGCGGCTTCACTGGACACTTAAGTGTCACTCACAGCTTTTATGAATGGGTCATATTTCTCGTCCCTTCCCTCAGCTGTTGAACATGTATTTGTGTGATCTGTTCATTGTGAAATTCAAGTTCCTCTGTGAACTTGCATCTTTGTTTTCTTTGTTAAGTAGAATGTTCTCATTCTTTGTGCCTAGAAAAGGCAACCCGCTTTCTTCCTTAGACACATAGAGGTTAGGCTCTAAGTTTTGACTAGAACCTCTCTTCAGGGATAGGTGCTACAGCTTTGATTTTGGTTTTAGTTTAATTTAACCTTCATGGTTGATAAGCATACTTTTGTCTTTTTTTTAAATATCATCTCACTTTTTTGTAAAAATCACTTAGTAGTCCAAAGGTCAGAAGAGAAGCTTATTTCCCCTTAGAAGCCATTGTAGCATCTCAGCTGCAAGTGGAGCGTTCTTGATACATTAACTGCCGCTGGCATATTTCTGTGGTTTGAAGAATGATATTTACATTCATACTAGGTTACTACATTCTTTTCCAAGTCTCCCCTCCCCCCCCAGAAAATAAGTATAAAAATTGTTAGTGGTTTTAAATGTGTCTGTTCTTTGGGTAGCTTTCAGAATCATCCTAAGAAGTCATGCTGCTTCCCCCTCTGTAAGACAGTAGGTCGGGGTTGGAGAAGTGGTTTAGGGGGTGGAGTGTCTGCCTGCCATGCACAATGCCCTGGCTGCAAACCCCGGTGCCACCTCAAGTGGCATGTTGACTCCTGCCTGTAATCCCAGCTCTAGAGAAGGAAGCAGGGAGAGTAGGATTTCATGATCACCCTTGAGTAGATGGTGTGTTCATGGATAGTCCGGTCTACATGAGAGCCCATTCCAAAGAAGCCAAAAGTTAGATGTGGTCAACACATCATAGGATGGTAAGGAAGTCCGGTAACTGCAGTCCGGACTGTTTGCCAAGTCCACACTTCACTCTAGAAACAGGCAGGTTTAGTTTGCTTGCTTGCTTGCTTGCTATTGCTTCCAAGCTGTTTGCATTTTTGTTTTCCTAGGTAGTACTTGAGTCCTGATGATTGTACTAGAGCATGAGATCTCTGAAATCCTCAGCTGGTCTATGAGGGCAGGCTCTCTTGTTTTATTAAACATTTTTATCAGTTTAAGGAGAAAAGTTGAGAGTAAAGGATAGTTCCAGAACCGCCATTGACTTCTGTGACTAGACTGTGACTTTGGTGCTAGAAGCAGATTAATGATAGTTCTGGAATATACTGCTGCTGCACCGTGGGCATAGCCTTGCCGCTAAAGCACTTGCCAGTGAGCAAGAGGACAGGGGCTTGGATTCCTTGGACCCACACAAGTGCCAGATGAGCATGGTAACCCGCCTCTAATTCCAGCCTCAGAAGGTGCCTGTGGACTGTCCATTTCAGTGAGCCCTGGGTTTGACTGATTGCTGAACGTGCCTTCACCTGCATGTGCACAGACTTGCACACACACCTGTACACATACAAACCTTTGTGAACATGCATGCACACAGGTATACCCCATACATACATACATGAAAGGGAAAATGGCTGGTGAGATATCCAGTGGGTACCTGAAGACCTGAGTTTGATTACCAGGACCCACAGGGTGGAAGGAGAGAACACACTCCCACAAGTTGTCCTCTCATCTCCACACTGGCACTGTGGCTTGTGTGCCCATATACACACACACACACACACAGGTACACACACACACACACACAAAATACTATAGTGTTACCAAACTACTGACTCTACCAAAAACAAAATAGTGAGATTGCTCGTTGTTCTGGATGTGACCCAAGAGAAGGAAACATTTCCCTGTAACCCAGAGCAGTGAAATGCATAACTTTGAAGGTTACCTTCATTGCTGCATGGGAGAAGTTTCTATCTGATTGCAAAGGAAGCACGTGACAGGAGGTCAGAGGACAATGTGGAGTTGGTTCTCTTTATCTACCATGTGGGTCTGGGGCTGAAGCTCAGCTCATCAGGCTTGGTGTTAGGCACCTTTACCTGCTGAGCCATCCCACCGGCTCAGGAAGTGAGTCTTCTAAGGAAGGGCCTTCGGTCAGTTGTACTGCAGACCTGACAAATAGTCGCAGTGAAGGTGTTGCTGGTCGTGGTGTCACAGAGATACTCATTCCTGGCTCGGTGTTCTTCCAAGCTGCCACGTCAGTTTTATTTTTCACATGAGGTCCGTGTAAGTTTTTATCAGTTTATTTTTAAGCAATTGTACTGTTTAAAAATCTTAAGGCAGGCATGGTGGCTCATGCCTTTAATCCCAGCACTTAGGCAGAGACAGTTGGATGGATGTCTCTGAGTTGCAAGTCAGCCAAGGCTGCTAGAGTGAGACCACCATCTCAACACACCACACACACACACACACACACACACACACACACACACACACACACACACACACCCTTAAGTTTATTTTACTATTTAGCATAGAAAAATACCAATAATATGTCCTAATTAGTTTCCCATGGTTAGTTTTTTGTTTGTTTGTCTTTATTTCACTTTTTTCTTTTTGAGGTTAGTCTCAGGTAACCTCTTAAGAATGACCTTGGCCGGGCGGTGGTGGCGCACACCTTTAATCCCAGCACTCAGGAGGCAGAGCCAGGCAGATCTTTGTGAGTTCGAGGCCAGCCTGGTCTACAAAGCGAGATCCAGGAACGGCGCAAAGCTACACAGAGAAACCCTGTCTCGAAAAAACAAAAAAAAAAAGAATGACCTTGAACTTCCGACCTTCATGCCTCACCCTACCAAGTGCCCTGGTTTGTGTGGTGCAGGGGATCTTGTGCAGGGCTTTGTGACATAAAGCAAGCACCCGTGTGACAGTCAGGGTAACAGTTGTGTTTGGTCTCATGTTTGTGCCTGTCCTGCCTTTTCCTCTGACTCGGTTGGTGTGGCAGTACTGTAAGTTACACAATGTGCCCACTGCATTGCTCTTCATAGATAAAATGTGTTCAGCTTACTTAAGGTGCAAAATGTGTACTGGCGATTGGATTTTGAACCAATGGGTGTGTGTGTGTGTGTGTGTGTGTGTGTGTGTGTGTGTGTGTGTGTGGACACACACAGGTATGTGGAGGCAGCTGGGGGTGTATTTCTCAGTTGATTTTCACCTTTGATATAGGGTCTCTGGCTAGACCCCCCTCTGCCTCCTCAGCAGTGGGATTGCAGGCGTGTGCTGCATGCACCCCTTTTTGTTGGTTTTGTTTTAAAGTGGTTGCTGGGGATCTGAACTCAGCCCTTCTGTGTGCATGGGATAGCAAAGCCTTTGGTGCTGATCCGTCCATTCGGTCCCTTCATCCCCTGAGTTACCCTTCCTTAAGTGTGTTGACCAGCCTGAAGGAGTAAACTATGCCTCTGCCGTTTTAAAACTAAACTAAATTAATATCTCCCTTATGTGTAACTGGGTCTTTTATAGAGCCCATTCTCCGTTTATTTGAGCTATTAAATGATTTTGTGTTCCCAAGTGTTTAAAAGCTTTTCAGTGACTTTCAATTAACACTCTGTCAGTAATAGATAAAAAAGTCAAGACTCTGGTCAGCTCTTAACCAGAGGAGTCATGCCCCTTAGTGAGTTTTCTCTGTTTGTGTGCTTCCATCCTCCCGCAGGCCCAGGAGAGAAGAAGCAGCAGAGGAGATCTGTCAGGACTCGATCTGAGTCAGAGAAATCCGCCGAGGTTGTGCCAAAGAAGAAGACCAAGAAGGAGCAGGTTGGCTTCCTACATGTAGCGAGTTAGAGTGTCTGGGATGTGGTGGCTTATCTCTTGTCACCAGAGAGATCCTCCCGCCTTGGCCTCCTTCCTCAGCTCTCCTTCCATCTGTCCTGCTCGGTTGCAGTGGCGACTTCTCACAGCTGTCCTGGGATGGTGCTTCAGCATTGTCCCAGGACACAGGGTTGGGGGATGGGAAGCAGCGGGGCAGGACCCTTACATTCATTTTGAAATTCTGTTAGAAGCACAATGAGTTCATGTTTTCATGAGTTTTACTTGGAACCATCCTGGAGTTCCCTTTTTAAAATTTTGATTTTGGGTTTAAGCTGCTGGTATATATTGTTTTTATTTTTTAAAGAAATCAAATTAATTTAATTTATATTCTTATATTTAAGAAGCAGGTAATCATAGATGATCTGGTTTGTTTTCTTCTGTTGGTATCGCAGATCTTTTGAAATGTTATTTTTCCAGTGGAATGGCACTCATCTGGAATCAGACTGTTAGATAAACAATATTCAAGGAAAAAGTGTGTGGGGAGGGGATTACATTTTGATTGAATGTGTTCAACTGGTGTAATCAATGTAGTAATATACATGTTAAATTACCTTTTCAAATAACTCTTAGAAATGATTCTCCTATAAATTATAAACTCACAGAATTTTTTTAATTTTTAAAAAGTGAATGAATATCCATTTTTAGATAAGCACTTTGCCACTGAGCTGTGTCCCCAGAATATTCTTTCCTTTTCTTTCTTCATTTTTTTTGAGATGGTCTCACTGTATAACCCTGGCTGGCCTGGAACTCGGTGTACTGATCAGATTGGCCGGGCATTCCTAGATACCTGCCTCGGCCTCCCCAGTGCTGGGGTTAAAGGTGTCTGACGCCACAACCAGCTTTAGAATATTTATTTTTTATAGCCCAACCACCTACTATTAAAACAATTCCAGAATTAGTTCCAGTAAGTTTAATATTTTAAAGCCATTTACCATGGAAGAGTATGTACTTTTTTATTTAAAAATCTTCATAATTTTAAATTTCCAAATTTAAAAGCTAACTTTGTGGGTGCTCTATGGTATCACAAGCATATAAAACATTTTTTGAGAATATTTAGCTAAAATTTTAGTAATATTTGTCATTTATCATAATTTCCATATCTAGGAAATTCCAAAAAATTCCAAGTCTGACAAAACTATAGTATTTGTTACTAAAATGAAATTGTGACTTTTCCACCTGGTTCCCAGATTCAGTCTGTGACCAGTCAGTTTCAAATTTATAAACAGAATGAGTAAAAATAATGGGACAAATGTTACTGCCACTGTGTTATATATAGTTAGTAGTAGAATAATACCAGTGATTGTTTAGAAGATTTTATATTTGTACAACTAATTGTATCGTACAAAAAGCATTCCTGTTGTATGTTTTTTTACCTGTTGTAAAAAAAATAAAAAAATTTTTAAAAAGCTTAGAACAATCCTTAAATATTTACAAAATGTGTTTCAACATGCATACTTCACACCTTAAAGAAACATACAGTTCACTCCTAGCCTAAACAGGAACCTCTCCAAACAGCATCTGTTCCCTCTTCCGATGGTTCAGTCTCCCGTACCACGTGTTTGACATAGACATTGGCAGAATAACTTCTGATCTCGCTCTCCTGATGTAGGATCAAGACCTTGTTCATAAGGCACTCCAGAAAGTGCTGTTGCAGTGCCACAGACTTTCTAAGCTTGTTGTAGCAGCACAAGTGTTGAGCTGCCAGCTGTATGGAGCCAGATAGCACTCCACACAGAGAGGGTCCCGGTTCTCAGCAACTTAGCTGTGAGTGCAGGCGCGGAAGGGTCTTAAAGTGGCGTGAGTTACATTAACCTGAGTATCATAGTAAGTAACAATTTATCCTAATGTCTTTGGGGTGGGAGGGGTTCATAGCAAAGCTGGGGCTGGCCGAAGAAACAGCCCCCCTCCTGCCTCCCAGACGCTGAGGAAAATACTCTCGTTTTCTTCCTGTACCAAGGGAGTGGTGGGAAGCCTTCTCGGAAGAGCATGTGGCTGTGTGTTGGCACTTGGTATTCAGCACAGGCAGATAGGACTTAACCCTCCCTGACCCCACAGATGGGGTCGAATTCAGACTCTCGGTAACCATTGGTCACTCGTCACTACCTAGATCAATGAAAATGTGATTTTTCCCTCTATTTTTTAAAAGTGAAAAACCTTCCTGTTAATGCTGTGGTTTTCTGTCCAAACAGGTTGAAACAGCTCCCCAGGCTTCCCTGAAGACTGGATTACAGAAAGGTGAGTCAGTATTATGATGCTGCTTGGCATTTCTTTGATTAAACCAGTTTTTAAGAATAACTTATTTGTACTTCATGTATTTTTTTTTGTCTGTCTCTGTCAATCATTGTTGCTCTTCAGTGTGAACTTTCATCCCCCTCTTGGTGTGCATGTGTGTGCACATATGTGTGTTCATGTGTGTGTGCATATGTGTGTGAGTTCGTGTGTGTGTGTGTGTGTGTGTGTGTGTGTGTGTGTGTGTGTGTGAGAGAGAGAGAGAGAGAGAGACTGACTGACTTTTAGAGTTGATCCTACTCTGTACCTCCACATGAAAAGTCTTTCTTGTTTTGGTAAATTGGAGAACACCATGTAGACTTGATATTGTTTCCAACTTTTCTCCGTAAGATTTGGGATTTCATTGGCTTATAAACTAGGGATGTGACGAATCCACTTTTTTGGTATTCGACTGAATACCGAATAGTAGCTATTAATGTTTGTCAAAAATGGACTATGGCAAACAGACAGGACAGCTTGACTGGGAACAGTGTTGCCACACTTTACAGTGCTGTACAATCTTTTTGTAAATTGACCCATAGCATAACTATGGCCACTATTAGATGACCATACGTGAATCTCTTTGAGATGTGCACAAAGTTTAAGAAGCCTTAAACTTATATATGTGTTTTCTGTGTGCAATCTGAGTATAGTACAGACTCCATAGCATGACTCATGCGATTTGGGTGAGCTCAAACTGTATCTAATACCTGTAGTTTACTCTGGGCAAATTGCATTATTTAAAAATAAATAAAATAAAACACCAGCCTCTCTGCATTCTCGGGGAGAAGTCTGCAGCGATGGTCTCCGTGGAGATCCTCAGCAGAACTGAACGCCTCTCGGAGGGAACACTGCTTGGCGGAGCTCCAAGAACAGACATCGCGCTCGATCGCTCGCTGCGAGATTAGGAGGCCTGATTGCGTTGTGTTTCCACCATTCCACAGGGTCGGCGGCGGACCGAGGAGTGCAGGGCTCTGTCAGATTCAGTGACAGCTCCGTCTCCGCAGCGAATGAGGAAACTGTGGACTGAGATTCCTGTACAATTTCATCCCAGAAACTCCAGACTTGGAGTCTCCGTGCAAGATTTCTTTGTCGGCGGCTCGATAAAGTTTCTTTCGTTTTGATTTTGATTTTGCCAATCATCATTATTGGCGTTCTCTGGCCTGGTTTCTTCAAGACTCTGAACAATTGCTTTAACATTCAGATGATTCCTCTCTCTTTTTATTTTTTTGTCTGAGCTGGATGGGTACAGCTTAAATCATGGGTCCAGCCTAAAAACCACCATTAACTTACCCTGATCAATTCCAACATGGACTGTTTTGTTTTTAAATAAAGCATCATTAATACACATCTGCAGGGTCTTGCTAAATGGCCCAAACTGTATACATTACAATCATTAAAAGCTCTTATTATTTTTTTTAATATTAGTGCCGTTGTCCTGGAGGACAGCATGACAGCTGTCTTCAGCGGTCTGTCATTTTTCTAGCATTTTCAGAAACTCATCGGAATTGGCGGTACCTGTGTTTCCCTTCGAAAGCCTCTCAGTACAGCACTCCTGTTCCTCTGTTAAAACTCCTTGTTAATTCAGTGATCTTTTAGGCCAAGGAAATATTTTGTGGTGGTGTTCTGGTTCCACACACCAGCAATGAAAGAGATAGATTTGTGTACTTGTGTTTTTTAATCAGCGTTAACCTGGGCAGGCACCCTCATTTGTAGCTGTCAGGAAGCATTCAGTGCAAACTTGTAGGATGGGATGTGATAACGAGGTTCCAGTAACCCGAGCAGTCTCCCGAGGCCCACATCTTCCACCACAGAACATGGCTGTCCACCAAGCGCTGCTCCCATCCAGCCTGTTGCGGATCCTCATGGCCTCAGGAGACTTCTTGCTCCATAGTCTCTTCTGGACTGCACTTCCACCATAGCTTGCTGGGCTGGTCTGGATGTGTTTGTTGTATGGAAAGTTTGGGGGGAAAATGGAAAACACACACTGTGGGTGGCAGTATTAACCGTCTCCTTGGTTCCTTGGTATTCAGCGTGCCTCTGCACATTCCATCGCGGCTGTCTCTGTATAGCCTACTGCATTAGCCCGAGAGATTGTTGCTTTGTAACTTTTTGCACTATTGTTTTGGCTGGATTTGTATTACACGCAGTTTTAAAAAAATTTCCACACTATTCTGTGCCTTTTTTTTTTTCCAAATACATATTTATTCCTTCCCTCCCAAAGTCCGGAGGCCTCTACTCTGGTTCTTGGTGATTTCCTGGTCTGGAACACTGCTTGTCCATCACAGCCCTCAGTGATGTGCCTCCCACATGGCATGACAGTGTAGGCATGCTGCAGCACTTGCTAACGGTCACAATAAATGCCACGTTACCAGGAAAGAACAATTAGGAACGTCCAAATTGATTTGGGGGATGAAAATCAACTGAATTGCAAAATTGGGGGGTTGAAATGGCACTATCCGTGTACGAATCGAATACAAATCAAAGATTTGTCACATCCCTAATAAAACAAGATGGAGATGTCTCTGCAACCATATCTGTAAAGCGCACTGTGTTGGGTTCCATGTCTTCCCGTACAAAATCGAAAGGCTCTCTGAACTGCTCCAGATCAATGGGCTGGCCTTCAGTTCTGATAAAGTGGATGTCTAGATTGGAACTTGGGCTCTGTTGGTGAAAACAGCGGTAGAGCAGAACTGAATTTAACGTGCTATAGAGCAGTTGTAAATGAACCACCTCTACCAGGAAGGCCGGAAGCTTCTGAAGCTTTCACTTGCAACTGCAGTGCTCCAGAGAGCTGTGAATTCCCCTCAACACACTTAAGATGAGTTTGGGGAAAGAAAATACTCTCCTACAAAAAAATGAAAGCAGTAACCCTAAGTCCTATTTTAGGATTAATTTCAGTGTGTTGTGTTAAGGTGCCAGCGAGATTTCAGATTCCTGTAAGCCTCTAAAGAAAAGGAGTCGCGCCTCAACTGATATGGACACGGCTAATTCTGCGTACAGAGACACGTCTGACTCCGATTCTCGAGGACTGAGTGATCTGCAGGTAAGTGTGTGCAGGGGTCTGGCCAGACTGCTCTTTTTTGCCTTGCCAGCCACCGTAGCATGCTACCGTGGGAGAAACCAGGGAACCGTAAATGCTCGTGGCAGGGTGCTGAACTCTTGGTTACCGCGATAATTCAGTTTACCTGTCTGGTAGGTCCGGGTGGGTCGATGCCCCTTCCTCCTCGCTCCATATGCAACTCTGAAAATGGAAGGGAGTGGCCTTTCCCAAGGGAAGATCTGCATTCTCCTGCTTGAACCTCCAGACAGACTTTCAGGGTCCATTGTAAGAGAATGTAGGGTAATCGGGGTCTGAGAACTACACCCATCCAAGTCAGGTGCTTTATGTGGTGGTCATCAGCCTTGTTTGAAAAAAAAAAAAAAATTAAGGTCCTGGCATGGTGGAGCATGCCTTTAATCCTGGTGCTCAGAAGACAGCTCTTTGAGTTACAGGCCAGCCTGGTCTACAGAGCCAGTTCCAGGACAGCAGAGCTACATTGTGAGACCTTGAGTAGTAATAACAACAACAACAATAACAAAATAAAAACTTCTAAAAATATGTTTTTGAGACAGGGCCTCGTGATATAATCCTGGATGACCTGGGACTTTCCATATACACCAGACTGGCCTGAAATCACAGACACCTACCTACCTCAGCTTCCCCAGGGCTGAGGTTAAAGACGTAGCTTGGCTAGGAAAAAAAAAATTCCTTTGGTTATTTGTAACTTACTTTGTAGATTTCTTACATAACAGAACCAGAGGAGTTTTGTCATTGTCGTTTTTTAAATATTACGGGCAGTTTCTCCCAGATGACAGATACGTAGCATCCCTGGGTTGAAAGAAGGGAGGGAGGGAGGGAGGGAAGGAGTCAGGGAAGAGAAGGGAAGATAGGAAGGAAGATAGGTGGAAGATAGGCAGACAAGCAGGAAGGAAGGAAGGCAGCCAGGCAGGCAGGAAGGTAGGCAGGCAGCCAGGCAGGAAGGTAGGCAGGCAGGCTGGCAGAAAGGCAGGCAGCCAGGCTGGCAGGAAGACAGGCAGGCTGGCAGGTAGGAAGGAAGGCAGGAACACAGGCAGGCTGGCAGGCAGGAAGGAAGGAAGGCAGGAACACAGGCAGGCTGGCAGGTAGGAAGGAAGGCAGGAACACAGGCAGGCTGGCAGGCAGGTAGGAAGGAAGGCGGGAACACAGGCAGGCTGGCAGGTAGGAAGGAAGGCAGGAACACAGGCAGGCTGGCAGGCAGGTAGGAAGGAAGGCGGGAACACAGGCAGGCTGGCAGGTAGGAAGGAAGGCAGGAACACAGGCAGGAAGGAAGGAAGGCAGGAACACAGGCAGGCTGGCAGGCAGGAAGGAAGGAAGGCAGGAACACAGGCAGGCAGGCAGGCAGGCTGGCTGTGCTGAGATAGATTTGAGCCAGTTGCACTAGGCTTTGCATTGTGTCTGCAGGATTGTTTTTTCTTTATCCTGTGCCGTTTTCCAAATAGGTAGGCTTTGGGAAAGAAGGAGATAGCCCTTCAGCGGCTGCAGATGCAGATGCTTCTGACTCACAGTCGGTGGACTCCAGTTTGTCTCGGAGAGGCGTTGGCCTGAGTAAGAAGGACACCGTGTGTCAGGTAGGCAGGTGGCTACCTGTAAACGTGATCCCATTCTACCAGCAGTGTCCTGAGTGCCTGGGTTTTTATTTCCTTCTGTTTTTATTACATTGCTTTAAAGCTGTAGGTCCTAAGGCTGTTGATGGCTCTCCCTGTCCCGAACTGGAATATTTGCCATTCATTGGGTTTTTGTCGTTTGGTTTTTGAGGGTCTTACTTTGTAGCCTGGTCTGGTCTGAAATTTGCTGTATAAACCAGACTGGTTTTGGACTAGTGTGCCACCATGCCCAGCTACCTATTCCTTTTTAATTTTCTTTTGAGTTATTTAATGTTACATTTTACCTGCATGAGGGTATGTGCACCACATGTTTGCCTGGTACCTGAAGAGGTCAGAAGCGGGAACTGGAGTTAACATATAGCTGTGTGAGCTCCATGGAGGTGCTGGGAACCAAACCTTCATAGAGAAACCCTGTCTCAAAAAAAAAACAAAAGAGAAATTTGAATTCTTGGGTCCCATTTTTAGACCTTCTAACTCAGAATATTAGGAGAGGGGCTAGAGAGATGGCTCAGAGGTTAAGAGCACTGACTGCTCTTCCAGAGGTCCTGAGTTCAATTCCCAGCAACCACATGGTGGCTCACAACCATCTGTAATGAGATCTGGTGCCCTCTTCTGGCCTGCAGTCATACATGCTGTATACATGCATAATAAATAAATAAATCTTAAAAAAAAAAAAAAGACTATTAGGAGAAAAACCCAGTGGCCTGCACTTCAGCAAGTGCCCTGGTCAGTTCTGATGCTCTAGTTTGAGAATTGCTGTTTTCTCCCTCTTACAGATCTGTGAAACCGCTGGTGATTGTCTGGTTTCTTGTGAGGGGGAGTGCTGCAGACACTTTCACTTGGAGTGCCTGGGGCTGACTGCAGTCCCTGAGGGAAGGTTCATCTGCGAGGAGTGTGAAACTGGTGAGCTGTGCTGTGGAGGGCTGAGTCGGGAGGATGTGCTGGGTGGTATCTCCCTTGACTCTGTCTCTCTCTTGTTAAGCTGTTCTCCTCCCCTCCCATAGGTATTTCAGCAAGTTAAGATATCATACATTATTGAGCTTCCCAAGGTCAAAAAAGCAGTTCAGATTTCCACTCACAAGGTGCCCGTGACCCCCCCCCCAAAAAAAAATAGATAAATTTATTTTGTTTGTTGAGTATGTGAATCAGGCTGTTTTGCAGCTGGGTCTAAGATTTGAGTGTGTATGCGTGCTTAATAAACAGGTTTAAAGTCCTTTAGTACACCTCAACAAGTACTGATCGAAACTAACTATAGTTATAGTAAATACTTAAATATAATATACTAAATATAAATGTGGTTATAATAAAACTATGTAAATATGATTACATATTTAGTGGAAAAAACAATGCTATTAATTTTTGTTTGTTTGTTTGTTTGTTTGTTTTGTTTTTTGAGACAGGGTTTCTCTGTGTAGTTTTAGTTCCTGTCCTGGAACTCACTCTGTAGCCCAGGCTGGCCTCGAACTCAGAGATCTGCCTGGCTCTGCCTCCCGAGTGCTGGGATTAAAGGTGTGCGCCACCACTGCCCAGCTTATTAGTTTTTTTTTTTTAAAGAGAGGGTCTCACTATGTAGACCTGGCTGGCCTGTCCTAGAGCTCACTATGTAGACCAGGCTGGCCTTGAACTCACAGAAATCTACCTGCCTCAGCCTTCCCAGTGCAAGGATTAAAGGCCTGCACCACCATGCTAGGACTACTATTAATTTTTTAAAACTTGATATTTATTATGTTTTTCTTCTTCAACTGTGTATGCTGCAACACCTATCATAACAGCGTACAAAGAAATATGCTGCTTTATGGTTCTATGTATCCATGATTCTGTTTAAATGCAGGGAAAGCAGTCTGAAACAACGTAGCTAGTTGTCTTAGTTACTTTTCTGTTGCTGTTTAGAGACACCATGACCAAGGTAACTTGCAGAAGAAAGCTTATTGGGGCTTACAGTTTCAGAGGGTGAGTCCATGGCCAGCATGGTAAGGAGCCTGGCAGCAGGCAGGCAGGCACGGCACTAGAGCAGTATGAGAGCTTACATGGTGAGACAACAGCCTTGAGGTCGAGAGAGCTAACTGGGAATGGCATGGGCTTTTGAAACTTCAAAGCCCATCCCTCCTTCAACAAGGCCACACCTCCTAATCCCTCCCAAATGGTTCCACCTACTGAGGACCAAGTCAAACATATTTCTGTTTATTTTTGTTCCGGTGTTGGTAAGTTGTTTTTTCATTGATTTGAATTTTCACATTAGCAAAAGTACAGTGATATCCTTGTAATCTTTTTAATGTTTGTAGTGTTTATTGGGGTGTCTCGTGTTTCGTTTCTGATACTAATAATATTGATACTTTTTCTTCTTTCATTTGTATTACTCAAACCAGGGATATTAAATTTGTTAATTTTCTCAAAGAACCAGGTTTGGTTAGTCCTCTCAGCAAATACTGATTTCACTTCATTTTTCTTTTCTTTTTTTTTTTCAAGACAGGGTTTCTCTGTGTAGCCTTGGCTGTCCTGGAACTCACTCTGTAGCCCAGGCTGACCTCAAACTCACATAGATTTCGCCTGCCTCTGCCACCCAAGTGCTGGGGTTAAAGGTGTGCGCCACCACTGCCTGTAGATTTCACTTCATTTTAAAGGAATATTTCTACAAGGGAGAGGTCTGAAGAGATGACTCAGTCACTAAAATAGTTTGTGTGTAATCGTGAGGACATGAATTTGATCCCTAGTGTCCATGTAAAAGTTAGTTGTGGCTGAATGCCTGTAAGCCCAGTAGCAGGTAGGCAGAGACAGGAAGATTGCTGAGGCTTTGCTGGAATCATTGAGCTCCAGCTTCAGCAAGAGACCTTGCCTCAGAAAATAAGGGAGAGCTATTGAGGAAGACCAGATGTCAGTCTCCACATAAATGAGTATGTGTGTGCACGTGCGCGCGCGCGCACACACACACACACACACACACACACACACACACAGCAGCAGCAGCAGCAGGTGGGGTGTGAAGGGCCTTTTTTTTTTTTTATGAGTTATAGAAGTCTGGTATAGGTTGAGTAGGGCTAAGACAAGCTCTTGTGTAAGCCAGGCTGGCCTTAAATTCTTGAGACCCCCTTCCTTCACCTTTGAAGTGCTGAGAATTCTAGTTTTATGATCTCAATTTAGCTGTGTTCTTGCATTTTTAAAATTTTATTTTGTGTATGGCTGTTTTATCTGTATGTTTGTGAGCGTGCCTGGTGCCCAAGGATGCCAGAAGAGGGTGTTGGGTGCCCTGGCCTGGAATTATAGATGGTTATGAGCTGCCACATGGGTGCTGTGAATCAAACCCAGGTCCTCTGGAAAACCAGCAAGTGCTTGTGACCACTGAGCCATCTCTCCAGCCTCGGGTTTCTTTTTGTATGCTGAATTCGAAAGTGTAACAGCAGAACTTCTTTCAGAGCTACTCTTTGATATCTATAGCTGCTTCTGTGTAAAAGGACTAGTTAGCTTATGTGGAGGTATGCACCTGTAATCTGAACACTAAGGAGACTGAAGCAGGAGGCTGGCAATTTTGAGGCTGGTCTAAGGTACATAAAAAAAGTCCTTATCTCAAAAAACCCAAGTGCTGGGATGTAGCTCATTGTCAAGAGTAATTGCCTGCATGCCCAAGTACCTGGACTTAACTCCCAGCACTTGGAAAGGTTAAATGAAATGGACTATGCTTTAATCAGATCTTATTTAACCTATGTGTGTCATCAATTTTCTAGGCCAGCACCCATGTTTCTCATGTAAAGTGTCTGGTAAGGATGTGAAGCGTTGTTCCGTCAGTGTCTGTGGGAAATTTTATCATGAAGCCTGTGTCCGCAAATTCCCCACTGCCATCTTTGAGTCGAAGGGGTTCCGCTGTCCCCAGCACTGCTGCTCCTCCTGCTCTGTGGAGAAGGACATCTACAAAGCAAGTAAAGGTAGGCAGAGCTAGAGAAGGGACATGTCCAAAGTGCAGTGCGCACGTATGTTCAGCACAGCCTCGTCAACAGTGTCGGGCCTTCTCTCTGTTTATCTCCAAGTTGAAAAGCTGAGCCACAGCAGCTGACTTGTCAGGAGTTCAAACTACACTCAAGAATTCCTCAAGTATAGATAGAGTATTTGATTCCTTTGGAGGATCCCTACATGATTATCAGCTTGCATTTGGGGACTGGGACGTATAGGAATGACAGTCAACCTAGAAAAGATCATTTCGTAATGACTGTGACCAGTGTCACCTGGCGGGGAGCCCTGCTCGCAGAGCATCATAGCAGCATGCTGTAGACCGCTCTTGACCTGTCTTCACACAGGGCGGATGATGAGATGCTTGAGGTGTCCAGTCGCCTATCACTTTGGAGATGCCTGTGTTGCTGCTGGAAGCGTCTCTGTGTCCTCCCACGTTCTCATCTGTAGTAACCATTCCAAACGGAGTAGTCAGTCTGCTGCCGCCGTAAACGTAGGCTTTTGTTTCGTTTGTGCCAGAGGTGAGTGTCGACCCGTTTTATCTTTTGTTCTGACTTCATTGGCATATTTCTCCATTTAAACGTGTCTCTGCATCGGAGAGAGCCCCAGATGTTGCGTAGCACTATGTCCTAGGAGTGCTGAACCCATCCTGTTATTACTAAAAGAGAACATGTCAGGTAGACATCCAAATGGTGAGAAAGTTAATTTTTCCATAAGCTAACATCTGCTTTTAAAAAATACCTGAAGCTGGGTGTGATGGCCCACACCTTTAATCCCAGCACTGGAGAGGCAGAGGCAGGAGGATCTCTGTGAGTTTAGGCAAGGCTGGTCTATATATAACAAGTTCTAGACCAGCTAACGCTATATATAGAGAGAGAACCTGTCTCAAAAAGAAAAAAAAGGCAAATTATATACTTCCTACATACATTGGCCCAAAATATACATTTCAATTCCAAAATGGGGAAAGGGAGTTTAATGAGAACATATGGACCAAAGCAGTACCAAAGCCCAGCAGGGCAAACTCCAAATTCTGCACGTTCATGTCTGATGTCCAAGAGCTCCTGAGATCCCCTCCTTCCAGCCTGCCTTGTTGTCTGCAGCCCACCCCACACTTCTTCCTCTTGGACTGGTGCCACACTCCATTTGCAGTTCTCTTTGGCAGACACCCAGGACCTGGCATCTCCAACAGCCTGGGGTCTCCATTGCAATCCAGGCTTCACTCCACAGCCTCCCTCACACAGTGGCCTCTCAGGGTCTCCGTGCAGGGACTCCTCTGGCACACACCTGGCCTCAGCATCTGTCCTTCACTGTGGAGGAAGATTCCACAGCCCCTCTACTTACGTATCCCTCTTGCCTCTAAAGCCAGAGCCGTGTAGGGGTGCTACCAAGTTCTGCTCCTCTGCTTTGGATGGGGCCTACCCTTCCTTGGATTACATTTGCATAGCCTTTGATTTGTTGCCACTGTCCTTGTTGAGTAGGTTTTCTTTGCTTTAGAAGCAAAAGATTGCTTAGACATTTCTTTTTTTACAAGATAGAGGCTTAGCTGAGTGGGGTCTTGCCACTTTGAATCAGGTCTTTAAACTTCTCATCTCTTTGAGTACAAGACTTGGCTGTAACATTAAATCTCCTCATACTCTTTTTCTCCTCAAATTGTACATTTTGTATTTCTTTTTTTCCCTATTTGTTCTTTTTCATTGTAGATCTGCATAAGAGTGATCACTAATAACCACATGGCACAGTCAATACTAGGTTGTCTTGAAATTTCTGCCAACAACATTAATCCAAAACTCTTCAATTTAGCCTTTAGCAGATTCTAAAGACAAGGGCAAAAACCAGCCACATTTTTTTGCCAAAAATATCACAAGAATAGTCTCTAAGCCACATGCTTAATATTCTTCCCCTTTGAAACATTGAGCTGAAACTTTCATAGTCCACACTGTTTTTACCTCTGCCGTCTTCCAGACTCCTACTAGGGTGGCCCATTAAGTCCCACTTACTGCTTTCAACCTTGCTTTCCTCCTCCAAAGTCTTCTGCATTTCTCCAAAACCCAGCATGATCAAGCTTGCCACAGCAATATGCCACTCCCTGTTACCAAATTCCATCTTAGTAATACTGTTCTACTGCTGTGAGGAAACACTATGACCAAGGCAGCTTAGAAGAAGGCATTTAGTTGGGGGCTTGCTTGCAGTTTCAGATGCTCCCTCATCATGTCAGGGAGCATGGCAGCAGGCAGACATGGTGCTGGAGCAGTATGGAAAGCTTACATGCTGAGTCAGTCACCAGGAGCAGAGAGAAAACAAACTGGAAATGGCGTGGGCCCTTGAAACATCAAAGCCCACCCCAGTGACACACCTCCTCCAACAAGGCCACACCTCCTCCAACAAGGCTGCACCTCCAAACCTTTCCCAAACAGTTCCACCAACTGAGGACCAAACACATGAGCCTATGGGGGCCGTTCTTTTTTTTTTTTTTTTTTTTTAAGATTCATTTATTATGTATACAATGTTCTGCCTGCAGGCCAGAAGAGGGCACCAGATCTCATTACAGATGGTTGTGAGCCACCATGTGGTTGCTGGGAATTGAACTCAGGACCTCTGGAAGAGCAGCCAGTGCTCTTAACCTCTGAGCCATCTCTCCAGCCCTGGGGGCCGTTCTTATTCAAAGCACCACACTGTGATACACACTGTCCATCTTTTTCTTGTTTTTTGAGACAGGGTTCCTCTGTGCAGCACTGGCTGTCCTGGAACTCACTATGTAGACCAGACTGGCCTCGAACTCACAAGAGACCTGCCTGCCTCTGCCTCCTGAGTGCTGGCTTAAAGGCGTGTGCCACCACTGCCTGGCTCACACTGTCCATCTTTATCTTGGCTGTATTATAATTAAATTCTTTTTTTTCCTTTTTATTTAATTTTAATTAAATAAAATAATTTAACTTTTTTAAAATAAATTTTTTATTTTTTCTTTTGCATTTCCCTCTATGTAGTATTTAAAGGAACTACTAGATGTATCAAGTCTGTTATGCTATATTTAGACCTTACTGAAGATCAAAACTTTTTGTTGTTTGTTTTTGCTTTAGGAACCAGTTAGTTTGTTAGGAGTACTAGACATCTTTTTTTTTTTTTTTTTTTTTTTTTTTTTAAGGTTTCCTTTCTGTTTTCTCTTTTAAGATGAGCTCTGTCTGGAGGTTGGTCTTAAACTTGTCACCTCAAGCGATCCTTCTGCCTCAGCTTCCCAAGTAGCTGGAACTGTAGGCGTTTTATTTACCATGCCAATTTGTAAGATATAATAGCCTTTAAGTAGGACGAAAGATTATTTTGGGTGGTTTTGCTTTTGAATCTCTCATTTAAAAAAAAAAAAAAAAAAAAGAACAAACCTGAAAGGAGGTAGGCAGTTAACAACTAAGTAAACATCTGTCTTAGCAGCTTATACAGCCCCTTGTACAGCCAACTGGATTCCTTACACTGAGGCTTTCTACCTATAGCCTCAGTTTCGTAAGCATGTATGTTATCTGCCATCAGAGTAGGGGACACTGTTACTTTGGCTTTGGTTTGCTGGTTTGCTTGTGGTCTGGGGATTGAACCCAAGCTAGACCAGTTACCTACCACCCATCCTTATCCCAGCCTGAAGCCAGAGTTGTTACAGTTCCCCACTTTGAAGCAGGTAGGAGTTCAACCAAAATACTCATTGTTAAGTTGTCAAATAGGCAAATAAGAAATAAGAAATTATCCCCATCTTCTGTTTCTGTTAGTGATCAGAAAGGACTATTTGTTTGTACCTGAATGTATGTATATGAGCCATGTGTGTGTGCAGTGCCCAAAAGACCGTAAGAGGTCATCACATCCCCTGGGGCTGGAATTCAAAGTGGTTGTGAGCCACCATGTTGGTGCTGGGCATCAGACCTGGGTCCTCTGCAGGAAAAGCCCGTGCTCTTAGTCCATGGGCCGTCTCTTCAAGCCCACACTAGTGAATTAGAAATTGATGCATAGCGTTGGAAACTTGAGTGATGGTGATGAATCTTCCAGCCCCTTCATAATAGTCTACAAAAAAACGTTGGTTTATAGTTAGTATGATAGCTTACTTTGGAGTATATTCGAAGTCCAGTTCAGTCAGTATTTTAACCAGTATTTTTTGTGCTGTGTTTCATTTAATAATTGATTACTTTGTTTTATTTTGTTTAGTTGATTTTCGTTTTCTGAGACTGGGTCTTACTATGTAGCTCTGGCTGTCTTAGAACTCACTCTGTAGACCAGGCTGGCCTCTGTCTCCCAAGTGCTGGAATTTAAGGCTTGAACCATTACAGCAGGCTACTTTTTTATTCTTTTAAATTGATTGCTCTTTAAAGCTATTTTAATTTAGGACAGGTAGGAAATGGTATACTTACAGAGACTCTTGCCACTTCATGAAATTAGACTGATACCCATTAACCAAAAGCTTGATGATAACGTGCATGGGGCAAAGCCCGGTGATTCAGAATCAGAACCAGAACCTGTGTTTATATCTGTTTATACTTTATTTAAAAGCCCATAAAATGAATGCCCACATATTTTAATTGTATAGTAAATTAACTTCATTTTCTCTCACAGCTTTTTGCAAAAAAATTATTCTAAACATATCAGATATTTGAGATTTAAGAAGGTTTAAATCAAAGTCTTTTCAAGTATAAATATGTAAACCAGTTATGGTGGCGCATGCCTTTAATCCCAGTACTCAGGAAGCAGAGGCAGGCAGATCTCTGTGAGTTTGAGGCCAGCCTGACCTGCATAGTGAATTACAGGACAGCCAGAGCTACATGAGACCCTCTCTCAAAAAAGCCAAAAAGAAAAAAAAATATGTAATATTTTAAACTTTCAGGACACCTATTTTTAAGGAGACTAGCTATAGTAAATCCATATGCCAAAGAAAATACTTCAATAATTTGTTTTAGTATTAGAAAATGGAACTTATTTTCTATCTTTCTAGCCTTATTAAGACTTTTCCATCCTCATAAAGTCTTTTTTCTTAGTCCTTAGTTACTGGATGTTTAAATCATTAAGCTGGGGCCGTTGAGATGGCTCAGTGGGTAAAGGCTTGCCGCCAAGCCTGACGCCGCCTGGTGTTTGATCCCAGGAATGCATTCAGTGGAAGGAGAGCTGACTCGTGCGGGCTGTCCTCGGGCCTCCACTTACATGCATGTATACACATGCTTGCAAGCACACACAAAGTAATTAATTAGTTAGTTAAAAAATAAAGTCATGAAACTAATTCTTAAGGATGGAAAGGTCTAGAACTATGTTTAGAGCTTTCACACACATCCCCAGCCAACTTGAAACACCATAGGAAATACTGAGATATCTTTCAGTGCAGTTTATATTATTCACATTTTTGTGCATCTTGAGTACTCTATCAAATAAAGATTTCTTAACATTCTATGCCTTTGTTTGTAATAGAGCTGATAGGTTAGGGTTTTCTTATTATTTTAATAGTAATAATAGCAGTTTATTTTGCATATGTAAATCACACTCTAATAGACACAATTTGAAACAATTGCCACAGTTACCTTAGGAAGCATTTCCTGTTTCTGTGGGTGAGAACACTGAAGCCTAGGATGAGTGATTTCCCTGAGGCTCAGCTGTGAGTGGAGGGACTCTGCTTGACCTTCCTCAGTTAAAAGTCTCTTTTCTCTTCCTTCCTTCCTTCCTTCCTTCCTTCCTTCCTTCCTTCCTTCCTTCCTCCTTCCTTCCCTCCCTCCTTCCTTCCTTCCTTCCTCCTTTCCTCCTTCCTTCCTTCCTTCCTTCCTCCTTTCCTCCTTCCTTCCTTCCTCCTTCCTCCTTCCTCCTTCCTTCCTTCCTTCCTTCCTCCTTCCTCCCTTCCTTCCTTCCTTCCTCCTTCCTCCTTCCTTCCTTCCTTCCTTCCTTCCTCCTTCCTTCCCTCCCTCCTTCCTTCCTTCCTTCCTTCCTCCTTCCTTCCTTCCTTCCTTCCTTCCTTCCTTCCTTCCTTCCTTCCTTCCTTCCTTCCTTCCTTCCTTCCTTCCTCCTCCTCCTTCCTCCTTCCTTCCTTCCTTCCTCCTTCCTTCCTTCCTTCCTCCTTCCTTCCTTCCTCCTTCCTTCCTTCCTTCCTTCCTTCCTTCCTTCCTTCCTTCCTCCTTCCTCCTTCCTTCCTTCCTTCCTTCCTTCCTCCTTCCTCCTTCCTTCTTCCTTCCTTCCTTCCTTCCTTCCTTCCTTCCTTCCTTCCTTCCTTCCTTCCTTCCTTCCTTCCTTCCTTCCTTCCTTCCTCCTTCCTTCCTTCCTCCTTCCTTCCTTCCTTCCTTCCTCCTTCCTTCCTTCCTTCCTTCCTCCTTCCTTCCTTCCTCCTTCCTCCTTCCTTCCTTCCTCCTTCCTCCTTCCTCCTCCTTCCTTCCTTCCTTCCTTCCTTCCTCCTTCCTTCCTCCTTCCTTCCTTCCTCCTTCCTTCCTCCTTCCTTCCTTCCTTCCTTCCTTCCTTCCTCCTTCCTCCTTCCTTCCTCCTCCTCCTTCCTTCCTTCCTTCCTTCCTTCCTTCCTTCCTCCTCCTTCCTTCCTCCTTCCTTCCTTCCTCCTTCCTTCCTTCCTCCTTCCTCCTTCCTTCCTTCCTTCCTTCCTTCCTCCTTCCTTCCTTCCTCCTTCCTTCCTTCCTTCCTTCCTTCCTCCTTCCTTCCTTCCTCCTTCCTTCCTTCCTTCCTTCCTCCTTCCTTCCTTCCTCCTTCCTTCCTTCCTCCTTCCTTCCTTCCTCCTTCCTCCTTCCTCCTTCCTTCCTTCCTTCCTTCCTTCCTCCTTCCTTCCTTCCTCCTTCCTTCCTTCCTTCCTTCCTCCTTCCTTCCTTCCTTCCTTCCTTCCTTCCTCCTTCCTTCCTCCTTCCTCCTTCCTTCCTTCCTTCCTTCCTTCCTTCCTTCCTTCCTTCCTTCCTTCCTTCCTCCTTCTCCTTCCTTCCTTCCTTCCTTCCTCCTTCGTTCCCTCCTTCCTTCCTTCCTCCTTCCTCCTTCCTTCCTTCCTTCCTTCCTTCCTCCTTCCTTCCTTCCTTCCTTCCTTCCTTCCTTCCTCCTTCTTCCTTCCTTCCTTCCTTCCTTCCTCCTTCTTCCTTCCTTCCTTCCTTCCTCCTTCGTTCCCTCCTTCCTTCCTTCCTCCTTCCTTCCTTCCTTCCTTCCTCCTTCCTTCCTTCCTTCCTTCCTTCCTTCCTTCCTTCCTTCCTTCCTTCCTCCTTCTTCCTTCCTTCCTTCCTTCCTCCTTCCTTCCTTCCTTCCTTCCTTCCTCCTTCCTTCTTCCTTTCTCCTTCCTTCCTTCCTTCCTCCTTCCTTCCTTCCTTCCTTCTTCCTTCCTTCCTTCCTTCCTCCTTTCCTCCTTCCTTCCTTCCTTCCTCCTTCCTTTCTTTCTTTTTTTCCTTTCTTTCTTTCTTCCCACATCTTTGCTCTAAATGGATAAAAAAAAGATCAACATCACATAACTTCTTAGAAAATTACTGTTTTAGTGGCAGTGTCAAGTTCTGTTCTTTCACCTGGTTCAGACATGTCTTGGACCCGTCTCAGTGGAGGGCACCATCATGAAGAGTACACCATAGGAAAGAGTCGGCAGTGACCCTTCCAAAACAGACCTCTTCTCAGATGGTCCCTAAGTGACACTGTCCTGATGTGTTCTCTCAAGTCCTAGGTCATTAGAAACTAATAACTGCAGAGTAATTATCATTAGAATCACAGTGCCCGCGTAGGAAATGGCATAGAGCTGCATTATAAATTTAACGGGAGGTGTTGGGAGCCGGTGTGTTACAGCAGACCTTCTGTTTTCTTCCGATAGGATAGGTCTCTCTCCATAGATCAGAGGAACTTTCTATAGCTGTTTAAGGTGGTGGTTGCTTTCTATGGCAGAGAAGAGACCAAATGCAATCTGAAATGATTTGCACTCCTTTGGTAAGGTCTAGGGAAGTAGGGCTGCATTTCATACACTCCCATCCCTCACTGTAAGGCGTGGGCCATAATAGGTGCTGATTTTTTTCCCCTCATGGAATCATGGGTAGTTTCATCGCAGCTCATCTCTTTCTGTTTGTTTCATATAGGGCTGATAGTTCAGGACCATTCAGACCCCATGTTCAGTTCCTATGCCTATAAATCCCACTACCTACTGAATGAATCAACCCGTGCTGAGTTGATGAGATTACCTATGATTCCTTCTTCGTCAGCTTCCCAAAAGAAATGTGAGAAAGGTAATAATTAAAATAGTTTATTTTTGCCTTTGCCTTTTCCTCTCTCTCTCTCTCTCTCTCTCTCTCTCTCTCTCTCTCTCTCTCTCTCTCTCTCTCTCTCTCTCAAATAAAGGGGGGATGGATGTATGCCTGTCAAGCACTGCCTGTTGCTTTTGGTAGATTCTGCCTTGGTGGTTCTGACTGTGTCTTCATATGGCTATAAAATTATCAAAAAAAAGCTTAAAATAATTCTGTCATCACAAATTTTTACTTTTCTCCCTGAGTCAATTTTCACACATTCCAAAGATGTAAGTTATTAAACGCTAAAGACTAGAATTTTACTTAACATAAAGGACTATTTGAAAGGCTGTTTCTTATTTGCTTGACCTCGAACTAACATTCATGTTATATTAGGGTAGTCATGGTATAGTTTGTCGTTACCTATAAGCTAACTAGCAAGAAAGGCTATTTAGAAAAAAAAAAGCCAGTACTGGAGGGATAGCTCAGCCGTTAAAGGCTAGGTTCACAACCAAAATATAGGAAAAAAAGCCAGAGTAACAGATACTAGAAAAGATTGTTTCTAGAACATAGTCTGTTGTTTTATTTCTTAAATATTTAGTTAAGATGCTATGAAAACAAGTGCCCTTCCCTTAGGAGGGAAGCTGGGGTTGAGGACAAGGTAGCCGAATCAAATTGCCGATGGGCAGTTTATTCCAAAAGAACCATGAGCTACATGTATGTTCGTATTCTCTCAATCAGTCTCATTCATGCAGGAAAACTTTATTTGTGCTTAACTTGCCATAGCCTGCTTATGATAGAGGGGAAAGTGACTTCATGTTTATTTGGGGGTTTGTTACCCCAGAGGAAACATCTGAGTTTGGAAGGTATGGATAGGGCTTTTGCTTAATTTATTTTCATTATGACCTAAGGTCCAAGTTCAGAATCGATAAAGAAAAATTCATTATTTATACCTACTATACCATGTATGCACATTAAACATAGGTTTTCATTAGTATTTGCTACTCATGCTGCTGATTTGATGTATCCTTGCTCCTTTGTTGGCCCAAGTGGCAACTAATAACTGGAAGACTGATATCTGAGCGAGGTGATTGGAGCCCACTAGGGGTATTGGAGAGAGGACTGGCCTGTGGCCGGTTGTTCGCTGCCTGCTGAGGTCAGACTGCATCATCGCCTTACTGGTGATGCTTGTGCATCTGAAGGAGGTGGGCGGGGCCTGCGGTCCTCCTCAGCCAAGTGGAACTAGCCTGTCAGTGCGTTTGTAAAATGAGATTAACTCAGTTGTTGTTTGGTTTCCAGCATTCAGGATTAACCTTGACATAACTGAAGTGGTTTTGAGCCCTCTGCTTAGTCTGAGTGATAGATTTCCTCTCTTGTGTGTGGAAAGCAGGTTTTTGTTGTCCCCATGGTTTTGTTTTTATGCATAGCATCAAGGTAGACCATTCATATTTTCATTTTTTCTGTATTCTTACATACTTTGAACATCTCTATCATGGTAATTTTAAGATTCTGTTTTTCCTCTGAAATAAGGCTGAAACTTACATTGGCAGTAAACATGGCCAGCCCAACTTCCACGGCGCTGCTAATCATCACATATCCTCCTCTAAGGCTGTCTGCGAGGCAGGCAGGTCTCCTTCTTGATGGTCCCTTCCACTTACTTAAAACATCCAAGCAGCTAATCTCAAGGCTGGAAAACTGAGCCAATTAATCCCTATTGACACCTGCAGTCAGAGGGGGAAGCGCCCGGGACTGAAGTCCAAGATGGCAGAGGAAATACAGTGCTTGTCCATCGCTGGTTGTATGTAGGTTCTCTCTTTGTTTTCATGTAACAGTCAGAGGTCTGAAAGTGCAGGAAGGCAAGATTTCTAAACTCTGTAAAAGGCAGGAGCAGGTAATCTGATCAAGTTATATGGAAGGCTCTGGGTCTTGTCTGTGAGACTCTCAATCTCTGCCAACTTGTAGGTTGTAGAACTGACTTGTCAGTGGAACGTCCCTCGTCTTCAGTGGTCCACCTTTCCGGTTACTTGTTGATATTCATGCTGGAAACACCTCATCCTCTCCGCCCCCCGTTTTTCTTGGTTTGCATTAAAAGGATTATTCTGTTTGTCACACCTGTTTTGGTGTCAGCCAGGGAACATTTTAGTCTAAAAAGAGAGGGCTCAGTAGGAACCTGAAAAGAGGGTTTGCATGTAGTACTTCATTTTGCTCTGAGAATTACCTAGTTTTGTGCTATAAAGCAGTGGTTCTCAAACTTAAGTCAGAAAAATAGATATACAAAGAGAACTTTTGAATATTTTGGGAAAATTTAAGAGAATTACACATTTATACAATATAGTTACATGAGATTTATTTGGCTATGACTTCAACCATTCAACATGATGATACTATAATACTTGCATTGCTTTTGGTTCAGAGTTATGCATATCTTTGGTCAATAGAAATAGGAGAGCGGGCATGGTGGTACATGCCTCCAGTCCCTGCACTTGGGAGACAGGCAGGCAGGAGGACCCCAGTGGGAAGTGTGAACTACACAGTGAGACGATCCCCCAATAAAGGGGAGGAAGTCGCTAATATTGAAGTGCAAGTTGATTTGGGGTTGGTATGATTTTGAAAATATGGGTCATAATTAGGAGAAGGGGAATCCTTGGTGATGGAATGGTTACAGGTCACTGCTGTATAGCCTGTTTGTCTGTCTGCCTCACTGAAAAGGTAACGGTGCTATGACTACTGTTTTCAGAATCTGTGTTCCACTTTGGTATTTGAAGAAGAAAAGAAGTACTGGTCAACTTATTGTTTTCATTCTTGGCTGATTTTATTATAAAGGGATTTAGTGCATTTTGACAGTGGGTTAAAATACAAGCATGGTTATTGCTTTTTTTTCTTCACTCAGAAGAACAAAAGAAAGCTATTTGTTTGAAACCCTACTTTCAAATCTCCCTGGGTTAAAGAGTTTCTGTCTCTTTTGTGATGTGTTTAGCTAGCTGACATCTGACTCCCCAGTTGCTCGTGTTCTAAGGGGCACCGAGTGGTTTGGGCCTACTCAGAGCTCCGAGTTTCTAGCTCCTGGAGTCTTAAAAACGGGCTATTTCATGTGTTTCCTGTTTTAGTCCATCACTCTGGATATGACTCAACCATCCCTTTGTTTTTCCCACTTGAATAAAATCTAATGTTGTAAAGGATGACTTTCTCCTTCTTTTCTCAGTCCCTAAGACTGTGTGTCTGTTTCCAGGTGGAAAATTGCTCTGCTGTGAGACGTGCCCGGCTTCCTTCCACCCGGAGTGCCTGAACATAGACATGCCAGAAGGCTGCTGGAACTGCAATGACTGTAAAGCTGGCAAGAAACTGCATTACAAGCAGATTGTTTGGGTCAAACTGGGAAATTACAGGCAAGTTTTCCAAGGACAAGTGGGAAGTAACACTGTTCGAGCGGGTTGGTAATCTGTATTAGTGCCGTTAGCATGCGGGCAGAGAGACAGACTCGGCTCCCTCAACAGAGGAGGCCAAAGAAAATGGGGTTTGGTGTATTTTTAGGGGTTGGAGGAGTTCTGCTGCTCTTCATGGTTCTTTGTTTTTGTTTGTTTGCCTTTTTCTTTAAGAGTCGGTTTCTTACTTTGTTGTTAGGTTCTGAGAATTATTTTATACTAATAAATTATGTACTACTAAATTTTGGAATGAAAGGATTTACATGAAGAGTAGAGACTGTGTTTTCTTTGTATCTTAGTTTGTTTTTTTGTTTGTTTGTTTTTTGTTTTTTGTTTTTCGAGACAGGGTTTCTCTGTGTAGCTTTGCGCCTTTCCTGGAACTCGCTTTGGAGACCAGGCTGGCCTCGAACTCACAGAGATCCGCCTGGCTCTGCCTCCCGAGTGCTGGGATTAAAGGCGTGCGCCACCACCGCCCGGCACTTTGTATCTTAGTTTTATATTTATTTTTAAATTAATTCTTTTTCTAACCATTATTTATTGAATTTATGTGTATGGATGGTTGATTGGCTGTATGTCTACATATTGTGTATGTGCTTGCCTATGCAGGCCACAGAGGGTGTCAGATCCCCTGAGACCGAGTTACAGACGGTTGTGAGCTGCCCTGTGAGTGCAGAAATTGAACACAGGTCTTCTGGAAGAGCCGAAAGTGCTCTTAATCACTGAGCCATCTCGCCAGTCCCATAATTTCTAGTTTCTAATAAGATCAAGAGTTTCTAACCTTGTCAAGATAGATCTATTTGATTCTTTTTTTTTCTTTTTTTAAATGTTTTTTCAAGACAGGGTTTCTCTATGTAACAGCTCTGACTGTCCTGGAACTTGCTCTGTAGACCAGGCTGGCATCTTACTCACAGAGATCTGCCTGCCTCTGCCTCCTGAATGCTGGGATCAAAGGTGTGCACCACCACCACCCAGCTAGGTTAGTTGAATTCTAAACCAGGCCAATTGTGTTCAAGTAGCCCTAAGCTATGTGTAAAGAGTGCTTTTAAAAAAAAAAAACAAAAAAAACCATATAATCTAAAGAGTGAAATTATTCCAGTAAGAGCCATTTGTAATTATTTATTAAATGGGGGCATGCCTCTGTCACACAGTAGAATTATAGAGGTAAAAACAGCTTTCAGGAATCGGGTCTCTCCTTCTACCGTATGTTCCCAAGATAAACTCAGGAGGTCAGTTTGTCTACCTGCTGAGCTACCTCGACAACCCAAGCCGTAGTTCTGAACAGGACAAGAACGGGGGCTGCAGAGGCAGTCAAGAGCATGTGCTGCTCTTCAGAAAACCCGAGTTCAGTTCCCAGCACATGTCAGGTGCGCACAGCCTCCTGTAACCCCGGCTCCAGGGGTTCAGATATTCTCTTCTGGTCTCACACATGTGTGTGCACATAAAAATAAAAACATAAGCCAGGCAGTGATGGAGCACGCTTTCAACCCCAGCACTGGGGAGGCAGAGGCAGGCAGATCTCTGAGTTGGAGGCCAGCCTGGTCTGCATAGCAAGTTCCAGGACAGCCAAAGCTACACAGAGAAACCCTGTCTCAGACAACAACAACGAAAAAGTTTTAAATTATGTGTGTGATTAACATTATTTAAAAACATTCTCCTTTAAGGTTTTAATTTTAATTTTTTTATTATTTTATTTGTATGGGTGCTTTCTCTGCATGTATACCTGTGTTCTGGGTACCCAGGGAAGTCTCCAAAGACACCTGGCAAAACATCCATGCACATAAAAGTAAATCTTAGAAGAAAACTCTTCCGTGTGTGCGAATGGGAGCGGTGCAGTACATGTGGCAGCCGCAGTGGGCATGGGCAGGTCAGAGGACAATCTGCAGGAGTCAGTCTCCTTCCCCGTGTGGGTCCCAGGATTAGACCGAGGTGGTCAGGCCTGGCGGTGTCTTCACTCCTGAATCATGGTGCGCGTGCGCGCGTGCGTGCGTGCGTGCGTGCGTGCGTGCGTGCGTGTGTGTGTGTGTGTGTGTGTGTGTGTGTGTGTGTGTGTGTTTAAGGGTGGATCTGGATACGATGTAGCTCTTTTTTTTTTTTTCCAGTTTGGTTTTATGGGGACAGATTCTCTGTATATGTTAGCCTGTAACTCACGATGCTTGTATCTCAGCTTTCAAAGTACTGAGATTACATGTGTGGCCCACCCTACCCTGCCCTGTAATGTGTTCTTAATATTTGGAGAAACGTACATCTAACGTTAATAGTCTTCATGACAATATCATAAGGGGGGATATTTTCTCTACCCCCACCCTGTGCTTATTAAGACAGATTGATTCAGAAATACCAACTGGCATAAAACCTAGTACATTAGATCGTGGGGTGTTTTCCCTGCTTGGTTAGAATCAGGAAATGCTGATTTGCATGTCATACTCTCTCTTTACTATGGCAGTGGTTTATTCTCAGGAGGATTCTTTTGACTGCTAGAAACAATCCTTCATTCCTTGAAAGATAATCTTCTCTACCTGGGAAAATCTTAAATCAGGTTTGGGAAAGTGAATTCTCTACAGTTAAAATGGGCTACGATTGTATTAGTTAACGTACCAGTTCCAGAGCTGGAAAATGAGTCCATCGTCCTTTTCTTGTTAGATGTTACAACTGATGTTTGCGATATACATTTTTAAATTTTAAATGTTCATCTTTTAAGGAAAGAAACCAAATAAGGCATCTAGGGCCTACTTTGTCTAGCCTGTGTGCACTAGTTTGTTAATTCATTAGTAGTTTTGTGTGTGGTGTTTTTTTGGGGGGTTCTTTGTTTTGCCTGCATATCTGTCTGTATGAGGGCATTGGATCCCCTAAAACAGGAGTACAGACAGTTGTGAACTGCCATGTGGATACTGGGAATTGAACCCAGGCCTTCTGGAAGAGCAGCCAGTGCTCTCAACCACTGAGCAATCTTTCCAGCCTATTTTTTTGGGTTTTTTTGTTTTTGTTTTTTTTTTTTTTTGGTTTTTCGAGGCAGGGTTTCTCTGTGTAGCTTTGCGCCTTTCCTGGAACTTGCTCTGTAGTCCAGGCTGGCCTCAAACTCACAGAGATCCGCCTGCCTCTGCCTCCCAAGTGCTGGGATTAAAGGCGTGGGCCACCACCACCCGACTTTTTGGGGTTCTTGGAAACAGGGTCTCCAGGTGGTGGCAGCGCAAGCTTTTAATCCCAGCACTCGGGAGATAAAGACAGGCGGATCTCTGTGAGGCCAGCTGGGTTTACAAAGCGAGTTCCAGCCGGGCGGTGGTGGCGCACGCCTTTAATCCCAGCACTCGGGAGGCAGAGCCAGGCGGATCTCTGTGAGTTCGAGGCCAGCCTGGGCTACCAAGTGAGTCCCAGGAAAGGCGCAAAGCTACACAGAGAAACCCTGTCTCGAAAAACCAAAAAAAAAAAAAAAAAAAAAAAAAAAAAAAAAAAAAAAAAAAAAAAACAAAGCGAGTTCCAGGAGAGCCGGAGCTACACAGAGAAACCCTGTCTAGAAAAACAACAACAACACAAAGTAGTGTGTGTGTGTTTAGAGTCTGAATCTGAATGAATCTTGAACTATGAACCGTTCTCTCTTCCCCTGTGAGTTTTTTTTTTTTTTTTACTTTCTCACTCTTGTCTTCAGATGGTGGCCTGCAGAGATCTGCAGCCCCAGGTCTGTGCCTCTGAACATCCAGGGCCTGAGGCACGACTTGGGGGACTTCCCTGTGTTCTTCTTTGGGTCTCATGACTACTACTGGGTACACCAAGGCAGAGTGTTCCCTTATGTGGAAGGAGACAAAAGCTTTGCCGAGGGACAGACCAGCATTAACAGGACCTTCAAAAAAGGTAAGTTGGCCTGTGCTTAGAGTGACTCAGAACTACCACTCCAGTGCATGTTTCTTAGAATCCCCTTATTTGCACGTGAAGTTTCTTCCGTCGCTTGAGAATCTTCTCCAGGCACTTTGATTTTGTACCCATAAACTTCTTGTGACATCAGACTCGGGTTTGAGATGCATAAGCGCATGAACACTAGGCTGTGTTTGAAGTGTCTTTTAACCAGGTGAAGCCCCTTTGCCACGAAGGGGTAGAAAAGGCTTCCTCCCAGGAAGAGCTTGGGGCCTGCACAACAGGCCTGAAAGTCTACCTTTCTGAGGAAGGGTGGATGTCATTTAAATCCAGGACAGGGTACTCAGGTACTCGAGTAGAGTCACTTAGAGGCCTTTGTCGTTGATGTCGGACCTCTGCTCTGAGGATGCACAAGGATAGTGTTTGATGGGTTGTATACTAACTTCGTATTAACTCTATAATGGTGGTGACTGGTGATTTCCAGGATATCTAAAATGTAAGCCCCGGACCAGGTGGGGAAGGAGCATCTCTGAGGTGGTGGAATTTAGCTTCCCACCCTCTGGTGTGTATTTACATTTCAATAATGGCCTGCCTGCTCTTCCCGTCAGCACTGGAGGAAGCTGCAAAGCGCTTCCAGGAGTTGAAAGCACAGCGGGAGAGTAAGGAGGCTCTGGAGATTGAGAAAACCTCAAGAAAACCACCGCCCTACAAGCACATCAAGGTGAGCACACGCTCCCCGTGTGACCTGCAGACATGTTCCCTCACGGCCAGCGTCTCCTTGTTAGGCTGCTAGTTTCTGTGGCTGCATCAGTGGGATCTCCCTGTGGTGCTGAGGGTGGAATCTCCCTGTGCTGCTGAGGGTGGGATCTCCCTGTGGTGCTGAGGGTGAGATCTCCCTGTGCTGCTGAGGGTGAGATCTCCCCGTGCTGCTGAGGGTGGGATCTCCCTGTGCTGCTGAGGGTGAGATCTCCCCGTGCTGCTGAGGGTGGGATCTCCCTGTGCTGCTGAGGGTGAGATCTCCCCGTGGTGCTGAGGGTGGGATCTACCCGCGGTGCTGAGGAGTGGGTCTTTGGCAAGCTATTCCATACCCAGGAGCCATGACTTATATGAAATTCTGTTCTGTTTCTATCAGATTATCCTGCAACCAAATGAGGATGTAGATCTTTAGCCCTTCTTTTCCAGAGATGCACAGATAGCTTATTTTCTCTTAACTTTGGGTATTAAATTTCTGTCAGTCTGTGGCAAGCAATGTAAACAAATGAGAATTAACATCAAATTGAACACTTTTGTGTAGTAAATAGACATAGTTCTTATTCCTAGTTTATTCAGGAGAAGTTAAGCTAAAGAGCTCCTCAGGGTCCTGTCACAATGCTTTGGTGTTGTAGTTCCAGTTGCTCTCAGATCCTCACCTTGTCCCCTCTCACTTGGGGTCCTGTCTCCTAGGCTAACAAAGTGATAGGGAAGGTACCAGTCCAGGTGGCTGACCTGTCAGAGATCCCCCGCTGTAACTGCAAGCCTGCTGATGAAAACCCTTGTGGCTTGGAGTCGGAGTGTCTGAACAGAATGTCACAGTACGAGTGTCACCCGCAAGTGTGCCCTGCTGGGGACCGCTGTCAGAACCAATGCTTCACAAAGAGGCTCTACCCCGATGCAGAGATCATCAAAACGGAGCGGAGAGGCTGGGGCCTCAGAACCAAAAGAAGCATTAAGAAGGTAATCTGGTGGAGGCACAGCTCAGTAGGATGGGCCAGCGCCTCTGTCTTTTAGGATGCTTCCGTAGGTCCTGATTCTGGGACGGGAAGCAGCTCAGAGTAGGATGGGCCAGCGCCTCTGTCTTTTAGGATGCTTCCGTAGGTCTTGCCTCTGGGACGGGAAACACAGCTATTTATGACAGGAACTGAGGGTTCTCACAGAGTTTGGACTTGCTGAGCAAAGAAAGAGTGGGAAAAGTATAATAAAGTGTATGTAAACTGTGAGTATTGTTTGATGAGCTTAAATAGAAGGGCATTGATGTTTTTGTACTTGAATTTTTTTTAATTACTAGGTGAAATGATTCAAACATACTTTCTTCTTGTTGCTTTTCATGGTGGATGGACATGCCAGAGAAGTGAGATAATAAATTGTGTTGATTATACACCAGGGCAGAGACTAGCAAACCCAGAACTTCACTCCAGCCTCCTAACATTAACCATAGTGTGACCGAGTCACCATGTCACTAACGTAGACTGTAATAATAATAGTCCATTGGCCTAGTCCGCACCACCAGAGCTTGTTAGAGGCCTCAGGTTATGTTCGAGAGCAGTAGAAGGAGCTGAGGGCTTTAACATACGTAACTTACTTTTGTTTTCACACCATGAAACAATTTTTTATCACAATATTGGAAAAATATCTTAAAGCCAAATAGCTTACAAGAAAAACAAAAATCTCCAATAAAGCCTACTGTTGAAATGGTGGGTCTCAGATGTTAGAATGCCTGATACACGGACAACATGCAGACAGAACACACAGAGGAGTAAATGTGGTGCATGTTTTATTATCACAGTTGATATGGGTCAGGGGTCCAGGCAGTGCTCAGCTGGGTTTATTTAGGATTGCAAGCCATCAACCAAACTTGGATCTGCAGCTCACCCAGGGAAGGACCCACTTCCCAGCTTCCTTGAGGCTTTAGAACTCATCCATTCTTTGTCACTGTGGACTGAGTGCTTTTGCTCTGAGATCACCCCTCCTGCTGTTCTCCTGCTGAGAACGAGTTAACCTTCAATGGCTGCCTAGTTCCTTGCTACCTGAGGTATGAGAGTTTCCGTCTCCTTAGCCCATGCATGTTGTCACCACAGCCACATCCTTGGGGGAGGGATCATGATGGATGGCATGGATCGCAAGTGGGATCGGGGGCAACCTTGGCAATCTGCCACATTTGGACTTTAAGAGAATAACTTTAGCTGGAGTGTGAAGGGTTAATGAGGGAGGAGAAAGAGTGATGCGGAGCCAAGGGCGCAGTCCTGGGCACAAGGCTGAAGGTCTGCATTACTGATGCCTGCTCTCAGCTGTCCTGTGAGAACTGAGGAGAATCTGTTTGTGGAGTGCAAAGGTGTTAAGACGGTAAGCACACACATACTTCTTTCTCAAGACGCCTATTCTCCTCTGAGTTTGAAATGCTGGTGAGTCCCACAGATGATGTGTTGCTCTAGACGGAGTCGGCATGGCTTTGGAGATAAAAAGGTCAGCAATTAGATAAACACAGAGGTTCACTACCTTGTAGCCACTCCGAGTTTACCAGTTCAAAGGACAGCCAACAGTAGCAAATTCTTCAGGATTTAAAAGTCCTGCATCTCTGTCTTGGGGGTGGAGATGTGAGTAGAACAGGCACTTTCAGCAGTAGTTTGGAGGCAGTTTTCTTTAAACATGCTGTATAATACATACATTTACTGTATTATACAACAAATCTCCCCCCTGGCTATTTAAGCCAGGAGAATGAAAATCTGTAATCACATGGAAACTCTTCCCAAATGTGCAGAGCAACTGTATGTAGCTAGAGTTTTCCTGCCTGGCCCACAGTCAGGACAAATCTCTCTCACCTGCCAGTCCCACAGCCACTCAGACCCGACCAAGTAAACACAGAGACTTATATTGGTTACAAACTGTATGGCCGTGGCAGGCTTCTTGCTAACTGTTCTTACAGCTTAAATTAATCCATTTCTATTAATCTATACCTTGCCATGTGGCTCGTGGCTTACCGGCATCTTCACATGCTGTTTCTCATCATGGCGGCTGGCAGTGTCTCTCTGACTCAGCCTTCCACTTCCCAGCTTTATTCTCCTCCTTGTCCCGCCTACACTTCCTGCCTAGCCAATGGCCAATCAGTATTTTATTTATTGACTAATCAGCAACACATTTGCCATACAGAACATCCCACAGCAACTGTATTTTTATAATAGCAAAAATCTGGAAAGATGGGCCAGTCTTCTCCAGTGAGTAAATGGTTAAAGAAATGGTGGTACAGCCACGCTGAAGGGTCCTACCAAGGCGTTAAAGACAACCAGAACAGAACTTGAGATCTCTGGAGAATTAGCTTGAATTGTTAGGATTTTTTATTTTTAAAATAAAAATATAGTCCCATGGCTCTAGAGATGGTTTAGTGGTTAGGAGCACTTGCTGCTCTTATAAAGAACCCAGGTTTGAATCCCAGCACTCACACAGAACTATCTGAGCTCCAGTTCCTGGGCGTGTAATACCTTCTTACAGCCTCTTCAGATACTGCAGAGACATAGTGAACTCACATGGTGCACGTGCATGCACACACACTCACACACCTCTTCAGGCAAAACATTCATATACATGAAATAAAAAAAGTCTTTGTTTTATGTGTGAGTGTTTTGCATGTATTTGTGTTGTGTGTCTTCTTGGTGCCTGCAGAGGTCAAAAGAGGGCATCAGATCTCCTGGAATAAAAACACGTCTTTAGGAGCTGGAGAGATGGCTTGGCGGTTGAGAGCACTGACTGATCTTCCAGAGGACCATGGTTGGATTCTCAGCAGCTCACAACCATCTGTAACTCCAGATCCAGGGCATCTGCTGCCTCTTCTGGCCTCAGAGGGCACCAGGCATGCGAGCGGAGCACAGACATGCATGCAAGCAAAACATCCACATACTTCAATAATTTTAAACAGCAAGTCTTAAGAAAACAGTCTCAAAAGATCACATATTATATAAATTCATATAGAATACTCTTGAGTGACAGAATGATACCGATGGACTAGTGTTTGACAAGAGCTAGGAAACCAGGGTGCTGGAGTGATGAGGATGGGTGTGGCCATTGAAGAAAACTCAAGACATCCTGGGGTGCAGGTACAGTCTCGACCGTGATTGTGTGGTGGCAGGATTCCACGACTGAGTGGGGTGTGTGCACCAACACCATTAGTGCTGTGTTATAGTTCTGTAAGATGTTACCATTGGAGGAAGCTGAGTGAACGGTACAGAGTTTGTAGTTTTTCAGCTCTCTGTAAATATACTTATTCACAATAGAAGGTTTAAAGAGCAAATGCATATCCGCTCTGCTTCAGATTTGGACTTCTTCTGTTTCTCCCCCTAGTGGCCACCACCTCCTCAGCTACAAACTCTTAAAACTTTGTGATTATAGTGATGGTAATGACCTCAAAGTTGGGGGTAGCTTTATTCCAAGATCTAGTGATGTACCACAGGTGCCACTTGGGACTATAGAATAAATAACACTCTCAGCAAGAAAAGACAAGCACGTCGGTACCTTTTGAAGCACTTGTACAGAAACAGTGCCACCCCAATGCCCATGAATAAATAAAAACCATTTATTTCCAGGGTTGAAGTAGTATTTTCAGTATTTTTTTTTTTTTGCTTTGTTTTTGTGTAGGTGTAAAAACAGGTGTGCTCATGCATGTAAATGTCCAATGACAGCCCGGGTGTTGTTTCTAAGGTGCTTTCATGCCTTTAACATGTCTTCCAACTTGGGGAGGAAAAGGCTAATTTTAGCTTACAGTTTGTAGCCCATCATGAAAGGAGGTCAGGGCAGAACTCAAGGTAGGAACCGAACAGAGGCCATGAAGGAACCCTGCTCACAGCTGCTTCTGCTGCTCCCCAGGACTCAGCTAGCTTGCGTTCCTTTTTTTTTTTTTTAAAGCTCTGGTTGTCCTGAAACTCACTATGTAGACTAGGCTGCCTCTGCCTCCCGAGTGCTAGTATTAATGGTGTGTGCCCCCACAGCCTCGCCAGCCTGCTTCCTTAGACCACCCAGGACCACCTGCCCAGGGTAGAACCACTCAGAGCGAGCTGGGCCGGCCCTCCCACATGAATCATTAACCAGGAGGACACCCTACAGACTTACCAACAGGCAATGCGATGGAGGCATTTCCTCATTTGGGGTTCCTCTTCCCAGATAACTCACGCTCTTGTCAGATTGACAGGAGGCCAGCAGGTCACACCTGCTGTTTAGAGAGGTTTCTCATTGGCCTCGAACATCTCCAAATAGTGCAGCTGGCCCTAGCGATTCATCTGGTCCTCACCTTCACCGTCACCAGATTTCAGGCATCTGCCATCATGGTGGCCTCTTAGTTAGGGGACCTGAGCTCGGGTCTTCACAGTTGTGAGGGGAGTACTTCACCAGCTAAACCAACTCACAGCTCATGGCTCTGTTTTTGGTCTTTTACATTTTTAAAAAGCGTGTCTGAGATAAAAAGGACAGACACACACTTGCACACTGTAGTGCTGGATAGGAGTTGGAACATCTCTGTCCATCATGAGGGTTCATAGCATCAAACTTAGGTTACACACTAAGCCACTTCTGACCCCCCCAGCTTAGGGTTTTGGTGTTAAGGCAAGCTCTCACGTGCTGCAGGCCAGCCTAGAAATCAACATGTCCTGTCTGTACCTTCCAAGTGCTAGGATTATGGGCATGTGCCACCACACCAGTTTATGTGCTGTTGGGTATTGAACCCGTGGCCTTGTACAAGCTAGGCATGGGTTGTACTAGTTGTATTACATTCCCAGCCCCCAGTCCTCTTTTTTCTTTTTTGAGACAGACACACATACACTTGCACACTGTGGAAGCCCTGTAAGAGTACATGCTACTCTTTTCTCTTTTAGTTAATTTTCTTGTTTCGTACATGTGGTGTTAAGAATGCATTACAGGCCGGGCGGTGGTGGCGCACGCCTTTAATCCCAGCACTCGGGAGGCAGAGCCAGGCGGATCTCTGTGAGTTCGAGGCCAGCCTGGTCTCCAAAGCGAGTTCCAGGAAAGGCGCAAAGCTACACAGAGAAACCCTGTCTCGAAAAACCAAAAAAAAAAAGAATGCATTACAGTCCAGTGCACGGATTTTACAATCACATGTTAAATGCTTCTCTGCAGGGTGAATTTGTAAATGAATATGTTGGTGAATTAATTGATGAAGAAGAATGCAGACTCCGAATCAAGCGGGCGCACGAGAACAGTGTAACTAATTTTTATATGTTAACTGTTACCAAGGTAAAATTGCTTTTATTTTTTGGTAAGAAAAAGGGACATTTATGTTTTGTTCTTAATTTTATGTTGAACTCAGTTTCTCTAAATTTCATTTTCTCTAAGTATAATATGATTCTCGGTAGTCAGTGCTGTGATTATCTCAGGAGTACAGAAGGAGTCCTCCATAGTCAGGGGTCTCGCGAGAGAGGGAAATGCTAGCCAGAAATAAAGTGGTCATGTCTAGGCTAGAGTTGTTGGGTCCTTGTCCTCCATCTGAGTCAGTGAGAGACCTGATTATAAATACCTTGAGATTTCTGATTAACCAAAATCTCAGAACTTTTCTGTGTATTTATTAAGCTTTGAAAAAGGAAATGCCGGGAGGGGTGGGGGCAGCAGCGCTTGGAGAAATGACTTACTCGGTGGTGGAGAGCATTTGTTGTTGTCACAGAGGACCTGGGTTCAGTTCCCGACACCCACATGCGGTCTGAAACGGCAGTTCCGGGGGTCTGGTGTTCTCTCCTATCTCCAGAGGCACCAGGAACACAGTGTGACACACACGTACATGCAGGCAGCACACTCGTACACAGAAACCATGAGTGTTGTCACGGGAAAATGGCAGTAGACTGCTAACTTAGATCAAAGTTCAGCCAGGCATTGTGGCACACAAACCTGTACTCCAGCATTGGGGGGCTAAGGCATGAGGAGCAGAAATTTAAGGTAGAGGCCAGCCTGGGCTACATGAGGTCCTGTCTAAAACAAACACACAAAAAGACAAAAAGGAAGAAAAAGGCAAAGACTGTATGTAAGCATTAGACTGATATGTATCTGCCCATGCATTGCAGCCATGATCTCTATTATAGTAGTCCTTACAGAGGGCAGGAAGCCCAGGCCGAGGTACAGTTCAGTCGTGGATTTAGTATACCATCACACTTTAAGGACCAAGACTAGTACCCTGTGTTCTGGGATGTTTCTAAAAGATTCAGAATATCATTCAGGTTGAGGGCATGGCTCCATGGTAAAGCATCTACTGAGCATATGTGAGGCTGTGGGTTTGAGCCTCATCACAAGTGAAAACGTCACAGAAAAACAACAAAAAACAGCAAAAGAGATCGCTGGGCATGATGGCGCATGCCTTTAATCCCAGCACTTGGGAGGTAGAGGCAGGCGGATCTCTGTGAGTTCGAGGACAGCCTGGTCTGCAGAGTGAGTTCCGCAGCAGCCAGAGCTACGTTGTGAGACCCTGTCTCAAAAAAGAAAAAAAGGATTATTTGAAAGTATTTTAATTATACGTAGTTATGTCATTATTTGAAAATGGTGTAGCTTTCGTGTTTCATGAGCATGACTTCAACTGCCAGTTTATGCTGTAGTCTGCCTCTTTGAGCCTAGTCTCACTGACTCGGGTCAGCCAGCGTGACATCCGAGGGCTTCAGGCCTAGAGCTTATCCACATTGTTAGGGCCCAACTGTCTAGTGTTCCCTGTGTGTTGAACTGCGCTGTAAGTGAAAACAAAGTGTAACTTCTGGACAGTGTGGAGCAGAGACGGGTGTTCTCCACATCCTCACTAGGGGAGTCCCGTTTCCCTTCTCCATCTGCATGGTGTAAACTGGTCTGTGCACGACAGTCTCCCTTCCGGCTTAGAGCGGACGGAAAAGCTGAGAACAAGCTAATTGAGTAGTTGGTTATCTGAATGGTACGGCTCTTACCAAAACCACCTGAACACATGGCCTGCTGACCTGTTTACTAGACCAGCTCCGTCATCACCACTCTGTGCAGATCTGAGGCCATCCAGTAGGGCAGCTACATCGGGTGGCTGTGGTATCTGCAGAGTTGCCAGTTGCCACACTCCAGCTGTTACATGATGCGGTCTTGTGTCCCCCTAACTGTGTGTTTCTGAATGGACTTGTGTTTAGTTTATGTCAAAAGCGTCCTCCCCCTTTATCCCTTCTGAAGGACCGAATCATTGATGCTGGCCCCAAAGGAAATTACTCTCGGTTCATGAACCACAGTTGCAATCCAAACTGTGAGACGCAGAAGTGGACAGTCAATGGAGATGTTCGAGTAGGACTCTTTGCTCTTTGCGATATCCCTGCAGGTAAAGGGTGCTGTCCTGGGTCCCTCGGGGGCGGGGGGGGGGGGTCTGTCTCGTTGGGGAGGACGTTATCCTTTCAGGCCTGGTGTTGATTCGGATAAGACAGCATGCTCTTTTCGGAGCTGGCTGTTATTTGCCAGTGCAGTAAAACTACATCTGAAGAGGAAGCTTGCTGGCCTTTGTGCAAAAGAGGACCTGGAGAGTGCGTGTGTGTCTGTGTGCGTGAGTGTGTTACTGCTTCCGGTGCAGATAGATGCGTGACTTTCCCAGAAGACTGCGGCTGTATACTGTAACCCGACGGCCTGGTTCTGTGAACACACAAGTAACTAGCTGTGGCGGCTGGAGAGATGGCTCAGCGGTTAAGAGTGTAGACTTCTTTTGTAGAGGACCCGAGTTCGATTCCCAGCATCTGCGTGGGTGGCTCACAGCCACTTGTACTCCAGCTACAGGGGGTCAGACATACCTCTAGCTTCCACAGGCATCTACCCACACTCACACATACCCATAATTAAAAATAGTGGAAGTAAGTCTTTTTTAAAAAGTCAACATCAGCTGGTTTCCTTTCTTTCTTTTGTTTGCGGCTCTGACAGCTGTCTGTTTGGTAGACAGAGCCTCAGATGTCTCACGGCTTTCACTCTCCTCCTACTCCGCGTCTCAGCACTGCCCTTTAGCTCCTCCTTAGTTTAGGGAATTGGTAAGAGCAGTTCCGCAATGAGGACAAACTGAAGCTCTTTGTAGACTCTGGGCTGGTCACACCCGGCTGAAAAAGTGTGCACGAACTTTAGTTTGGACCCCTGGAGCTTTCAAGCGTGTAGTGAACTTGGTTCATAGTGGAAGGCGTTCCAAACACTGTCACGATGCCATCTCATGATGTTCATGTAGAAACTAGAGTTTAGCCCGGGCGGTGGTGGCTCACGCCTTTGATCCATCCCAGCACTCAGGAGGCAGAGCCAGGCGGATCTCTGTGAGTTCGAGGCCAGCCTGGTCTGCAGAGCGAGTTCCAGGACAACAAGGACTACACAGAGAAACTCTGTCTCGAAAAACAGAACGAAACAAAACAGGAAACAAGAGTTTAGCTTTGAAAAGAGGGCTAGGCTCGATGCCCTTCTTCTTGACCAGAGATCACATGGTCATTGTTTTTAGCCACTTTTGTAAAAGGGTGTGTCGTCTTTTTAGAATGTCAGCTTTGCCATGCTCCTTGGTGGGCAGGGATTTTAACCCAATGTCCCCACTTTCCGATCCTTGTTTTTAGTGAGATGGGACGTGGAAGGAGGAAGTCTTTAAAGTTGTACTGCGTTTGGTGTGTATATACCATGTGTTCATGAGGACAGGCGACAACTTGTAGGGTTAGGCTGTTCTCCCACCGTGGGGTCTGAGTCAAACGCATGTTGTCAGGCTCCCATGGCAAGCCCTCTCAGCCCCGAGCCATCCTGCCAGGCTGGGACAAGTCTCTGTGTTAGAACCGTGTGTCGGCGTGACAGTGTCCGGCAGAAGCTCTTCCTCCTGACGTCACTGTGAATGATCATTTCTCCTGTGTTTCAGGGATGGAGTTAACGTTTAATTATAACCTGGACTGCCTGGGCAATGGCAGGACAGTGTGCCACTGTGGGGCAGACAACTGCAGCGGCTTTCTAGGAGTACGACCAAAGGTCAGTCGGGCAGGGCGCCCCAGCCAAGGGGGGGGGGGGGGGGCTAAGGACCTGCTTGGCTTTGCAGGTCACTGTCATCTGCAGGGCTCCAGAACCCCGCCACTCTGTTGGGGCTCTTTACTGCTTCTCTGTGGTGGAGCTGGTGGTGGTGGTTTTGACACAGATCTCATGGAGCGCAGGCTGGCCTTGAACTCTTGGTTTATTGAGGATGACCTTGAACTCCTGATTTTTCCACCCTCACCTCCCAGATGTTGGGCTCACAGGCTTCCGCCACCATGGCCAGCTTGCTGTTCTCACTCTTTAATAAAGCTCGTTTTAGTAAGCTCTGATAGGTTCTGAAGTGCACTGAAACCCCCTGAATTATATACTTCTAAATTGGTGAATGTTACCTGGTTGTGGTGACTCAAGCATATAATCCTAGCACTTGGGAGCCAGAGGCAGGAGGATTGCTGTTAATTCCAGGCTAGCCTAAAAAGGGGGAAAAAACAAACAAACAACAACAACAAAAAACCCTACATAAATACAAAGGTGCGTGTTGTAGCATGTAAGCTATAGGTCATTGGGGGAAAGGCTGTCTGCAGTCTGAACAGTAATAAAGTGAAGCAGCTTGCAGTTAAAACCACCCTACGATGAGGAGAAAACCAGTAGCTCAGCAGTGGGGCCTCTACTAACGTGGCCTTGTCTTTAAACACGACCCAGCAATCACTGACCAGTCATGCCCAGGGAAGCTGCTCAGCCTGGAAGTCCAGCTACTTTGTTAGGATCGTCTCATTTGGGCTGGAGAGATGGTTCAGTACGTAAGAACACTTGCTCTTCTAGAGGACCCGAGTTCAGTTCCCAGCATCTGCATCAGGGAGCTCACAGCCCTCTGTTAACTCCAGCTCCAGGGGGTCTGGTGCCTCCTGCCTCTGTATACACCTGTACTCATGTGCACATACCCACGTGCAGACATGCATACCTACACATAATAAAGATCAAATCTCTAGAGATTATTGAACTTTTAGATGATTATCCAAAATGCTTCATCGTGGGAGCAGACAGTGTAGGTTCCAAGCAGATGCACATGTCCCTCCAAGGGACAACTATGGTGCTGATGGGCAAGAGCATCCTGAGGCAAAGCCATTTGGGGGGGGTCTCTGGTAAAACAAACGGTTGCCTTGCGTCTGGGGTGGGGTTGTGGTTTTTGTGTTCACCAAGGAGGATCTCACTGAGGTCAGGGACTTGCTGATGCCCATGCTGATGCCATAGCCCCATGTGAGGTCACTGCACATCCCAGGACACTGGTTCTAGAAGACCACTTTCTTCTAAGCCTTAGATGTCACCACTGACATCTCCAGGGGCGATTTCACCACTGAAATGCCGAGTGATGTGCAGCTGAAGACTAGAGACAGGGCGGGAGCCAGCGAAGCCACACTGCTGAACCTGTGGGTAGCTCCCCTTTTCCCTGCTGATCACCAGCAGGTGTTTGACCCTGGCAGACATCTGAAGTTCCGAACGGAAGTGCATGACGTCACAGAGGAAACTCAGCTGGCGGTGTGGCCAATGTTTGTCTGGATTGGGTGTCTAACTGTTGCCTTAGCACCATACATACTGGGGACATACCGGTTCTGGCTTTGTCTGTGGGGACTGAGCACACCTTCCCACTTGCTGAAATGTCAAGGCCTTCCTGGCTGCTGCTCCTGCTCGTGCTGAAGCCCCACTCAAGACTGAAGAGTCAGAGGAGGATATGGAGTTTGGTTTCTAGACTCATTTCTCCAAAGCACCCACCAACTCAGCCAGCTTAATTTGAGAAACATGGAGATAAAGGCCTACCTCCCTCTCCCCCTCTCTTTAAAGCAGCCTGTTTTTAAAAATTAAGGAAATAGAGGCTGGAGAGATGGCTCAGTGGTTAAGCGCACTGGCTTCTCTTCCAAAGGACCCAGGTTCAATTCCCAGCACCCACTTGGCGGCTCACAACTGTCTGTAACTCCAGTTCCAGGAGATAGGACACCCTTACACAGATAGGCATGCAGGAAAACACCAATGCACATAAAATAAAAAGAAATCAACCCCAAGGGAGAACGGCAGGCCTTGCTTTAGTGCAGTGTTGTGAGATAGCCCCTTCTGGCGTTCGTAGGACACGTGCAGGGGTGCAGTTAAGGCCGTGTGGTGTGTACTTACACTCTCGTGTGTAAAGCTTCATCGTTATCTGATAGTGAAACTGTGGTCTGTCCTTCTTACCAGTCTGCGTGTGCATCCGCTGCTGACGAGAAGTCGAGAAATGCTAAGTTAAAGAAAAGACGGAAAGTGAAAACAGAACCAAAGCAGATACACGAGGACTACTGTTTCCAGTGTGGGGATGGGGGAGAGCTGGTCATGTGTGACAAAAAGGACTGTCCCAAAGCCTACCACCTCCTATGCCTTAACCTGACCCAGCCGCCGTACGGTAAGCTAGGCTTCAGACTCGGGATGCATCTGCTCTCTCTAGTGGACCTGTGAAATAAGAAACATTTAACAGAACAAACAGATCACTCCAGTCAGAAGTCTGTTCTGTGCGCATTGGGTATATCTCATATGGCAGCAAGGACAGGTTTCTTCTTATGATTACCGTGGGCGGGTAGTTGGCACCTATGACATTGGGTTTGGGCCAGTGGCGCATATCTGTATGAAATAACACAACTAGATGTTTGTTTGGCTGGAGTCTGAAGGTGGATTCAGTTGGAATTAGTCTCTAAGCAAAGAGGTAGGGTATGAGCCAGGTACAGTGAGGCATGTCTTTAATCCCAGCATTTGGGAGGCATAAGCAGGTGGATCTCTGGGGGTTCGAGGCCAGCCTGAACTTTATAGACAGACATTGTTTTGAAAAGAAAAGAAAAGGTCGGGCGTGGTGGCATATGCCTTTAACCCTGGCACGCAGGAAGCAGAGGTAGGCCAGGCCAGCCCGGCTACACAGTGAGACCCTGTCTCCAGGGGAGGGGGGGCTCTTGGGCTCTTTCTGGGTAATCAGGGCTAACAGGTGGTTTCCCTGTCCCACCCCGCCTTAGGAAAGTGGGAGTGTCCATGGCATCAGTGTGACAAGTGTGACAACTCAGCCGTCTCCTTCTGTGAATTCTGTCCACACTCATTTTGTAAGGATCATGGAAAGGGGGCTCTGGTGCCCTCTGCACTAGAAGGTCGTCTCTGCTGCTCTGACCACAATCCCGAATCTCCTGTGTCACCAGAATATTGGAACAAGATCAGATGTAAACGGGAACCCCAAGATCCTGGAGAAGACGTAAAAGAGTGAACGGTGGTTCTTTCCTGCCCTGCTGTTCGGAATGGAAGAAGACAACAGATGATGCATTTAAACCAGGGCGGTTGCTGAGGCGGCCGTACAAGGGAGACAGGAACCAGTTCACAGGCTGAGCAGGCTGTGTGGGGCTCTAGTTTGTTCTGTTGCTTTGGGGAGAGTTTGGTGGACAGGGAAATTCCCTTGGTCTTTTCTTGCCTTTTATTGTGTGTGCTCCAGTGTCTTTGCCACTAGCAAAAGAGGTGTCCTTGTTTTTAAAGTGTGTGTGTGTGTGTGTGTGTGTGTGTGTGTGTGTGTGTGTGTGTGAGAGAGAGAGAGAGAGAGAGAGAGAGAGAGAGAGAGAGAGAGAGAGAGAGAGATACCTGTTAACAAGATCATTGTCAAGCCTAAGATGCAACCCTTGGTTGTATAAAGCAAAATTAGCCATTCCTTTATTTATTTTCATTTTTAGGAATTGTGAGAGGTGTAGCTCAAACAATCTAACCTCCGTGTGTGTGTGTGTGTGTGTGTGTGTGTGTGTGTGTGTGTGTGTGTGTGTGTACGTACCTTTATATACCTCTTTACTGAGCCATAGATAGGCTAACTTCTCTTTCCTTTTTCCTATGCCTTTTCTAGTCTCAGAGAAGGCTCTCATCAAGTATTCAGTTTGGCCTCTTGGAAACAAATGCCTTGACAGCTTTTACCTCCGTGGTCTTAGACTAGGTGGGCTTCATGGTGCAGTCACTCCACCTGGAAATGTGGATGGAGGGAAATGTCTAGAGGGAATGTGTGCACTCACTGGCTCTGAGTGCCATCCATCTACAGTTTCCTGATACAGCGCATGTGTGGGGCTGTGAATGCATGGGAGAATGCTCACTGCTGTCATCCTGACGTACGGCAAGGAGCTAAAGACAGAGTAAGGCACAGACCGGAAGTTGGATCAGATCCGCACCATTTTCTGAGCACTTAGTGTAGACTCCAGTCTTACTGGAATTTAAGAGCATTTGCTTGTTTGTCTTTCGCTCTGCCAATCAATGGCCAGCTGATCACTCAACCGTGTTTCCTAGTAGAGCTGTGTAATTGAATCTGAATTATATTTTAAGAGATTTTTTTTTCAGTTGATTTCCTAACTTGGGGGTGGTGAAAATAGACAGAGTCAATCCCCAAGTTATATGTGAACAGTTTCTTCTTAGTATTATGCAATGCTTCACATTGTCCCCATTGAGTAAGGGGAGGAAGTTTTCCAGGGTCTGTAAGAGCCACAGAGAGCGCTTCCTCTTAGAGGGCACTTGAGAACACTCCCCAGAAAGTCAGTGTTCGCAAACATTATGTTCCGTTTGAATGGCAGACCGGAGCCCACCACGGTGTGTGCCCACAGAATCCCTTGCATCTAGCACTTAGCAATAGAGCTACTCCAGTATTGCATGAAATCACGTGAGACACTGGAACACTGGACTGAGGAGAAGTCTAGTGTTACTGTGAAACAAGCATGAACTTTCTCAGTGACTTTTAACTGCTTACCAGTGGGCGGTACACAGTAGGGTTTATCCTCCTCAAGAACCTAGTAAGTCATTAACGTGGGGCGGGAGATGCTCTACAACATCCTGGAGTTGTGTCCAGTGTGTTGGGTCCTTTTTTAATTTTTTACAAATCAATTCAGACCTCTTTCTCTGGAAGAAAGAGCAATTTTGTGCCTCCCTTTTTTTTTAAATATATATATATAAATGTGCAATTTATAGACAACAGACAGACACTACAGTTTCCCTCTCTAAGCTCCTAAACTGCCACTTAGCTGGATGTAGCATTTCTAGTAATCTGTTAGATTAGACAGGCTCCGATGAGCAGAAAGACAGGATGCTGCAGGCCCCCAGTGCAGTCACTATGACGGAAGCACAGCCCATGCAAACACTACACTTGGCTCGTTAGCAATTATGAAGTTTGATCTCCTTTAAAAAAGTAAAGTAGGATATCTGGGTTTTACCATACTGAAATATTATTTTATACAGACATGATAAACATTTTTTAAACTCACTGATAAGGGATTTCTTTTGATATTCCAAATATAACTCTTATGAGAACAGTATCCAATATGAAATTGCATCTTGTTTCCTTTTTGACTTTATGCTTTTTTAGTATCAGATAACTTTTATATAGTAAGCCCCAGAGTACATCATGTATTTATAAATACCTTAGGCTGACCTATCTCTATTCAGCTTCTTTGGTATGGCCTATTTGTTTCTCTATCTATAAAAGAGCTTTGCAAAGACTTCTCAAATCTTTTCTTTCTTTTTTTTTTTTTTTTTTTTTTTTTGATGACTAATAGGATTGTTCTGCTATTTCACAAGCCAAGGGATGGTTCAAAATAGTTCGGCATGGCCCAGAAGCTTTCGGGGCTCCAAACTTGGCTTTGCTGTGCCAGTTCAGGGGCATCTTCCTGTGCCGTTGTGGCCTAGGTCTGTCTTAGAGTTGAGGGCGTCTAAGTATACATACGCTGTGCTTGCCTGTCCTGCATCAGAGCATATTCCAGAAGGCACCAGGCTTACCCATGGTCTGAAGCTGGTATTCATTAGCTTTTAAATCAGATGTGGTATGCGTATTTGTGGTTGGTGTATCCAGCCCGGAAATGAAAGCACTTGAAGCAGCATGGGCTAACGGTGGTATTTTTAACCTCATTTGGATTCCTAGGAAGACGAGCTTTCTGATTAGCAGTGTAAAGCTTTAGAAACTGGGTTGGTAAGAGCTAGCAATGATGTCATGAAGCTGTCCCGGACCCTGTACTTTGGAGGCCACGCTGGGCTACCAGAATAGCTGCCTGTGCCCGGCTGGGGCGGAAGGGCCGGTGCCCTCACTGCCCGTGCTGAAGCGGCCGTTCACGTCTTCAGTCTCATCAGTGGTGGAGATCTGAGTGGAGTGGGTTTTATCTTCTCCTTTGCTCTGCAAGCCCGCCTCCATTTCCATTCTCAAAAATTATCTTCCCCAAGCTGTACAATAGACTGGGTTTGGGAACCATGGGAACTTGGAGATTTCTGTGTGTTGTATAAATAACATATACCGATGAGTTAGGAACATATTTGGAACTAAAAAGAGAATTGTGGAAGGGGGCAGCAGCCAGCTGCTCCACTCTGCCCGCCGCCACCACCGCCGCCGCCGCAGTATTTGCAAGGGTGTCTAAGTGATGCGCAGCGGAGACACCGAGTCTCTGTGGTCATGGGAAACACTCAGATGGCTGGGCTGGTGGACAGCTTCCATGAAGTAGGTTTTCCTGAGTACTTTCTTACCTGCTAAGTTCGGTTAGAGATCCTAGAGGTGGAAATCATGGCATCTGTTCGGAATGTCGAACCCGGCCCCCAGGACCTGCTGTTATCTGTCATTTTCTGTTTCAGTCCCACACTCCTCCTGCCGCATCCACTCACCACAGAGCTGAGACGCTTCCAGCCACATATCATGTCCTAATGAGAGAGAAAAACAAATCGCCTCTGAGTCTCACGGCTTGGAAAACTTGTCGTTTTTATGTTTCTCATGAGTACAAGGGCATCGGGAAGTTGCTTTATTCCTAGACTTGAATTATTCTTCACGTGGCTGTTGCATCCAGCCACTCCCTGCTCTGCTGAGGCGCTGTGGAGAGCACAGGAAGTGAGCAAGTGGAAAGTTCCTCCACGAAGGACCACCCTGCCTAGGTCTCTGGTTATCTGTAGACAAAAGTAGACCTCGGTCCATTTTCAGATGGACTAGAGGAATAAATGTAGACAGCTTTTCAATGGATTACCAAATATTGAAAAGCTCGACATTTGTGTGTACTGAAATATCACCAAATTTTACCCTGGGTAGGGTCCTGGGGATCCTGGGAGAAAGGGCATAATAGAGCAAGGGAGGGAAGTGGTGAGTGGTCATCACAGGTACAGTGTAGTCGCCTATACACTGAGACCTCTGCGTCATTCATTCAGCTTCTTCAAGTACTTGAGACTGTGATTGTCATTCCGGTTCCTTTGTAAAATTAAGAAGTGGGAAGCGCCAGGCGGTGGTGGCTCACGCCTTTAATCCCAGCACTCGGGAGGCAGAGCCAGGCGGATCTCTGTGAGTTCGAGGCCAGCCTGGGCTACCAAGTGAGTTCCAGAAAAGGCGCAAAGCTACACAGAGAAACCCTGTCTCGAAAAACCAAAAAAAAAAAAAAAAAAAAAAAAAAAGAAGTGGGAAGCATCACTGTGTAGACTGTCCAAAGGAAAGTCCTTCCAGTGGGAGCGGAGATATCTTAGATTGTTGGTACCTTTGAGGAAGAGACGCCCGCATGAGATATCAGCAACATTTCTAGAAATTGTTTCCTATGGTTTTGTTTTGTCTTTTTTATTTGTTTGCCTCATCCCCAAGTGTCTCTTGTCTTTCCTTTTAATATAAGCCTGGGCGTGTGTGGGGTGTGTGGGTGTGTTGTGTGTGGAGGGGTGGTAGTGTTTGCATTTATGTTACACTCCTGAAATGCTGTGTGTAACCCTTGTTTCAAAGAGCCATGTCTGCCAGTCATGGTTCGGCACGCCCTTAATCCCGGCACTCCAAAAGCAGAGGCAGGCGCATGTCTGTGAGTTCAAGGCCTACGTAATGAGTTCCAGGACAGCTAGGGCTATGTAGAGACCCTGTCTCAAAAGGAGAAAAAAGAAAAAAAGAAAAAAAATGACATTGTTTGGCTTTTGTCAAGCCGTTGGACAAATGACCAATGTGAGCACTTGTTCCTGTGTCGGGGGAGGGGAGAAAAGTATTGCTTGTCCTTTAGTAGGCTCTAAAAGTCATTCCTGTGTACGTTAAAGGGAAAATAGAAGTTGCCAGAGTCAGTATTCAGTCCTTGGTTTTCTGTGACTTTGCTCATCCGCTAAGGGATGAGAAGCACCCCAGCTTCACTGTCTTCTTCCCTACCTGCCGGCAGCGCCGTGGTGTGTGCCCATGGCCTTCAAGTACCCCCGGTTTGCCTGGATCGGGGCTCCTGTCGGTTCAAAGGAATGGGGAAGTTTACATTTATTTTTGTTGTCAGCTAACATCTCATTTTTTGTTATGTAACCTATGGTAACTGTACTGCCAATAATAACCAAGATGCTAACTGATTACAACTGGCTCAAAAGACCTTTTTATATACAAAGATTTGTGTATATTTTGAATCGATATGGCAAATTTCATTTGTGTCCATTTGATTATTACAAATAAACAAATACCTGCAGATTCAGTCTTAATTCTCTGTGTTCTTTGAATAATGTTCTTTATAGATGTTTACATCTGTGTTTACCTGTAATGAACTTTGTAGATCCTGTGAAATATTATTTTGCTTAAACCACTTGAGTCCTTAATATCAAAGTGTCAACCTTCACTGGGCAGTCTCTTTAGTTTCTGTGACTTGGCCAGGAACTCCTAACACTAAGGAATTAGTGCTGATTTTCCCCAGGGGTATCCTTCTAGGGCATTACTGTATAATGACTTTGAAACATAGTTTAAGGATTTCGTTGACTGACCAATGTCTTATTGCAAAGTATGAGCCTACCAATCATGGTTAACCTGTATATAGATAGATTACTGTGGACTAGTAGTGTATGTGGGATTGCCTGTGATATTTACGTTTCTTACTGACGTGTGCTGGTGGGACAGTTTTTGTACATTGTATTTACTGAAATTTTGCCTTTTTAATTTTACAGATACTTTAGAATTCAGATGTGTTTCTGCTTATGTAAGAATGTGGAAAAGTTTTTAATGGCATCCGATTGGTTTCAGGTCTTGCTTGAGGTTGACTTTAATAAATTGTCCTGTATGTTCTAATTAAGTATATGGGCTTGTTCTTTGCCTGTAATTTCATGGTACAATTTAACGAGAAATGAGTCACACCAAAAAAAAAAAAAAAAATCCACCCAATCTCAGCCCGGTTTTTCCCTTTAAAATGCTGCTAAGAAATGGTTTCTTTAAAGTGAGTTTTCTGTTTTGCTTTTGTAGAGGAAGGGTCTCTGGAGGATGGCATTCCTTTCAGGGTGCTGTAAGGTGATCTGGGCACCAGGTAGTTGGTGAAGGGCACTCTCATCCCCTTGCTTTGAGACCCAAAGGTGGCGACAACAGCCAGGTCCTCCCGATCAGCCCGAGGGCAGTGAGTGCTTCTGTGCTGTCGCTAGGTGGTACTCAGAGCGAGCGGAGGAGCTTCCCGGAAGCTCGGGGAGGTCCCCTGGGAGTGTCCCCTCGGTGCTCGCCAGGCGGCGCTGGGCCCCGGGCCGAGCCACGTCAGCAGCGGGTGGCGGGCCGGCCGGCCGGCGTGTGGCGGGATGGGGACGGCGGCCCTGGGAGCGGAGCTGGGCGTGCGGGTCCTGCTCTTTGTGGCCTTCCTGTAAGGACTTGTCGGAGCACTCCCAGGCGCGCCGGGGTGCTCGCTCTTCGGCAGCTGCTCCGGGCGGCAGGTCCTTCCGCCGCCGAGAGCCTGTCAATCTTCGCCCTTTTCCTCCCCAGGGTGACCGAGCTGCTCCCTCCCTTCCAGCGCCAGATCCAGCCCGAGGAGCTGTGGCTCTACCGGAACCCGTACACGGAGGCCGAATACTTCCCCACCGGCCCCATGTTTGTGCGTGAGCTGCCGCCCTCCTCCCGCCCTGCAGGGACTCCTCCTCCCGCCCGGCCGGGTGCTCTCGGACCCAGAGCCGAGTCCTGGAGATCCAGGTCTAGAGCATGGCGTCTGGGTGGGCTCTCTGCAGCCGGCCTCAGTGCGAGGCAGCTGCCATGTGTTCTCTTCCAGGTCATTGCATTTCTCACTCCGCTGTCCCTCATCCTCCTAGCCAAGTTTCTGAAGAAAGCGGACACCACCGACAGCAAGCAAGCCTGCCTCGGTAAGTACTCTTCCAGCTGCTCACCTAGTGCTGGCCAGTAGTTGTGGGGTGCAGCCACTGGAGCCTCGTCTGGCCGGCAGGAAACTGGGTACCCCGAAAGTATGTCCTCTTGCTCCACTTGTTACCCCGTGAGGCAGGAAAACAGCAGCCCTGTAAGAGCTGGGTTAACCCAGATGTGCCTAAATCCCCTGGTTTCTCGGCCCCGGGCCGTTTACACAAGTTTTTCGGGGTCTAAGGGCCACAGCTGCTTTTGTGCTGGGTACTGGTTGGATTCATCCTCGAGCATGGAGGGCTTCTAGGGTGGCGGCAGCTGCTCTTCCCCGAGCAGACAGCACTAACCGTGTCTGTCTTTCTCTTCCAGCTGCTAGCCTTGCCCTGGCTCTGAATGGTGTCGTTACCAACACAGTAAAGCTGATAGTGGGCCGGTAAGGGAGAAACCCCGGACAGCAAACCTCCCGCAGCCTCCAAGCATTTTCCCCTTTATTCTCGGACTAATCTTTCTCAGCCAGAACTCTCTCCCCGTGCCCTCTCTGTCTGTCCTAAACATGCCCGCCACCTGCTCTGTGTCCTGTACTGACCGAATTTCCCACCACAGCCTCGAGCTGCTCTTGTGCGAGATGCAATCATATGCTAGAAGAGACTTTCCCCTTAAACATTGGCCATGTGACTAAAGCTTTTTTCTCAGTGTGGTGACTAGCCTAATCCAGTTCCATTATTTTGCCTAGGACATTACATGAGCAGTAGTCAACAGGATTATTGACATCCAACTGAAGAAGGATTTCTGGAAGAGTAGATTGGAGTGCTCACACTATGCTTATTTCTTCCAGGCCACGGCCAGATTTCTTCTACCGGTGCTTCCCGGATGGACTGGCCCATTCCGATCTGACCTGCACAGGGGATAAGGATGTGGTGAACGAGGGCCGGAAGAGCTTCCCTAGTGGACACTCTTCCTGTATGAACCTCAGATGAACTATTGCAATCCTTTTTATTATTTTATGTAGATACGTGTTTTGCTTGTATGTGTGTGCGCATACTATAGAGACCAGAAGACATTAGATCCCCTGGAACTGGAGTTAGGGTTGCCATGTGAATGCTGGGAACCAAACCTAGATCCTCTCAAAAGCAGCCAAGTGCTCTTAATTGCTGCTGGGGCAACTCTCCAGTTCCGATACATATTTCTAAAAATTACTGAATTTAACCTGTGAAGCTTTGCTGGAATGAGTCGCCTCTTACTTGTCAGTCATAAAACATCTTTATTCAGGCCAGGCAGTGATGGTGCACACTTTTAATCTCAGCACTTAGCGGGCAGAGGAAGGTGGATCTCTCTGAGTTTGAGGCCAGCCTGGTCTACAGAGCGAGTTCCAGGACAACCAGGGCTACACAGAGAAACCCGGTCTCAAAAGACAAAACGCCTCATCTTTATCCAAGGGTTACTATGTGTTGGGGGCCACTTTAGGTTCTTACCTGTGTAGCTCCCGAGAACCAGTAAGGTCTATTAGTTTTTGGATTCCCACTTACAGACAAGGAAGGCGTCTACAGCACTGTGCACAGTAATAACTTGTATTCCAGAAACTATTCTTTTTTTTTGAGCTGAGGATCGAACCCAGGGCCTTGTGCTTGCTAGAGCTAAATCCCCAACCCCAGAAACTATTCTTACTTAAAATACTGGGACAGAAAATAAAGTCCTCATTTCCCATCCCTGTACTCAAGGCGGGTAAAGCCTGCTCCTGCTCCCCGCCCTCCCGTCTGGACAGGAGTGTCGGGGCTCCCACCGACAGACACACACGACTCACAGGTCTTCCCTGTTCTAGTTGCGTTTGCTGGTCTGGCCTTTGCTTCCTTCTACCTGGCAGGGAAGTTACACTGCTTCACCCCACAAGGCCGAGGGGAATCCTGGAGGCTCTGTGCCTTCCTAGCGCCTCTGCTCCTGGCCGCTGTGATTGCGCTGTCCCGCACATGTGACTACAAGCACCACTGGCAAGGTGAGCAACGGTTATGTGTGCCCCGGGAGTTTCCGCCCCGCCTGTTTGAACCCTAGACACTGGCACCAAGTGGCGGCTTCCTACGTGTCTGCTGAATGAACGAGCAAATGAGTGAGTGTGGACAGCCTGGGTTCCCTTGTGTCACGGAGAACCAAAGTTAACCTTTGGGCCAGCGAGATGGCTCGGGGAGTGAGGTAAAGATGCTTGCCGCACACGCCTGACGACCTGTGCGTGATCCCTGGAACACATGTAAAGGTGGAAGGAAGGGGTGGATGCCAGAGTTATCCTCTCACCTCCACGTGTCCCCACACACATGCACACGCACACACAACATTCTTTGCAATTAACCTGTGTATGGGATATCTGCACGTGGATGTGCAGGTGCGTGTACTGCAGTCGTGTGGGGAGCCGATGACCAGCTGGCACCAGTAATCCTGTCTGCCCTCCACAGCACAGAGGTTACAAGTGCATGAACGGAGACTCAGCTTTTTACGTGGGTACTGGGGATTGAACTCAAGTCCTCTTGTTTATGCGAGAAAGCGCTCTTAACTGCTGAACCAGCTCCCAAACCCAACTCCTGTGAAATAAGATTTCACTAAGTAGCCCTGGATGACCCTGAAACTAGGTAGGCCAGGTTGGCCTCAAACTCAGAGATACAACTGCCTCTGTCTGCTGGGTTAAAAGGTGTGTCTCACCATGCCTGGCCCCCTTATTTTTTAAGACAGGGTCTCCCCCTGTGGCCCAAGCCTCACCTTAAACAAACTATCCTTCTCCTCAGTCTCCCACGTGTTGGAATCCTAATCATGTGAGGCCATTCCTGGCCAGAATTCTTAAATAATGAAAGCCAGCGAATGATTAGAATCACATGAACATTTGTTATTCTGTGTTAAAAAAATTCTAACTCGCCAAGTGGTTAATCCCAGCACTCAGAGGCAGGCGGATCTCTAGGAGTTCAAAGCCAGTTTGGTCTACAAGTTCCAGGACAGCCCAAGCAGTTACACAGAGAAACCCTGTCTCGGGGGTGGGGTGGGGGATTTGAACTCAGTCCATGCTGATGTAACTTAGGGTATGTTCTGATTTGGTGTTTTGAGAACAATGTGGCTAATAATCTTATAACTGTATGATAAAATTAAGACCCTCTAAAGAAACTATAACATGGGTTGAGGTCTTTCTTGGCCCCTCCCTGCAAGCAGAGTAACCTGGAGGGCCAAGTCTTCTATAACTGTGTAGTGTCTAAATTTTTTTTAAAAAAAAGACCTATTTCTCTCTCCTCAGATGTCCTAGTGGGGTCCATGATTGGAATGGCATTTGCTTACGTCTGCTACAGGCAGTACTATCCTCCTCTGACTGATATGGAATGCCACAAACCATTTCAGGACAAGCACAAACTCCCCTCCTCACAGAAGAAGCCCAGTGAGTCTCACCACTTGGATATTTAGCTGAACCTACCTCAGTGGAGAACAAGCGAGTCAGCCTCCTAACCGGACACCATGCACAAGCCAAGAACTTCTGGCTATCACCTCTCCCGAGGTGAAGGTGTGGACATCGCCATACTGTAGTCCCACCTCCGCCAAGAATCTATCTACACTTCACCCTACTTCCAAGGCTAGACCCTGAGCAATCCCTGCCTGGGGCCTGTTCTGGAAAGTGGCTCTTTAGGGAGTTCTCTCTCTAGGTTAATAAAGCTGGGCCATAAGATTGGTGTTCTAAGATCTAGGGTCTTTACATATATGTAGATGTCCCTCAAGAGACCTTTTCACAACGGAGACTCTCATGGCCCCGTTCTATCCTGAAGACTTTATTACCAATCTTAATCTCTATCCCTTATAAAGAAGGGTAATGCCAGCTGAAGTTTACTTTTTGTGGCCATATTCCATTAAGCCTTAAATAATAAAACCACCAATTTGGGCCAATTTTTTATTTCATCAGAAAAGAAAACTTACAGATATTATCTGGAAGATAAATGTATCTCTTTCTGC